AAGACGGCTTTGGAAAGCTATAGATTAAACAAAACAGTTATTGCCAAAAGAAGAATTTATGACAATTCTAGGGGAAGCTCAATGTTGTTTGAGGCAAGGACGGGTGTTCTGCGAACCAGAACGTACAGAGCGAAGTACCAGGAAATGGATACAGTGTGCGCTGCTTGTGGAGAGGAGGACGAGACGGCTGAGCACTTGATACTCTACTGTAAAGGGCTTCACGCTATGTCTACCGAAGACAACATAGGTTTAGTAAAGTCATTGGGTTTTAGAGACAGCAAAGGAAGGGTGGATTTCAAGACAGTAGATATTACCAAGCAAAGATTAAGTGAATGGTGGCAGAAAGCGAGAGAAAACTAGGTATTTTCTTGTTAACTGATGGCAAGGGGGTTTTATAGCCTCACTTTGCAGTGTGGAGTGAATATAGTTTTTACATGTAAATATTCTAAGCTTAAATAGTAAAACAAAATGGCTAGGTGGCGTAAGCTACCGCCCTATCCAAAGGGCTCAGCCGGATTCATCCATCCATCCATCCATCGTTGTAAGAGGTTTAAAGGAACCCAGTTTTAAGAGGTCGCAGGAGTATGAACAAGCCTTAAAGGCCCGTTCATACTCTTGCGACCCAGTATGACCGAGAGAGACCAGACCGGTTTTTAAGCCTCTTGCAATCTCTTAGGACCGGATGCGCTACAGCGGAGCTGGTCCTGAGAGATTGCAAGAGGCTTAAAAACCGGTCTGGTCTCTCCCGGTTGTACTCGGTCGCAAGAGTGTGAACGGGCCTTAAGATGTCGCAAGAGGCTTAAAAATTGGTCTGGTCTCTCTCGGTCTCACTCGGTTGCATATGTGTGAACGGCGCTTTAAAACCGACCGTCTTAAAACCTCTTAAAATCTCTTACGACGGGAGAACACACTGACATTCTGGCGCCATCTATGCAGTGACCTTGGAACTTCATTTCACTAGAGCGAAGGTTTGGCGGTATTTGTGAGGTCAAATGTACATACTACTCCTTAGAACCGGCTGCTTAAAAATCCCTTACGACGGGAGAACACACTGGCATGCTGGCACCATCTATGCGGTGACCCTGGAACTTCATTTCACTAGGGCGAAGGTAAGGCGGTATTTGTTAGGTTAAAATGTATGTACTACTCTTTAGAACCAACTGTCTTAAAACTCTTAAAATCTCTTACGACGGGAAAACACACTGACACGCTGGTGCCATCTGTGCGGTGACCCTGGAACTTCATTTCATTAGAGCGAAAATAAGGCGGTATTTGCGAGGTTGAACATACATACTACTTATGAAAAATGTTCATTCATAACATCGACAAAAGATTTTCAGTCCAAAAAAAAAAAAAGAATGATGCTCGAAAGAAGTTGCAAATATACGGGACCATCCAGTGTTCCACTGCTACCTGATAGGTAGTGCCAGTGTGTCCTCTCTTCGTTAGAGATTTTAAGAGGTTCCAAGGCACTCGGTTTTAAGAAATCGCACGTGTGTGAACAGTCCTTTAGAAGCATTAGTTGACATGCTGTATATACACACGTTTATGAAAGTGCATCTGGTTTATTTCTGCATGTTTTACGTTTGATTACGTTATGCCATATTACAGACAATTGTTGGTTACGGGCACAGAAATGAAGACAATGATGATGGTGGTGGTGGTGATGATGAGTGTGTTGAGGCAGGGGTAAAGGCATAGAGATCATACATACATACTCTAGAGGAAAAGGTCCGCCATTTTCCCATGCATTCTGGCTGCCGCAAGCAGTGGTGCATGGAGGCAGACCTTTGGGACCCCAGAAATGGTTACCAACTGCCTTTGATTTCACGAATTATATCATCAGAGCAGTTTCACGAACTTCAACAATCCACATACTTACCGGTGGAAAGATATTCGCATTCGTTTCAAAGCTTTCTTTTCACATAGCGCGCAGGTGTACATCCTCGCGTCAACGCAATACTAAACCAGATAACCGGCTTTGCGGGTGGGTGCGAGTGGGCGTGCCCCAGGAGTATGAAACTGTGTAACCACCAGATGTTTCGAGATTTTGACAGAAGGGGAGTTAATGCAGCATAATGAGTATATTGCTTTTTATAGGCGTTAGAATAGCTCAGACTTTAGTTTACAACGTTAAATTATCACTGTTTATATTGCTGAGAGTTTTCGGTCTTTGCGATTACCATTGCGACTGTCGTCCTTCAGGTGGCAACATTGGTTTCTTTCTCTCGTGTTTTGTCGCTCTGTTTCGCAATCTTTCACTCGGGACTCCGGATGTCGGCGCACGGGATTTGCCACTCCACCACTCGTCCATTTTTACCCCCCTGGGTGGAGGGGATAGTCACACCAAAGACTGCCGTTGTTGCTATCATGTAAATCTACTTGCATAAGCGGTGGTCACTTGATTTGCAAGATCTGCTACTTAAGCCCCCTTGAGTGTGTATGCGAGTTTTAGAGTGGGCATAGGCGGTTCATATAAATGTTGCAAGTTTACAAATGAACCTGCGATGTAAAACTTGAAACTGGTCACAAAAAAAGAAACTTTCGAGTCGAAGAAAAGAGAGGAGGGGAATGTCTCAAGCTCAGCTGACTCGTTTATTTCTCTTACTCTTTATAAGCACAGAATGCTGTTGCCACCAGCCTGGACACGCCCTTTCTTAACAAAGTAACTATTAAAAGCCATGACCCTGAGCAGGGGCGGATTTAGGGGGGGGGGGGTCCAGATGTCCTGACCCCCCTCTTGATTTTTACATGTGTAAAATTTAGGGCGTAAAACAAGGGAGAGGGGGAGGGGGTTCCTAAACATATGGTATGCTGACCAACACCTGACCCCCCCCCCCCCCCCCCCCTCAGGAAATTCCTGCATCTGCCCCTGACCCTGAGACTGGTAGACACTTCCATGTAAACGAGTTAGCCGAGTTTGAGACGTTTCCCCCTCTTTTTTTTTCTTCGTCTTGAAGTTTTATTTTTTTCTCATACAGTGCCGGGTTTTACTTGATGTGATTAACTACCACTAGCTTTTTGTAGGGTGTTTACAGAATAGCCACTTCTTTTCATTGCTTGGGAAAGGCTGTCCCTTTGGAGGATGCCAGATTGCTCCTTTAGAAAGAGCTTCGAGAAAATAAAGTTTTAATCTAAAATGGCTCTCAGAATGTGGCTGTGTAATACTAATAATAATAATGATAATCGTCATAACAATAATTTTTATTGGCTTAGGAGAGTTGTGGCACTGCAGAAAGGCAACAGAAGGCATAAAGGCTGGGTGGAGACATTATTTTTAGGCACGTTACTTTGGGCAATTTGCATTCGCATTGCAGCTATAATGTCATTTCAAGACTACTGTCGAGACCAGTTATAACGAAATAGCGGCTATAGCGAAGCGATTACGATTTCCCATTACCGTTTGCACTTTTTCATTGCATTTGTGTCTGTTTTTAGCGAAAGAAATTAAGCTGCTTCTGCGGATATAGCAAAAAAAAAAAAAAAAAAAAGTCGGAAACTTTTTAAGTTTTGGATTGCCACACTTTGCTGTTGTGGCCAAGAAGCCACCCAGGAGAGCCTGCAGAAGATGCTGGAAGGGCTGCCGGCAGCAGTCTCTGCAGCGTCGTCTGCATCCCGCTCCTTATCTGGGAAGCGGCTTTACCGCATCGCACGCGGAGAAGCCGTCGTGGCATGCCGATAGGGACGTTCGGAGCACTAGCGACAACGTACCAGTGGAGAGGACGGAGAGAGCCTAGATTTAAGAGAGGAAGCAGTAAGTATGCCTGCGTTTTGATTGTCGCATGGCCAGTGTGGCGAGGAAACTGGGCGGGGAGACGGACACGTTTGCAGAAGGTGAACGCTTTTGAATTTTGACTCCTTGTAAGCTGCAACACGTTTTGCAAATGCGGCCCACAAACCGTGTCACCCCAATTGAGCAGTTGCCCCATCCCCTAAATCTAGGCTTTCTATACCGATGACAGACAAACTTGAGCGCGAACTCGGTGCCGTGCGCGCTTCTTTGTTTGCTTCGTGATTGTGTCGGCATCTGGTTGGTGAGATTGTTCAAGCACCGATTTGGCGGTTCATCGCCACCCAACGATGGAGAGTCCCTGCACTGCTGGCACCTCGACGGGGAAGACGAAGGCAATCTCCTTGAATCAAGAGCACGCGATCCTGGACGGAGTGCGCATAAACGTAAAGAATGCTGTCCACCGCTGGCGTCCTCCGCGGGGCCGTCGCAGCTGTTGACACGGTCCATGCGGAGCAGGACCCTTTTTCGGCGGGAGCTTCTTGCAGTTGGCGAGAAGCGGCTTGGATCTAGCAGAGGAATCGTGCAGGGAAGCCTCGACCACTTCCTGCAGGCTCATGTGCCTGTGACAGCCCGTGTTATTTTTTTTTTTCATGTTACTTGTATCAATCCATATATAATGAAGAAGCAGATAAAGCGAAGCGATTTCCGATTCCCGTTAACTTCATTATAACCAATCTCGACAGTATAACATTGGTGGAAGTATAGGAAATGAGGTTTTAACAGTACCTTCACTTACCACCTGAATTACTGCCAAGAGGAGGTTATTTAACAACAATACTTGAATGTGTCTTGTGGTCCTATTCCTGGAGACACCATACGTTTGTTCATAATTTTCACGTTAACACTTGAAATTTTCATAGGCTGTTGTGACCGGTAGATCACAGAGTCAAATTTTCTGTACGAATGTTTAATAAATAGCAGGAAGTTACGCCTGCCTTTAGAGTGGCCTCTGGTGCCTCCACCGTAGATGGAAAATTTGGCCAGTGCAGTATGTCTGCTCACCTGGGGTTGTCGACTTGCGTCACACAATAGTGGCACACGACTGCACTCTGGTACAATGTTTATCGAAATCGGCAGGGGTTAGGATAGAACCCAGCAAGGGTCCTTGGATTCCGCAGCACGGGTAGTGTGGAAGAACCTTTTCATACAGCCTGTAGCCATTTCCCCCTGACCTCCATTTCTTTGGCCCGTCCGTTTGCCGTTGCAGTTTCCAAGGGAGCTCTACCTCATTGAGGGAATCCTGCGAACTTTGGACCTTTCCGGAAACAAGATTGGCTCGATCCCGTCTGCCATCGCCAAGTTCGAACAGCTCAAGCACCTCACCTTGACCAACAACCGTATCTGTGAGAATCTTGAAATCCAACCTTTTCCTTATTTTTATAAATATTTTCGTGCGGCAGTTTACAACATTATTAGTGGTGATCCCGGGTGGACAACTTGCATGGGCTTGTCAATTAGGCATTAAATTTTACTTTTTACCAGCCAGACACTTTTGAGTTGCATCTGTGCCTGTTTTTTTGTTGTTTTTTTAATAGCCTTTAACCTTCTTCGTAGCCTAACTTTTAAAATCACCTTTCCTTATTTTGTTCTATGCTTTCTTTCTTATTTTTCACAGTGTAGCAAACGGGCACTAAACCCATGTTGACCTTGTTGTTTCGTACGAGGTCAAAAAATTTTTTGCGACGTCCAGTGCGAGTTATTTGCTCATCTAGAGTCGAAGACCCGTTGCCTGAGCGCATACTCGGCACTTGCAATCTCCCGACGGCACAAGCCGATCGCTGATGTTCCAGGCTCAGTAAACGTCTTGCTTTTTGGGGGTTACAACTTGTCTCCTTTCAACAAGGCAAATGTCCACCGTTTCTCCTAGTCAACTATTTAACGTTAGGGGGAAGCTGAAGCATTTTTCAGAAAAACTAAGTTAGATATTGTGCTCTATTTGGAGGGCAGTGTTAAAAAAATCATCTTTGGCGCGTCGGAACGGTGTGCCAAAGACGCCAATCAAAGGGCAACACAAAGAGTGCACAGGGAATGCGTAATGACGGGGCAGTCAAGCGCGCGCTGCCATTGGCCGAGATTGGGGGAAACAAAAGCATATGGGCTCATCTGGAGGGTTAACAAGGGCACGAGGCGTGCAAAGAGCAGACAATCTTGTACGTAAAGATTTTTGTTCTCTGAATCCGATTATTGCGCAGGATCCTTGGAGTTACATTTTCTGCCAATATGACATGGACAGATCACATTGAAGCTTTAGCTAAGTCCTTATCATCGGCGACAGGAGCCTTGTCACAATGTCAACACATCCTTCCATATAATGCAAAACTTCATATTTATCATGCCCTATTCACTTCACACATAAATTACTGCACACTCGTATGGGGCACGACCACAACAGGAAACGTACACACCATCCTTGTTCTTCAAAAAAAAGCAATTCGATATATTGCTAATGTGCCACGATTACACTCAACCGCACCATTGTACACTCAGTATGGTGTAATAAGCGTAAAAAATATATATGAATTTTGTTTATTGCAATCTTTGTTCTTGTCAAATGAAAGTTTCAGCTCCTCTTTGAAAAGGACATCCGACTTATCGAAACAAATAAGTGACCCTCGCACCCGCAGCTGTGACAGGTGGTTAGTGCCGCGCCGGCGCACTGAATACTTCTCGCAGTCGCTGACGTATAACATACCTTTTACTCTAAACAAGTATATAGAACAAAATATTTACTTTGATACATTTACTAGAAAAAAAATGCGAGAATTTTTCTGTAAACAACAGATGATTATGCATTAGACTCTATCTTTTATATGGGAAAGTTTTGGTGTTGAAGCCTTTTTTTGTAATTTTTGCTAGAAAACAGGCCATGTGAGAAATTTTATCTATGTCATTTATAATTCCCTCAACGGTTCATAATCTTTATATAGTCTTTGACATGTACCATATAGAATTGTATACATTCACACGGTGATTATGTGTACTCATATTGTTACGCGTCATATGTTTTGTATTTTTTCCCAATATGTTGCTGTCTGTATGGGCCCCCACGCACTCTCAAGCTGTCAATGACAGCTTTTTCGCCCGGGGACCCCCAACACTGTGTTGGAAATAAAAATTGAATTGAATTGAAATTGGACAGGATTCAGCATAAACCGCTTTTATATTGGAAGAAACATGCCGCAATTGCTGTGGGGCATGTCTGCCACTTGTTACCTCTTAGAGGCGTCGTGACATAATCACCGGTACCTGCGAGCCAGCTTAGAGGCGAGCAAGGGTTGTCTGGTGGCGCCGTCGCCATCACTTTCGCCAGTTTTGCTTTTCACTCTCCTAAGCTCCTGCGCTTGGCCAATGCCTTCTTGATAACAAGGCGCTAGTGCTGTGTTTTATACTTTGCCTACAAGTGGCCAGCGCGATGCAGGAACAGACTCGAGCGCTGCATCCGTTGTTGGCTAGGACTCTCGTTCAATGAGTGAAAACACAAGCAGGGGTGGCACAGCTGCACCAATTGTGCCATTTTCAAACATTCGCAATTTTCTGCGCCTATCGGTGCCAAAAGAGTGAAAGCAACCAGAATTGCGCCATGCTCCGCCAAAGATCAAGGCGGTACTAGATTCAGCAGAATTCCATTGCCAGATGGCGGAAGCCGCCGCCAGATTGCTTGGTTCAGTTGTACCTGTCAATTCGTCCATCCATCTGATAAATTCGATGTACACATCCGCACGCCCTAACCGACGCAGCATGTAGCATTAATGTTCTCGAGTCGTACCCTTTCATTTTTTACTGATAGTTCGTTCCTAAAATAAAATATATTTCTGCATGCAATTTCAGATACTTCACGGTAAAGTTCCATTCAATATGGTCTAACACTTGTAGTACAAACTATAATTTGCTTGAATTTTAAATCATTATACAACTGGCCAAGATGCTTTCTTAAAACAATGTTGCGGTTATTCCTAAGGTGCTCCAAAGCAGAGTTTTTTATCCTTAGTGCTCCAAAACGAAGCTTGTCTGCTCCCAAGTTGCTCCAAAGTGCAGACTTCTCTGCACCCCAGCTTCTCCAAAATGTGTGTCTTTCTGCTCCGACAATTGCTCCAAAACTGGTCTGGAAGCAGCACCTGTATCTGATCCCCTGTAAATGACAGAAAATTCAGCAAGGCAGGCTTATTATGTAGGACAAGGGACTTTCCTATCTCAAGAAACACCTATCTCCAGCTTCTTTTTTTTAGCTACTCGAACTATTAAGCATATCTTTAGAAAACCCGGGCTTCTTACGTTTTCCGGCATGCTATTTATTATCTCTAAATTCAAAGTAGCTGTAGAGGAAACGGCAAACAAAGGTGATGCCAAAACCTTGCACGTCGAGCAGGAAATCTAAAAGCATAATGTGTTGCACTTTTTTTTTTTTTTCATTTCGTATTTCTGGTGCGAGTTTAACCACCATTTGTTTCACTCCACCAAACAACATCTTTTTCAAGGATTTTGAAACATCGATGACGGACACCCCACATCGCCATCTACAACATCGACAACGGACGTCATTTACAGTGGTGGGAGGAGCCCACAACAGCTATTGCCGTAAAAAATGAGTAGACAAGGCGATAAAAGCAGGGACTCAAACCGTAACCGAAACCGAAAACCGTTTAGGAACGAAATTTTTTCTGTAACCGTAACTGGAACGAAACCGTTATTTGATATTTATAAAAACCGTAACCGTAACCGGAACCGTAAATTATTCACCGGTAACCGGTTTTAACCAATATTAACCGAAAAATAAACTATTAGTTTTTCTGAAGTATGACCTGGAGGAGGGATCTTAAATTGTTGTGGCCATTTGACAGAGTTACTGTCAGCGAGTGGTGCATCTGGTTACATATTTCCATTCAATCTGACTTTAGGATTAAAAATACTCAGATTGAATTAGTGGTCGAGCTTATGATTAAAAAAATTCTATATTTCTAAATCTGCCACACTCCTACATCGCTACATGTATTCAGTACGTGTCGCTTTCAGTGTATTAACTAATAAGTTCGAATTCTCAGATGTCCATCCAACTCGGTTCTATCAAAACCACCGATGTTCCTGACATGCAGTAGCCAGTATAAAGAAACGAGGTAAATTGACCATCATGCAGAGCTGGCGGAAAAGAAAACCTGGGCCCGTTTGCTCGAAGCGCTAACCGCGGCTAAAGTTAGCAGCAGTACCTAGGAGAGGGAGTTTGAAATCACGTGACTGGCGGCTGGGATGCCGGGAAGCATGGCGGCGCCCCGGTGCGTGAGCGCCGCTCGCTTTGTTTTTTTTTTATTTATTTATTTAGGAATACTGCAGGCCAATTGCGGCCCAAGCAGGATTGGGGGTTACAAAAGTCAAGTAAAAAAAGAAAAAACGCAACACCAGGTAATCCGTAAAATGGGAGAGGGGAACAGGGGAAAAGTATGCAAAAATTGTAATAAAGCACATGTAGTAGCTCACAACAAAGTTGGGAGGAGTGGCGGTATTGGGGAACAGGAAAATAAAACACAATGCAAAAAGTTACACATCAAACAAACGCTCAATCGACTCCAAAACATTGTCAGATATAAATATGTGATGAGGTAGGTTGTTCCATTCTGTTATGGTTCTGGGAAAGAAGGAGTATTTAAATGCATTTGTAACTAATATGTCGTTGTAGCTGCACTATCGGGCGCGTTAGTCAGCAACGAATGGTGCAGGAGGCTTTCGCTTTGCCTTACCTCGCTTAAATCGCAAAGCACGAGCAATGACTTCGTGGCATTTGTTGCATAGTCTTTCGATTCTCGCCTTTCTAAGCCTAAATGAACGCGATAAGTGTCGGCATGGCAACGTCTTTGGAAAGCGGATTGCCTTGACTCAATTGACCGGATATTAATAGTACACAAAAGAAGACCAGCGTCCCGCCCCGACAGACCTTTTTCTAAATTACCCAAGCATCGAGAAGAACGCTGGAAGTGTAATTCTATGGTCCGCGCTCGCTGTCCTTCCTCTTATAAAAGATTCGAAGTAAATAATCATTATAAGACTTGGACGAACGCGCGTGCAAGGCAAAATTTGTTTTAGACTTTTTCCTTTAGAACGATAGGCCCGTAGCTCACAAGTTTTGAGCAGCGCTGTAGGCGAGCAAAATAGAATATTTGGCTCGCGCTTCGAACATGCATCAATACGCTTCCCCACTAGAGTTTTTTCTACTCAGTTCCATTCTAAGTTCCAGCGTAGCAGAGGCTACAAGAGCGAGCTGCGAGCTTTCCGCGTCCCTGCCAAGCACGCGCGCTCGTGCAGTGCGAGCATCGTTCAGGATGACGCGCTTTTCCGAGTAGCTTCGGCTTCACTATCACGTAAAGTGAAATATACGTGCTCGCGGAAGCTGTGAAAGAAAGCAAATATGAAAGGAATGTTTAATGGAACGCTGCGGCTGCAAGCAGCATAATTCTGTTCTTTTTTTTTAAACTTTTTTTAGACGTTTTGTTAGCGCACATCTACAGATGCTGACAGCGGCTTGTATTCGAACGTGGCACGTGCAAAATCGAACGTTACAGCGCCACACGGATGATGCAGCCAGCAAAACTTGGTCGCGTCTTGCGTAAGTCTTCCGGACGCGCTCGCGCCCCCTGCCCAGAGCAACGGGTATATTACTACTGCATACGCCAGCACGCGCAATGCCTGCAACTACACTCGTAGCATGCACCTCTGTGCTTGGGAAATTTGTGTGCTATCAATACAAGGCCGATTGAGTCAAGGCAATCCACTTTCCAAAGACGTTTTCATGCATGCCGACAATTATCGTGTTCATTTAGGCTTAAGAATGGCCAGAATCGAAATATTATCTAAAAAATGCGGCGAGGTCATTGCTCATGCATTGCGATTTAAGTGAGGTAAGGCAAAGCGAAAGCCTCCTGCACCATTAGTTACTGACTAACGCGCGCGATATTGCAGCTACAACGACATATTAGTTCCGAAGCGAGCGGCGCTCACTTTGCGGGGCACCGCCATGTTTTCCCGCATCCCTACCGATCCCTGTCACATGATCTCAGAATCCCTCTCCTAGGTACTGCGGCTAACGTTAGCCGCGGTTAGCGCTTCGAGCAAACGGGCCCTAAAGCCCCTGTATCCTGGGAAAAGTGGCGCCTTCATTGTTGTGGAAACGCGCGAGACACGTTCAGCGCGCCACTTCTGGAAAGAACATGGCGTCTGAAATCTAGCTCAGTGCTGCGCTGTGCCGCCATGACCTTCCCAAGGGATGCAAGTTGCACGTGCCTCGTGCATCGACGCACTTTGCGCTACTTTTGAAACATGAAGGGGCTTTAATGGGCCCTGCTGTTCATTAATAATGTTTATGTTGTTCATTTAGTGTGAAACGTGTCGCGAGTGACGATTTTGAAACAACACAGAAAGAAAAAAAAAAGTCAGGGGTTTGACATTGGCGTTTTGTATTATATATACAATATATATATATATATATATATATGCTCGGGCTGAGAGTGGTGGAAGGAGCGAGGAAACGTCAGAAGGGTGTCCGAGTTTTTTTCTTTTCCTTCCCGCGCCGAGACCCTTCTTCAAACCGAGTGGCACCCGCCGCCTAAAGCCCCTTCATGTTTCAAAAGTAGCGCAATGTTCGTCGATGCACAAGGCACGTGCAACGTGCAGCCCTTGGGAAGATCATGGCGGCACAGCGCAACACTTAGCTATTTCAGGCGGCATGAATTTCCCAGAAGTAGCGCGTCGCACGTGCCTCGAGCATTTAACAACAATGAACGGCGCCACTTTTCCCAGGATAGAGGGGCTTTACCGTCGCCGGCACTGCCACGCCTCTCAGCTTCTCAACATGACAAAAGAAAAAGCCAAGGAGAAGGATGCCTCCTCGTCAAACGCGCCAACGCGCCACCCTCGTCCAACAGACATGGGATGCAATTTCTGCCTTCTTCGCCTGAACCTTGGGAGCTGCCCTGCTTCCAATCGTCGATGGCCTGGCCAATCTCGCCCCACGCGGCCAGCAGTCTCAACAGTCTCTCTCGCAAAACTGTGAACGCGAGCTATTCGAACGTCGGCACGGTGAGCTCGAACATTCAGACGCGCCGAGAGATCGCTTCCAGCATCGCCGGAGGCCTCCCCCTGCCACCGCCGGAGGTATGGCTTCTACGAGAATCATTTCTACCAGAGCCACCAGCGCAATCCAACTACCTCTGATAGAGCCCCCACCACCCATGCCGGAGCGAGGGTCCGTCATGCCTACGACATTCTGAGCGACCTCGCCCAGGACACCATAAGTCTCTCCACGAGAGATGTCCATGAGATCAGGCATCTCCCCCGCCATCGGTTCTACTGGGATGACATGCTCCCCGAACACCAGCACCTCATTTTCGATAGACTGGAACTCTTCCACGTCGTCGCGAGAGGGAACTGTAGGACGGCAGTCCTATCCCAGACGTCGAGGATTCGAGTCTGAGGTTTTCAGAGAGCTCCCCGACCAGCTACCCAACCAGCCTCGACGCGGACGCCACACGCCTCGTGCTCCCGCGCACACCAGCTACCGCCCAGACACCAAGTCGAAGAGGCCCCCTAATCGTGAGTCCGGCAGTTACGCTGAGTCTTCGAAACCCACCAGTGCCGTCATCGACGGCACAGTCGTCTCCTCGACGCTCCTGTGCGTTTTTCTTGTCGAGGACATTCTCGCCCATGCTCTTTGCGAGGCTGGCGTCTCGGCCGACCGTGCCCGAGCTTGATCTTGCATCGAAGAAAACGACCCAATGGATCCCGACTCGACAACCACCGCCACCGAGCGAATCCTGGAGTGGCTCAGCAGGACCGACAGTCATTGAGCCCCACGCGGATGACGGCTCCTTCGACACGTACGATGGCAAGGAGGAAAGCCACACCAACACAAAGGAACACACTACAGACAAACAAAGCGTCGTCGAAGATTCTCAGTCGGACCTGGGTAGCACTGCCTACAAGTCAAAAGCGACGGGACCTACACCGCCAGTCCACTCGACCCAGCAGGCACCTGAAGTCGACTGGGCAGTGTTTAGTGAGGCAAGTAGTTTTCACGGGCCGCCCGACTACGGCGGACTTTCCATTCGCTGCACAAAGGCTTCTTGCCTCACGGCCCGCCCAGCCCAGCTCTCAATTTTATTACTTCATTCCACTTAGCAGTATTTTACTAGTGGATGGCTGTAGTTCTGTTCCTTCCTTCAGTGAAGCGGAGACTCGCCTGCATGTATGAGGTTGAAATCAACTGTAGCGACGAGAAAGTGCGAATGGTTCTTCCAGCATCAAGTGGGAACTTTCTTAGGGTAATTGTTTATAAATGGTGCCAAACAACAGAGTAGCGGTGTTTATTTTAATTTTTATTATATAGAACGCGATGATCCCCGAGTACTAGAAGTAACATGTATGCTCGGGCATCAAACTAAATAATGTAAGTAGATGTAGTGAACAAGAGTTGGAGCTAGGAACGTGTGCAACTTCTGACCAATTAGAAGTATTAAGACGTTTCTAGGTTCCTTGTATTTCACGTTATTGGGTATCTGAGACTGCTTTAAACAGTTTTTTCTAAAATGGCTGTCTAGCATTTCAATTAGACAAATTATTGGAAAAACCGAAATAAACCGGTTTTTATGAACGTGTAACCGGTAACCGAAACCGTAAAAATTAAAACCGTAAAAAACCGAAACGAAACCGTTATCAACAGGAAGCGGTAACCGTAACCGTAACCGAAACGTTATATTTTTCGGTTTGAGTCCCTGGATAAAAGTGACGCTGCACTAGTTCACCGCCCTTTCGATTCTGGTGCTCGGAAACTATACCTCGACTGCCGTATTTATTCAAACATGGACCCATATTTTCTTTCCCCGTTTCTGGGTGCAGAATTTTAAAATCAGCGGTGAACTCACAGTCAAGGCCGAAGAAGGCCAACCTGTAATGTACCGAGCATAATTTCAGAGTCAATCGTGCCAATTCCGGTGCTGTCCCATGCCAGCTGCTGCTCCCAGCATTCCGGTGCAAAGCGGTGAAGTTCGGCGCATGCACGGTAACGTGAGGCAGTGAAGGTTGAAGTGGCGAAGGTAAAATGTAAACACATTGGAATTTATATTGAGATCCCACCGCGTCGCGAATATTAGAACCCCTCGAATTATATTGCTCGAAAAATAAGTCGTTTACAGTATACGGCGAGTAGAGACGCCATGAAATGCACATTTGTACCATTTTCCTTTCCCTCTACTTCTCCAAATCACCGCTTATTGGGATCATACTATAATACAGTAGAACCTTGTCGGTACATTTCTCAAGGGACCGCGGAAACAAAACGTACAATCCGGGGAAAAAAAAAAGCGAGAAGGCCCTGGGGGGGGGGGGGGGGGGGGGGGGGGGGGCGGGGGGGGCGGGGGGGGGGCGGGGGGGGGCGGGGGGCTTGGCAGGATTGGCAGTTTTGAATATAAAAGCCGGGGAATTGTAAAAACCGGGAACATATCTACGATGTTCTACCGTAAAGTATTTTTATTTTCCGCCTCAAGCTCGTTTTGGCCCAGGTGCAGTGCAATTCTTGCAGAAAATGGCATTTTGGCACAAGACGTAGCAGACTTTTGTTTACTGCGCAATTTGGTGTAAATGGTGCAGACTACCAAGTGTAGAATACCGAACACACCAGCAGTCGGAGACGCGATCCAAGCGCCGTAGAGTCATTACTCCTATGTACAGCCTATTCAGTGGCTTGAGTACCTACATCGAAGCTCGCAGTTTGTTTGTCAGTCAGAAAAAGCTGTTTGGTTTTTCCTTCGATCTCCGGTCGCTTCGCAGCATCACTGCCAGACAGCATGTGCAAGCTGAAGAAGCTGGAGAGCCTGCTGCTGGGCGTGAACCAGCTGTCACGGCTGCCCGAGACCCTCTCCCAGCTGGGTAACCTCAAGACGGTGGTGCTCAGCGAGAACCGGCTCACCAGCTTCCCTCGCTGCTTCTGCGGCCTCAAGCACCTCGACGTGCTTGACCTGTCCCGCAACCGCATCGCCGAAGTGCCAGACTGCGTGGGGGACCTCCAGGCCACCGAACTCAACCTCAACCAGAACCAGGTAGCGAGAACCAAACTTACCTCGACGCGCTTCGCATAGATCCGACTGACGCCGGACGCATCGCGCGTCTGCGTCGACCTGCTGCAAACTGTTTTGAAGAACGAGGACCGACACAACTAAAGCGTCCGGTGGCATGGTCGTGCTCCCAGATCTCGCTGCTGTCTGAGAACGTGGCGAACTGCCCTCGGCTGAAGGTGCTGCGGCTGGAGGAGAACTGCCTGCAGATCAGCTCCATCCCGACCTCACTGCTGGCCGACTCTCAGGTGTCCCTCCTGGCGGTGGAAGGGAACCTCTTTGAACTCAAGGACCTCCAGGAGAAGGAGGGCTACGAGGCGGTGAGCGCTGTGGCGTCCTCGGCCCCTCAAGCACTCCTAAGGCCGATTCGCGCGCGTAGCCCCGTGCTGAATTGGCGCTTCTTTGGCACTACGAAGGCCGGGTCACACTTGCGGTGCAGCGCCGAATCAACGCTGCAATAAGGGACCGGATATAGCGCTCATTTAGAACCGTTTCCTCTGCTGAGGTGCCGCCGAGGGCCCTAAAGTGAGAGTTCTCTAGCTTTTTCACCTTGGGGGACCCCAAGCTACTTCGAGCGATATCGGAGGACCTTTGAATGTCGGCCGACAGATGGATTGCTCCCTAATGCAAGCCAAGTGGTGGCGCGGTGCTCGGATCAAATCCATTAGCCACGCCCAGCCATAGTGCTCCGAGCGTCATGGTTAAAAGCGCAAACTTCGGCCAAGCTGACTCGGCGTCCCTTCCTGGCATGGGGCATGTCACGGTCATGTCTACAAGCTTTTAAAATGAAAGAAGAAAAAAAAATGTCTCGCTCTTATCTTGACGTTTCCCATTGGAAATCAAAGGTCTGCCTCATTGCCCCACGCTAGTTTCTAAGATTATAACCGAATACCATTTTGTAGTAGCTTAACACTGTGTCTCATCTCCCATTTTCTTTTCAGTACATGGAACGCTACACTGCAACCAAGAAGAAGATGTACTGAAGCGTGCCTTGCTAATACCTAGACGGGCTCTCTGTTTCTGGACAAGTCGTGGCCCAACTTCCCTCCTCCTCGCATTTACGGTAGCGAATCCTGCACGCATTCCAGAAACGCCGCGGGTTTCCTCGAGGCGGAAAGAAACAACAAAAACGAAGAAACCTTGCAAGGACACGGTTTATGTTACGCACGTTTTCGGAGCAAACTGCGGGAGTGGCCGTGCTTCTGGTCTCGGCGCAGTCTGTGGGCCTTTTTACGCAGAGAGAGGCAAATATCAAATAAATTAGTTTGTTTCTCGTCCTCGGCAGATGAATGAGAGGGGCGTGCGAGAGAGGACCCACTTGTCTGCTGTTCGAGTTGCACGCTTTGTTTTTCGGATATTTATTGCGCACCTGTACATATGTAACTAGAACATGCCCGACCGCGAGCACCGCCATTCACACTGTGAGCACGATTGCGGAAGGCAACGTGACTCGAGTTGAGAGTCCAAAAGTAAGACAGCTAAAAAAGAATTCAACGGCTAACCCAGTACTACCGCGCAGGAGGAACTCTCTTTATTTCCGACCGCGTTTTGATACATGATTGAGGATGATATACCGCCATGATAGGAGTAGGTGTGACACGTCTCGTTGCCTTTACACTGGCATAAATTAAGGTATGAACAATAAATATATTTATGCGAGTCTATGCCCCATGGTGCTCCCTCCTTCTCTCGACGTGCCGGTCCGGCCGGGAACGTCCGGTTGGTCTTCAGACCACGCCGAAGTGGACGCATTGGATCGTCTGGCCTTGCTGGAAATAGGATGGGTGAGATTAAGGCCAGCTTGCGAATTTGTCTTCTTACAACGAAAACCTACACACATATTCCCTAATTTATTATGCATTGTTTGTGGGCTTGAAATATGCCGACAATGTTGTAAGTAGGATTCAGTGTTTTCGGAGTTACTTCTCGTGAAATTCAGAAGGTGTTTTTCTGAGTTCATTTTCAGCTAGAAAATCTGAGTTTATCAAATATAATTTTTTTTATTCCAAATGTTTTTTAAAATTTGGAGATTAATTTTACTTAGTTTCCATTTTTTTTTTTTTAAATTCAAAGTAAAAATAAGAATAAGGTTTATAAATTAACACTTTAAATTCTTCGGAACTCTCCTGTATCGAATGATATTTCTGCAGCTGCATTTAGCATTGGTGCTTTGCCATTGGCAATACTAACTATCCCACAACAAATATTGCCAAGAAGTGTTGCCTCAACAACAGTTGAGACTCTGAAATAACTAAACTCTTGGACGTAGTTGCCAAAATATACGGGTTCATAGCTACCTCCGTTATAAAAACACTACCCCTCCTTCCATTTAAGAAGCACACAAATAGTATGGTCCAAACTAGAATCCTAAACCATGGCTTTGGTCGTGACCGAGTGGTACCATGACTTGTTGCCTTGGTACCACTCTTGTTGCCGAGATTTCGAAGGAAACTAAAGTGGCCACTCCTCAGGACAAGTGACCCTGTGCTCTTATGAAATATTTGTAAAATACCTTCTGTTTTTATACCTTCTGTTTTTACTTTTTTTTTGTGCCATCGTGACTTCGGAATTTCGGAATAAATCTAAATTGACTAAAATTTTACCGGGGAGTGTTTTTCGGATTTATCCGATAATACGGAACCCTAGTTACAAGCAACCATTCCTTATCCACAGTGTGTAGTTTTTATAATGGAAATGTTGGAAATGCTGCAAAATCTTCAATTTAGTTATGTACAGACAAAACGTTTGAGAGCTACCTGATGGATGACGCTAGCGTGTTCTCTCGCCATAAGCGTAAATAAAATAATGTAAAAAAACATTAAAAAGCGGTTACACGCTCGGTCACAATCAAGACATATCTGCAATATGCATTTGATTGTGACGACTATAGTCTGCACCTAATGCATAACTAACAAGGGCAAGTTTTGGCAGAAAAAAAAAAAAAGAGTTTTTCCTTAGGTCCTTGGTGCACACCTCGGATGCAAAAAGTTATCACACGCAGCATACTTTAAAAAAATGCTTGCTGTGTTAACAAGCTTGCATCAACGCAGAAATAACCGTCGACATAATATGTCATTCGCAAGATTTATCGCGTCTCGTCACTGTGAACGGTCTTGAAGACGCAAGTTCTTGTAGGTCTGCATTTGTAGATAGCTTGCGCCGCGTTAAATTTCAGCTTCTAAACGTGTGTAGTTTCGTGGACCGTGGTCCGGAATATATGGCATTCGGGAGGTGGTGCACTACAACTGAAACGTGCATCACTGCTGCAGGTTTGCTGGCACTGCAAGAATGTGTGCTGTTCGAGAATCAATCAAATTCTTTGTGCCGCATCTCCGTTTGTGTTGTGGAATGCTGGCCACCGATGCCCCCGGGGAGGAGAGTGGTTTTCAAGGTCCCGTTGACGCTGAAATGCTTTTTCGTATTGCGATGCAAAAATGTCATGACGTGTGCATCCTAAGTGTGCATATATATCTGGATTTGCACAAAAAGCTGGGTTTTTCCTAGACAAACTTTTTCTGCTCTTCGATTTTCAAAGCTGCAAGGCTCTTGAACAAGCCAGCCGGATCCCTCAAACCCTGCTTTGTTTGAGATAGATAAAGAAAAACTAGTTTAAAAAGTTAGTTTAACAATCTCTCCCGAGAAAGACTGGATTTCGCCCTTCTCTTTTTGATGAAAGAGCCCGAGGTAATCGGGCAATGTATTCATAAGGTAAGCCACTCGTATATTTCTTGTAGAGAATGCGTTGGGCTTTAGAAATTGATAGTATCCTCTTAATTTGGCTGAATCCCATAGTAGTCAAAACAACTACTCGCTAGCTGTACTTTGTGCACAACTAACCAGTAGTTGTAGGATGAAATTGAAACACTCAATTCCAATGTACACCTTAGGTAGAAGTGCTGTTACATTAACTGCGGGTCCACCCTCGTATCCTCCAATAATGACGTTAAAACAACTTGTAAGAAATATAAGGCTTCCTGTATTGCAAAGAGAAAAATAAAATACAAAAAAGTGCCAAGAAACAAGTAATTTCAAAATGGCATTTCTATAAAAATAAAAAAAAAATATATATATATATTTTTTTATTTTTTTTAAGTTAGCTTATAAAGCGTTTTAAAAGATTTACCTAGCCATTATTATATCTTGTGGGCAATCTGGCTTTTAGCCACTTTGTTTCCACCAGAGAGGCCCAATTTGGCCGGTGCAGTACCATTGCAAACATGAGCTCGTTCAGCCCTCATGGCAGAGCAGTAATTATAGTGGTTTACGCAGCAGATGGAAAGCAGGGGTTGGACGTGAACTGCAGATGCTGCCAGTGGGTTGAGTGCAAGTGCGAAGAGGTGCCGTGATGACAAACTAACTTGCTTACCTGCCTCTTCCGAATAAACAAAAAATTGCCTCCGAGAATCGGTTGGCTGCCCCTACAGGTACGTAATCTGAAAATTCCGCATGTCATGTGGATGGAAGTACTGCAACTTGATGCTGAAGGCAAGCAAGCACTGCCGTCGAAGACAGATCTCGATGTGCCCTCGCTATTTCGGTCGATGCAGTTGCGTACCAATGTCGCAGTTATCGAAAGAGCTTATGCGGTGGCAAGAAGGAAAAAAACGGCCATCACATTATATAAATGTGTGTACTACTACATTTTGGAGACTCCTATACTATAGCTTGTGTGTCTATGAAATGTTGCTTTGCCTAAACATTAGAATTAATAGTACCTGAAACTAATCTTCCAGTCAAGGACCATGGGCCACGGACTGAAAGTTTGCGCAGATCCGCACCAGAATACACAAGTTCACTCTTCTCAGTCTTGTTATAACAGCCCTAGTTTTCTCAATATGTTCGGTTGACTCTGGTGTCCAAGTCAAAGCTATACAAAAAATATTCGTAGAAATGCTAGCTGGTCGTGCACTCGTGCCACTGAAGTCTGTAGCAGTGTTTGGCAGAGCGTGAGAATGAAATTTCTAATAAAAATTACTGGTATGCATTTTCTCACAAAAATGGCAACAGCCCATCTAAATTTTCACTAAGATTTTGACACATACTGTATAAATGACCAATTCCTCAAAGTAAGCTTTGGTGCTAGGATTATTGAAGGAACTACCGTAAAATACCGGAGGTGAGCCCACTCCACTTTTGCTGAAAATTGAATTAATCTAGACATGGGCGCTTGTCCAATCAAATCGGGTGCTTAACGTATAATTTGCAGAATTCCCAAGTTTGGAACTTGTTAATAGTGGGCGCTTGAACAAAGTGGACGCTTCCACAGTATTTTACGGTACATAGCAAAGCTACAATTCATATTATGAACTATTTTTACAAGAAACTTGGCATGACACTGCAGTGAAGTTGCCTACAGCATTGAGAAAAGGTGCTGGTTGATAAAATAATTATTCAAATTAATTACCAATAGGAGCTCCTTAATAAGGACCTGCCCATCATTCTACAGGGTTCCCCACTCATTTTAATCGAAATGGTAGTCAATTTCATCAAAGTGCCATTCAATTTAATCGTAGCGCTTCCAGATTTAATCTTGGTGCCGGTCAATCTAATCCACAATATGTACATGCACGCTTTTGTCTCCGGTGGTTGTGTTTAGCTTACACATTTGATAAATCCGAGTAATTATTTATACAATTAGATTTTGTTGGGGACCAAAGATATATTTGTCAATATTTCGATCACGTGGAGTTACTATAGTTGTACCACTGACATGTGGATTACTCTTTCTTGAGTTATTAGTTCGACTTTCTCGACTTCAGCTGAACTGACACTCTGTTTACTTTTCCTCATCACTTCGACTTATTATTGATACAGTTCAGTTGATATAAGTATAATTGCAATTTGTGATTACTTTTTTTATTACTTCTCGCTATTACTGACACCTCCGACTTAAAATCGCTTTCACTTCTATTACTTCCACCTATCAAAACACAATTTACATATTAAAATTTCAACAAACATTTTTATTAATCTCGATTACTTGGAGGAATTATTGACAAAAATATAACTTCATAGAAACTCGTTTGATATTCTGATTAATTTTTGGTTGTGTAGCTATTATTGACACAAACAACTTTATAGAAGCAAATATTTTGTTACTCAGTCGATCACTCTGAATTTAAGATTGACAAGGGCGACCTCATATAAGTTCAGCTAAGAGTTTGATTACTCCTTCGATTAATCTGTGTTACTATTCGGCAAGTTTACTTCAAATTAATTAATTTAGTGGTTACTGTTTATCATTTCCCAATATGGTATTTATACAACTGAGTTAATATCAGCATTATTGACATCTTTCAGTAACTAGTGACCTATTTAATTTTATACTGTTCTAACTTACATAATCCTCTCTCATTATTACTCTGAGCTTTTATACCGCCGAGTGATTTATTATCAGCTCAGCTTCCATTTTGACCACCCTTTTGATTACTTTGATTTACTATTGACCCAATGGAGTTTGATTCGGCCTAAGTGACATCAGTTGACATTACTTTGAGCAAATTTTAGACTAACTGATTTATTATGAGCACGAGTCACATTATGATCGCTCTTTTGATTACTTAGAGTTACTAGTGACCCAATGAACTTTAATTCACCCTCACAGACCTATTGCTATATTACCCAAACATCAAGGAGAATGCAGGGGATTGGTGTTCCACGCGCCACACGCACAGGCCTTCCCTGTATAAAATATTCAAAGTAAGTATCCAAAATAAAGCGTTGACGAATGCACCTGCAAGATGAAATTTGTTTTAGGCATTTGCTTTAGAAAATTTGCTACTGCTGAGGCCAGCATGTGCGGCATCTGGAACACTAATCCCTGCATTCTCCTTGATGCTTGGGTAAATTAGCAATAGGTATATTGAGATCTTAATTACTTGATTACTTTTGATTCAACCAATTGATTAGTTATAAGCTTAATTGCTATTGTGATTAGTAGTTTGATTACTCCAAGTAACTATTTACTCAATAGACTTTATGTCAGCTAATTGACATTGTTGTGCCTTTCTTCATTGCTGACGAGTTATTATGCAATCAGTTCATCTAGTATTAGCTCAATTCAGAATATTATTACTTTTTTACTAATTAGTTACTTTTGATCCATAGACTTTAATATGGCCTAATTGTCATGATTCTTTCGATTACTTTAAGGTAATATTCTAACAAATTATTTGTTATGAGCTCAATTAACATTATGATTACTCTTTATTTAAGTTACTATTGACTCAAGTAACTTTAATTTGGCCTAAGTGACATTTTGGGGACTCTCTTGATTACTTCCAATTAGTGTACCACCAGTTTATCTATTACAAGCTCAATTCACATTATTATTACTCTGTTGAGCACTTGGAGTTACCCAGTTGACTTTATTTTGGTCTAATTTACATGGTGATGACCATTTTGATTACTCTGAGGTAATATTAAACCAACTGAATTATTATGAGCCCAATAGACTCAATGATTACTCTCTTGATTACTTTGAGTTACTTTTCACCCAATTAAGTTTTATTCAGCCTACATGACATTTTGATGACTTGATTACTTTGATGTAATATTCAACCAAATAATTTATTATAAGCCTTTGACTATATCATTACTTTTTTTATTACCTTAAGTTACTATAGTGATGGAGTTGACTTTAATTTGGCCTAATTGACATGGTAATGACTGTTTTGATTACTTTTAGTGACTATTGACTTAATTCGGCATAACTGACATTTTGGTGACTATCCTAATTACTAAGATCTATGATGAGCTCAAATCACTTCAATATTACTCTTGATTACTTCAAATTACTTTTAACACAACAGACTTTAATTCAACCTACATTATATTTTGGTGGCTATTTTGATTACTTTGAGCTAATATTCAACCAAATGATTTATTGTAAGCCTAGTTGACATTATGGTTATTCCTTTGATTACTTGGAGTTACTATTGACTCAATGAACCTTAATTCGGCCCAATATACATCTTAGTGACTATTGTAATTACTTCAAGTTTTACAACCAATATATCTATCATGAGCAGAATTCACAGTAGTATTACTCTTGATTACTTTGAGTTACTTTTGACACTATTGACTTAAATGCAACCTATATTACATTGTATTGGCTCTTGATTACTCTGTTTTAATATTAAACCGATTTATTATGATTTACTATTAGCTCAAGTCACAATTTCCCCGCTAAATTTAGTGGGGAAACTGAATTGGTGTTGAGGTCACGTGACATCTAATTCCCCGCTAAATTTTCGCTAAATTTCCCGCAAAATTTAGCAGGGAAACTTTCACAAAATTTGCCGCTAAATTTAGCGGTAAAAGTTTTGCTAAATTTTTTTCTGAATGGGAGGCGAGGAGGAGGGCAGGGTACGGAGGGGGAGGAGGGGCATACCCTCCCCTCCTCCTCAAGAGCTGCGCTCTAACTTCGCATTACAGAGGACTGTAAACGTCTTTAATTTTTTTTGTTTGTGTTTTTCTCAGCTGAGTTAAGTTTCAATTTATACTTCGTCTCAACCTACGATGGACTAGGGTCTGAGGGCTGGCGGGCGGAGCACTGCATCAGAAGAGCTTGCATCTGCATTACGGAGGAGTGCATGAGAGAAATTCCGATACACAGACTACGAAGTGCAGTAACCTAGCACACATGGTTCTCTGTTATGAATGCGCTATTTTATATTGGTGAAATAAAGGAACATGGCTATTTAGTTTCATAAGCGTCCTTGCCGTATTTCGTAAACCTTTCAACTGTTTGGAGAAGTTGACGGAGCGCAGGCAACACTGAAATAAAGTCGTTTCGCCTTAGCCATAACAATCTAATCCAATCCAACTTTTGCGTACGTAAAACATACTCATCTTCATTTCTTATTAGCCACTGGTTCTGATCCCGAGTTCTCTTTGCCCCATCGCTTCTAGACGGTATTTAATCCCTGAAGTAGTCTTCGGTAGTAGCAAGCAGACGGAGCCGCTGCGAGGGCTCGATAAGCAGACAAAAAGCTCGCCTCCGCATGACGCGTTTTGGTGCACTGATACGTACGACAGAGCAAATATACCACATGGTTTCTAACAGGCACGTGATTGGATCTGGTGGCCTGTAGCATTGGGCTTTAGTCCATCGTGGGATGAGACGGAGTATACTGAAACGATTTTCCACATTTCCCTTGGACAAGGCAAGCATCATGCGACTGACATTTTGGACAGGAATGTCAATACAAAGCACTTACCAAGATTTCTTCAGATTGCTCTTCAACTGCAAAACAAAAATGAAAAAAAAAAATGCTCAAGAGCAGCACCCGCTACAACAAGCTGACAAACTTTCAGCACACGAAAAAAAAACTTTCAGAAATTCAGAATGACTAATTCAAAGATGCTGGCTGTCAAAAAGCCATAAACAAGTAAATTTAACTGGAAAGCTGCACTAAGAAGGGTGCGTGCCAAATTTTTATTTATCAACTAACCGCAGTTGGCAGCTGCGGCAAATTCCACCCATAAAGCGATCACTCATAAGAAAGTATTAAAATAGAAGCCCCGACAACTTGGGTCCTCAGCAGCTTGATGGACCCAAAGCGTTCAGGCCCCCTCCCCCTTTTTAAAACTCTCAATTACGTTTCTTTATTGTGCATCCCCATTTGTGAAACAAGCAACTTGTACAATCACACCGTCAAAATTCAACTGACTTTCATTCTCTAGCTCCTTCCTTCTGATCTTCCAGCAAAGAGGGGGTGGGGGTGGTTACGCTTGCAGGGGGCTGCGAAATGCACTTTGACTCGCATGTGAATTTTCTCTAGGTAAAAGCAAAAATTTCGCACCCAAAATTTTTTTTTTTTTAGGGGGTGTTTGCAGAAGGAAATATATTTCTCGCAATCTACGAGATATAGGTACATTGGTCAAAATCGAACAAGGAGGTTGTGTATTCCTGCGTTCCAACCAACACACTCCAGCGACATTTTTACGGTACTGTGAGACTTGTAAATTTTCAAACAAAAACTTTGGCCTAAACATTTTCAAGTTTGCAGTTCTGATTGCTTGCGTAAAAAGTCCCTCCGGAAGTATTATGACAACCCTCGATTTATAAACTGCATCCCAAACGCAAAACCACCGTAAATGGCAAACGGAGTGTTAAGAAAAAATGACCGCTAAAAAAAAATGACCGCATCTCCAGGTGGTGAATGATGTTGATCGGGGTAAAGTTCTGGTGGTGCTGATGATACAGATTTTGTTCATAGGTAGTGCTGAGGATGCTGATTTTTTAAAATTTTTACTGCTCATAAGTAGAGCTGAGTTCTGGGTGGCGTTTTAACTTCATTAGCCAATGCACGCAATTTAACACGATTATATAAGCATTTGACCGCAGCGCCCTCCCCTGTATAGACGTTGAGCGGCTACATGCAACGGTTCATCCATAACATCCCCAGCTCTCGAGTTACTACCACATCTCAGAGCCCCCTACTCGTCCCACAGTCGTGGCCGAGTGGTTAAGGCGATGGACTAGAAATCCATTGGGGTCTCCCCGCACAGGTTTAAATCCTGTTGACTGCGCAAACATTTTTTCTTTTTTTGAAGACAGATGGGATGGCAACCGATGTGAGCACAGATGCCGGACAAGGCTAGACCCTAAGGAGGTTCGCCCCTAAATAAAAATTGGCGTGTGTATGTTTACACAGCCTAAAATTTTGTCTGCCTCAACGGCTGGCAAGTCTCCCAGCTCTAGATGAGCAATTTAGCCACTGCAGTATAACCGCTAGCCTGGGGTCTTCAACATGCATCATGCAGTAGTGATACACGCCTGCATGCCGGTACGATGCTCATACAGATTGAAACGGGCAGGGGTGATGATTGAACCCAGGATCCCTGGGTTCTGCAGCGCGAGCTTTTGCTCCACGTGCTCCGAGCTGGTGTCTGCTAGCCCACTCGGCCACCAATCCCCCAACGGAGCATGAACATTTTTTGGAATCGCCGTCATTCAAATGCTTATTCACATACCGTCAAAACACGAGAAGGTGTTTGTCCGCGTCATTTAGAGAAGCAAATGCAATAAGGCAAGAAAGCTTGTTTACTATACACAATGTTTCGAATTCTTTAATAAAATAACAAACTTAGCTTAGAGATCTTCCTCAATGAACAAGTCTTTCTTTTCCTAAATTTCAAAATGCGAAGAGTGAGAAAGCTAGATAACTCCAAAATGAGTGCTCAAGCTTCGAAACTACCTATACAACTCCGAAAAACCCATTATTTCACTGTATAATGCAAGGTCATGTCTACTCCAAATTTATTTTAAAAAAAAAGAGAGTAAACTGAGAAGTACCGATACCCCAAGTACAAAATTTACAAATGCAGGACCCCAATTATAATTTGTTTCCGGGTGCAAATATTGATCAACGCCTACTATACTTCGTTTCACGATAACTTGGCAAACTGTGGAGGTTGTGGCCCCATCGACCCAATGAGGACGTCGGACCAAAGCACGTGACAACACTCCGTGGTCGAGGTCACAGAGCCCTCCTTACCGCCGCAGCAACAGCGCTGTCTGCGACAAAAAGTGGTTCTGGGCTTCTTTTTCTTTTAGTAGTGTTGCGGTAAGACTCCTCTGACTGCAACGCTACACGACACAGAAGAAAGACGAAGAAATGTTACTTTTCAACGATACCTAACGTGGATCAACGCTTTTCCGAGAAAAACATGGCTTTTGAACAACGTTTGAACCATCGCAGTTGTGTAATCCACCGATTCCGCCTAAAATACTGCCCTGGCATTAGCACCTGCTATAGATTCACGGGTAAATTGAGCATATGGCTGTTTCGTCAACTGTTCCCGAAGAGCTTGCTACTCTAGCGGTTCGTTTCGCAGCAGACGACTCTCAACCGGCAGACGACAGCCGGTCCCTTCAGGCCTCGCATTTGGTGCAGCGGCATGAACGCTCTTGGGACACGACGTCACGTGTCTCATTCCAACGCTCTCACTGGGTCGCAGGGGCCGTAGCCTCCGCAGTTCGCCAAGTCATTGTGAAATGGAGTATGTATTGGAATACAATCCGTAATAGCTAAAATAAATCCGGGCTTTATCTGGCATTGGTAGTTTTTGGCAGTAATTTTTTAAATAAATGTTGCTATTTATTTATAATCTTTCTTCCACGGGTTTTTTTTTTCGTCACCTAAACTTAAAACTAGTTACGCTCTAGATAAATAAATGGTTCTCTGTTTTATTTCAGAATTCAATAAAAATCTACGCCATGCGAAATGCAAGTCTGTTTCTTGCACAGGGGCTGCGATGATGTCGGAACATTGAGCTATTATTGGCGGATCGGAAAAAATAGTAGGTAGACCTTGAGGCATCTAGCACTGAGGTCTACCCACTATCCTTCCAATCAAAGCCAATCAGAACTCGGTGTCGTTCTGACGTCACCGCAGCCCCCGCGTAAGCCGAGTAGAGTGCTGACTGCTATCTCTATATGGATCATGTATTTATCTGGTCAAATTTAGATTTACTCAAAAATATCCATCCTTATTTAAAAAGCTATTAGACATACCTTTAACAGATGAGTTTAGCGGGAATCTTATATTAAGCTGGAATTTGGAGGGACAAGAATTGCCTGAATAGATTCCGACTCAGAGTCCCGGCATGGTTTGGAGGTGGCTGCTTTCTTCGTTCCACAAAATGAAATTTTGTCATGGATGACATCTTTCTGTATAAAAAAAAGTTCCTGATATCCGTTGCCATTTTTTTCCGACCCAAGTTAGTCAGCGAGGAAAGAGGAAAGGAATGCGCGAGATGTTCTCTTACGTTTGTGCGGGAATATACCCGATCAAGAAGAAATCCAGAGCTGGTAAAAAAGTGAGGCTTACTATAAACTTTTGGAAACAACAACAAATGTATGGCTGTGAGTTTCGATTGGACAGTCTCTGATGCACCTTTCCCTTGGTGCCAGATAGTGACACATTGAATTATGGCCAAAGGGTCAGTTGAGTTGACTTAGTGCGAAGGTGATTTCGCAGAACTGCCCCTTCCGAACACAGACGTCCGACCTCCCGATTTTAACCCCCAGCCTCGTGGTTCTCAAATGGGGGTCCGCGAAGGCATTCTGGTGGTCAAAAAAGCGCTGCATCATCAGTCAAACGCGGCAATAAAAGTTGTATTTTTTCTTAAATTGAGAAGAAACGTTCCAATTCTTCTTGAGCGAGTTTTCTCGTGTGTATGTCAATGAGAGAAGTATACTTCACATGGTCACTTTGCTATATCCATTTATTAAATCATTATCATAATTAACCTTTACATTTTCCCTCCCCTGACCATGAACAGGGTCCTTCATCATCTTCACCGATTCATAAGGGGTCCGTGAAACGTGAATGGTTGAGAACCACTGCCCCAGCACCTCTCCCCAACGTCCTCGGAGGGCCACATCCACCACCACCACTCATGGTTGGCTCTTCCGTGAATCGTCTTGAAGACACGTGGCTTATTACCGAGGCTGGAGAGCCCCATCCTCAAGGCCAAACACTGCGCGTCCTTTGGCATGTCAACTATGCGGCACTCGGCGTGGCTTTTGCAAGGGCAACCTGAAACCGTGTGCATCCTCAGCTCATGGGACACGGAGTTGAAGAGAACGCAAGAGGAATGGCCCATTAAAATCTCTAGTGGAGCTAGGCTCCCGAGGCTCTGAAAATGGTGTTTGTTTGGTCTCTGCCCGGCGAAGATTGTTGTTGATTTTTTCCTTTCTGATTGGCACGGCCTTTCCCAACCTCCCCCCTAACGTCCGCACAGCCCTAGGCATGCGCTGTGCACAAAGATACTGCTGGAATATCTGGACGGAGAAGTGGATACAGATGCGAGAGTGCGCGAAAATGAAAGGGTCCGAAGGAAACTTAAGAACTTGGTGTTTGGGCCGTTTCACCACTTTTTTGCTTGGGGCTGGTGTCTGGGCTTTATCGCCACCTAGCGTTCATTGCGGGGGATTACGGTGTTCTCAAAAATGAGTGTGCCCCCCCCCCCGGTTTGGGGGCGAGGGGTCACAGAGGCAAAAGTGAGGCAACTGATTGCCAGTTTCTTTCAATTTGTTTCTTCCACAGACACAGGGCAAGACCTTTCTTATTTTTTTTTTTCAGATAATGATACTTTTTAAGTATAGTTACTTTCAATTTTATTTTTAAATTGCTTTCGGTTGTTTCTTCGCTTGTCAGCAAACCAATGGTCACTCTGCTTGCTTGGGGAGGTGAGGGGGCAACTGCCCCTTTTGCACCCTCCTGCTGATGCCCATGTATATATATATATCTTACAACAGTGCAATCCACTTATAACAATACCACGTATAGGCCGAATATTTTTGATTCGAATATCGAATAGTTTTTCCACGCCTTTCATTAACGTTGCACCACACTTAGACGAAAATCCAGCTAAACTCGTGCCAGTTGTTCCACTTGTTCATTTATAAGCTAAGTTTCATCTATCTATATTTATGAACTGTGACCTCAGAAGGTCTGATGTCTTGGGAACGCAAGTAAATAACGGATATGACATAAAATGAATCCTATAAAGATGGCCAACTATGCCAAATCGAGTGAATTTAAAAATCTTGCTATATAAAATATTGTTTCTTTAATCTCGAGTTTACAAAACTGTAGAGCCCTTCCACTTCTTGTGAAGATGGAGGACCAGCGAAGCCGTTATCTTCACGACGTCTAGGGCGACCTCAAGGACGACCTCAAGGACGACGTCTAGGACAACCTTAAAGGGGTTATGACACGAAAATTAAACGGATAGATTATTCTTGAAATGGAATGCTCATAGGCTACTTAGTATATACACCAAGTTACGCAATTTTTAGGGCTCTGATAATTGCAATATTCAATTTACGAATTTTTATCATTTTCATCTGGCGACCAGGCAACACTGCTCAAGTTAGTCACTCCATGGTGTCCATAAACCACGTGACCATGATCACACTCTCATTCTAGGCGCCCCCATGATCGCCCAAGCTCTTCTCGTCACGGTACGAACAAAACCGCTCAAACAGCTCGATAAACTGAAAGCTATTCTCGCTTTGGCCCCCGGCCGGTTGACCTTCCACCCTGCATGCGCCTGCGAGATATTCCCGGACGACGGTGACCACGGCGAACTCGTCGTCGCTGGAGCTCGTCAGCAGCGGCTCGCAGACAAAATGAACAGCTTTTAACGTCTCTTGATAGCAATCACTCCCATCGCTGCTGCGATCAATGTCGAACACTTCGACAAGGCGATCGATGCCGTAGACGTAATCGTGACAGACCGGATGCTGGAAACGTGGGAGGTAAACGAGGAAGCTGAGAGTTGATATGCCAAGAGAGCCGAGTCTGTGAGTGCGTGCAAGTAGACACCACGCTGGAGGCTGGCTATGTCATCAGCCTCCAGGTCCGCCCGGATCTGCCCCTCCGAGGGGCGCGCATATAAATCGATTTATCCACGAAATTATCGTGCCTTTTTCAAAACAAATTTAGCAGGATTATAGGAACATACAATGGGTCCTAGCAGTATAGTTGTGTAATATTTTATTTTTGGCGTGTCATAACCCCTAACCTTAAGGACGACTTCTAGGACGAGCTCAAGGACGACGCCTATGACGACCTCAAGGAAGACCTCGAGGACGTCTAGGATGACCCCAAGGATGACTTCTAGGATGACCTCGAGGACGACGACTAGATGACGAACTCAAGGATGACTTTTAAGATGATGCCTAGAGGATGACCTCTCAGACGACTTCAAGGATAACTTCTAGGACTACCTCGAGGATGACTTCTAGGACGACCTCGAGGACGACGTCTAGGACGACCTCAAGGACAACTCCTAGGATGACCTCGAGGACGACGCCTGGGACGACCTCTCGGACGACCTCTTGGAAGACTTCTAGGATGACCTCGAGGACGATGCCTACAGATTGATAACAAGGGATCTGGACTTCACTATATAATAATGCCAAGGAAGGCTGACTCACACTGGTTGCCCTCTCTTTTTGTTTTTATTTATTCACACTTCACCTCTTTGTTTTCATTTATTCACACTTGCCACAAGCAATTGGGAGTTTTCTGTCGACATGTGAGGACACATTTTTTCCCAGACCCTAGCTTATAACAGCTTCGCTGTAAAAACAAAGAATCGCACATGATGAACGCAGGTTCTAAGGGCATCTCTGCCTAACATATACTTTACTACAATGGAGATATACACACTCACAAAGTTTCCATTTATTACAGCGAAGCTGTAATAAATGGAAACATGCATCCTCACATGTCAACAAAAACTCCCAGTTGGTCGTGGCAAGTATGAATAAATAAAAATAAAAAGGGGGCAACCAGCACAAGTCAGCCTTCTTTGGCATTATTAGAAAGCGAGGTCCTGATCCCTTGTTATCATCTGTAGGCATCGTCCTCGAGGTCTTCCTAGAAGTCCTCCTTGAGGTCATTCTAGAGGTCGTCCTTGAGGTTATCCTAGAAGTTGTCCTCGAGGTCATTCTTGAGGTCATCTTTGAATTCCTAGACGTCGTCCTCGGGTCGTCCTCGAGGTCATCCTAGAAGTCGTCTTTGAAGTTGTCCTAGACGTCGCCCTCAAGGTCATCCTTGAGGTCGTCCTAGAGGTTGCCCTCTAGGTGTCCTCCTCGAGGTTGTCGTAGAAGTCATAATTGAGGTCGTCCTAGATGTTGTCCTCTAGGCACCGTCCTCAAGGTCATCCTTCAGGTTGTCCTCTAGGAATCATACTCAAGGTTCAACTGAAGTGGATGGGCTCTCCAATTTTTTTTAAAATAAAGCCTGCACGCATGTATGCTTTTCTTCCATGTAATTTTTTTTTAAATAAGGCCTGCTTTGAATGTATGCTTTTCTTCCCAGCACGCAATTGCGAAATTCATACTTTTCCAAGTGTTCATCGCAGTGGGTTAGCCCGTTGAGTGCTGCGCTTCTTATTGAGCGCTGGTGTAATGCAGAGAAGCAACACCCGCGGAGCTCGCTTCTGGAAGTATTGCTTCTCCGCGGTGCACCAATGCTCGGTATGAAGCGTGCTCAGCAGGGCTAGCCTGCCACAATAAACACTTTAAAAAATGTGAATAGAGCAGTTCTTGAAGCGAATATTGAATAGAGTATCATTTCGAAACTACTACTCAAAATTCCGAATATTCGTACAACCCTAGAAAATAGTGATTTTTTAGTTGGAAGCAAATACAAAAAGAATAGTTTTGAGTCAAATGGAATAATTTCGAAGCAAATAGTTTCTGGTCATCAATAATCATGGTAGAGACTAAGAAAAAAAAGAACATGACAAGGTCTGAAGAGTTCTCTTCCCTGATCAATCACCAGCTAGCCTGCACACTTACTTTTATTTCAATACAGTCCTGTCTCTTTTATATGGACACTTCCATTGCCCCTAAGAATCGTCCACTATGTAAATCGTCCATAACCAGAGTCAAGATCACAAATAATGAATTGGAGGTGCGGCCACAAAGGACGGTTTTTATTTAGGGAAAAACAAATGCTGAGACTTATTTGCACATACACTTTAATGGGATTAGAAATGCAATCCGCAACAGATTCAAGCGAGTAGACTATTGCTCGTATTTTCATTGCTACTTGCGTTCCAGCATTGGTTGATGAACTCATTTGAAGTATGTAATGCATACTGTTTTTGTTTGTCTTTTTAGTCTTAATCAACGTATGTTTCACAGAATTTCAAACTTCTAAATACTTTGAAAATCTTCAAAGTTGCCAAATAGCCGTATTCAATCTGAACTTTGAATCGAACATGGCGTCATTCGCTTCAATATTTGAAAGTTTAGAATATTCACACAATCCTAGCTTATAACGATCAGTTTCTAGAGTTTCTAGTCCAGATAAAATGATAATTGGTTATAACGATTAAAATTTCAGATTGTCTCGTTATCGTTATAAGTGAAATTGCACTATAGTCGCAGCAGTTCTTCAGTAGTCATCAAGTCTCTTTTTATAACACAATAACTTGGTCAGAGCGCCCCACCATGCAAGATAGTATAAAACAGCTGAGCGAGTTTTTGTGAATATAAAGAGTTAAAACAGAAGGACATGCAGGCAGGTACCATGCCCGTTTAAGTAAGAATTGTTGCAAAGTCTGTTTTCAGGAATATAACTTTACCTGTCGGTGGAGCAATGGCGAGGCCATTTTCTCTGCGAGGCACTGCAGGTCCGGTCTCTGCTCCGTGGCTGTGTAAAGTGCACATACATGGCGTTGCATTCAGACAAATTGTGCACGTTGCACACAGCAATGCGTGTGCACAAGAACACACTTTGTATAAAATAATGTGAGGACAGCGTTGGGAAAGTGGGTCAGAAGTGGTGCGAGGCAATACAAATAGATGTTAAAGAAAAGACATGGAGATGAGATGAGAGAGTGAAAGGCGAAAATAAATTGAAAAGAACTTGTGCACATATATAGTGAGGTAAAATGTTTCAAGTTGTAATTTGTTTGGAAGCATCTTTGCACTGGTTTTGACTGAGCTTAAGAATGGATCTGATATAAGATTAAGACTGGCTTAAAGTATAGATAAGTGGTTGACTGATAGTTTAGCTATAACTAGCATTTCACCCGTCAAAAGCAGTTTGTCTACTTAGCTACGGTGTGCTCACTTCATAAAATTTGATGTAAGCCTTTTCTCGTCATTGATGTCTGGCAGCCTGTTGCTTGCATTTCTGGAATGCTTGGGTTCTCTCAAGTTAATGTAAACGATACTAACACTGAATATATTTTATTCTTTGTAGGGTGCAACCTGATGCCAATGATTGAAACAAACAATCAAGATCTTCAATAGCAGGGGTACATATTTGCCCAGTTATGTCAGTCAATATTTTGGGTCACAGGAGAGGTAGAAAAAAGACAGGGTGCAAGAAAAGGCTTTATTTCAAGCAAGCAGACAGCAGAAAGAGATAGAGAAGGTGATCAGATTACAGAAGAGAAAGAGGATACCACAACACAAATGCAGACACGGCAAGACATATCAGCAGAAGTATCACAGAGACAAGCTGCTATATCACAGATAGAATTTCACTGAAATTATTAGGCCTGAGGACATTTTAATATTTTTTTTTCTTTAGTAGTCCTGGCAGCACATAATTGAAATTAAATAAAACTATGGACTGACTCTGCTGCCCAATTGTCATTGGCCATACGCTCAATATATTTCCTGTATAGCGCTTTGTCCAAGTGCATAGCATCTTCTCCAAATAATCATCCAGAGCACTGAAAATGGTTGCAGTTGCTCGCTACAGTTATTACGGAACTGCAACAACCTAACACCACAACCGACAATTAAAGCTTATAGTCCTAAATTCTTTCAAAGACATTGACTCGAGAGTAAAAAAATTTTGCAGGTTCAACACGGGCACTCACCAGGATTGAACACATCTTAAGTGGCACAGTTAAGTATAAGCAGAAGTGTACCCTACGACAGATTTCTCACCAAGTTCTCACACCTGACATATTTCACACTAATACCATGAGAGTGCTCGTGAACACCATGAGCCCGGCAACATGTAATGCACAGGACAGTTTCTCAAAAACCGGAGATCGAGGAAATAAAAACAAAATCGACAAAATGCAAACAATGGTCTACTCCGATTCTTTTCTTGTGTTGCCAGACCGAGGGAAAATGCAAAGTCGATAGGGAAATATTTTTCTAACGTGTAATAACTTCAGTAAAGGAAGTCGCCACAAAGATGACACGCCTTTTAGGTGGTGTAGTTAAGGAAGAACAAAATAAAGTTTACAATGAAACCTTCAAAGGCAACCAGTGCCTTCTGAGTTTCCTACGATACGTCGCACCGAAAAACGCCGTCAACAAGAACAGGACCCACTTGTACACGTCCGCCACTAGCGACTGCGCAGTTTCCAAATGCTCCGGCGGATGCCGCACGATCCTCGGGATGGGCCGGATCACGGAGCGCTGCGTCGGCGTCGTAACGACGGCGGCCACCGTCCGAGGTGGCAGTGCGTGGTGAACGCCCACCGGTACGCTGAGGCGGATCCCATCTGACGTGAATTCGTAGTCTTCGTAATCATCACTCAGGTCTATGAGGTCCTCTTCCGGTGCCCGCGTCACCGGAACTGCCTTGGACGGTGGCCAGCGGTAGCTGGCACTACCGCCGCCGCTGGAGACATTGGGGACGCTCGTGGTGCTGTGCTGACCGGGCAATGAATGGGACGAGGCACTTGTGAGGTTCGTGTGCTGAGGAAGTTAGACGGAAGCAACAATCGGTAAGTTGACGAGGACCTTCGCATATTTGGAATCTGTGTGCTGCTAATACTACTGCAGCCAAGATGTGCACCTAGTTTATTTTTTTGCATATACAACTCTTGTTTGTTTCTATGTAAAGCTGTACCGTTCTTGGGTGTATAACTTTCCTCGTTCTTGAGTACTTTTACTTATTTTTACTATCGCAATTTTTGGCAGCCCATCTCTCGTGTAACGCCTCATGCTAGGGCCTTTGAGGCATTAAATAAATAAATTTACTGGGATGAAAGCCTGAACAGAGTGGATTTTCTTAGCTGTTCACCAGTCAAGTAGAAGACGCGAATTATGGTACATCATTGGTAGATGTTTCCATTATTCCTATCATAATCTCTCCTGCTTTAGGAAAGAAAAATCCATTTATTCATTATACACTTTAATGAAGGTCCACAGGCATTATATAAGGTGTTTTTCTAAACTTTACAAATAAAATTAAAAAAAAAGCCACGAGAGTTACATTAAGGTGGTCCGTGCAGGTGAGTTACATGGATAAGGGGACATAATATTGGGGGCTAATCGTCACAGTAAGTCAAATAAATAACTAGAATTTGTTGATTAACTTTTATTAGTGAAAATAATCACATGGTTCCCATTAGAAACTTGCAGAGCATCCAGAAAATCATTAAAAACCACCCAATCAGAAATTTCTAGAAAGTCTGAGTGCATGGGAAGCACAGAAGTGCACCAAAGTTACCACACCTGCAAAACGCACAAGACTGGCAGGGTGAAAACGCAAAAAACAAAGTGCGAGACACATGCACGCAAAAACTGCCGAGTCCGACATACTACGAACTGTTGGTCGGATACGACAGGTTTGGCTACACCGGCCTTAGCACGCGGCTAAATCGCCAGATATTTGCGCACGGCGGTCCGACCCTCGGACGGCTGCAGCCAATGGCAACACGGACGGCGCCAACGTCACGTGACGGTCAGCCCGATCGGGAGAGAAGGTCCTGGGCCGGGGAAGCGGATGTAATTGGTACGTCATACAAGTCGTCATCGTTAAGTGGTTCGGTCGTGAAATCACGTGACCTTCGGGAGAGACACAGCAATGCGCGAGATGCATAGTCGCGTGATTTGTATACAGTGCTCGCTTCGCTGGGAAGGCTCCCAAGGTCCGCTGCGGTCCGTCCTGATTGGGGAATGTTGAGCGAAAAATTAACCCCACATAAAATATTCAAAGGCACGTGAACTTTATTGGAATATAAGACAAATATTTTGCCTTTTTTAAAGCCAGAAATACCACGATCAGGCGGAATTATGCAACAAGCGGACGAATTTATGCGTGGCGTTGATAGTGGTTGATTGCGATATCTTGACTGTCAATATATAATGCCCGCTCCTGCCGCCCCACTAGAGCTGCAGGATGTACAAATAAAATAAAATAAATAAATTAGAATGGCAAAGGGAGGAATAATGTTTTTGTTTTTTATGGCTCGTTCGCACCTGCGAAACGCCAAGTGAATCCGTGAGGAAATCGATGTATTGCCGGCGAGGGGCGGGGGGGGGGGGGGGATTTTTTTATTGGAAATGGTATGTTCGACTGCAAGCGCAATCGGTCCAGGACTGATTTTTCCTGCACAGAAAAAGTTTTCACGTCGCCGCAGCCAATCGGAACGCACGAAGGAAACAGCATTCACGAGTTGCCGCTGGGGTTGTCAGAGTTCCCAAGTTGTGCAAATGGTGCCGTCTCGCCGGTATCATTATGTCAGCAGAAATGCTAGTTAAGACTAAATCATTCGACCCTGTTTGACGAGAGGCATCTGAACAACGAGTCAGTACCCACAAAGAAGATATGTGCAATAGAATTGGCATGTGTGATACATACACACAATGTCTCCGTTGGCTCGTTATTTCGTAATTGCCTTCCCATGTCGCCAAGAGAATGTGGGGCATTTGTTCGGCAAAGTGGGTTAGCGTTAACCGCAAGAGCAAGTCTGCGAGAGCATTTCTCCGAACATCGCTCGAGCCGGGGGCAGTCTCCTTCGATACCCGCGAGAAACCGGAGCTGCGCGAATGCGGCGGGTGGCAACAAATGTGAACGGTGCCATCTTTTTTCGCCTTGTAAATTCAGTCGGCAGCGAGAACAAGCCTCTATGCTAGGTGGCACAAGTTACCGCCCGTTATAAACGGTACAACCATTGGCGTCATCTATCCATCTGGTGGTTAAGCCTCCACGTTGGGGTACTGGAACTGGGCGGAGCTGAACGGAACGGAAACACAAGCTATCGGAGAAAAGCAGCCATTTCTCCGATAGCTTGTGAGTCGGATCGGATAGCAGTGTCGCGCATCTGTCTCGCGCTTAAGAGATGTAAAAACCACGCGGGCACGTTATTGCACCGGGAACCTTGCTCCTGCTGCACGAGCGGGTAACCTTAGCGCTCCGCCGTGCTTTCTATAAGCCCCAAGCCTTTCTAAAATTGGCTGATTTAGAGGTTTTAAATGATGCTCAGCAAGTTTCTAATTAGAACCTTAAGTTTATTTTCGCTATAACTAAAAAAGTTAATTACCGGTTTTTAGTTAATTAGCCGGCTTATCGTGATGATTAGCACCCTATATTATGTCCCCTTGGCCGTACAGCTTGCCTGTAGAAACCACATTACTGTAGCTCTTGTGGCTTTTTTTTTTTTTTTAACAAATCTGTAAAGCGCGTAAAGGACACCCTGCATAAGGGCGCACTACAGAAACAAAAGAACATATATACTAACAAGAACTCATTAGAATAGGGTAAATTAATTATACCATCTAGCTTTTTACCCCTTAAAGTACTGCTACTTATGACATTTACTATTGGGCAGGAGATCGAACTATAGGGGGCGCTCTGACACGTTTGTTTTCCCCACACTCAGTGTTTACTCAACACAAGGCCTGTGCACCTGCCGACAGGCCTTATGGGCATGTCTATGCCATCTACAATAGAGCGCGGGGCACAGTTTAATATAAAAAATACTAACAATCGACGAAGCGACGTTAAGGGCTGGATCTATCCTCAGAGAATGCGAGCTTGACCCACTTCGGCTTTTGTGCTGAGCTAGGACCGTGCATGTTGCATTGTTCATGCAGGCCGTAGTGGAAACAAAAGAGCCCCTCCACCCCCTCACCGGAGAACACAAACTCCAGCCGAACGCCGACGCCGGGTTCGGTTATGTCGGCCGAGCGCTGAGTCATTGTATTTGTTATCCCGATCCGTGTAGTTGTAAAGTTAACCGCTTGGGGCGTCATGGTCTGTCCTCGTCCCCAATAGCGTGTCTGCATTATACGCTAGGTTTTGTGGCAACTTACCGCGCGTGGTCGGCAACCACTGAAGTTGGGGGGAGGCATCGTCTGCACGGGTGAGATGCCAGGGATGGTGCATCGAGCGCCGTTTCCTTCGTCACTCGAACAGCAATCGTCCGTGAGTTCGCTTGACGAGTCGTTAAAGTCTGCAGAGTCTGCATTTAGCCAGCGACAGGCACGAGACACTTTTATTTTTGATTCGTACAATGAATGTAAAAACCAGCATTCAAAAAGAAACAACATAAAAAGTGGTGACGGGCTGCAATTTCGTCTAATCGAAAATTCGGCGCCGAATTTTAGGATTCGGCAAAGTTGAAGTTTTTCTTAATTCTAAAGATTCGGCAAAAATACTTTGTTACCAGAGTTAAGAGTTAATATTTTGTTTTATCAGGTGAAAAAATATTTTATGTTTTTTTTTTAATGCATATTGACATGGTTATTACTAAATAAGATGACATCCTCCAAGATAATTGTATCGGTGTCCTTTTTCTGTGTTTACTGTCAATTTTAGAGTGACTTTTTGCAGAAGTGGTGTGATATTGAGGCTGGGTTGTAGCGGGCGCAGTCATGATATGCGAGTTTCGGTTTTGAGACCTCATCAATGCAAGCCTGCAAGTCTGTACATTGTTAAAATAAAGGCAGTAACACTGCGTTCTTACTTTCTCTGAGAATCACCGTTTAACGCACGAAAATGAATCCAATGGCTGCCAAGCCTTCACCAGAAGAGAAAATAATATTATTATAAATATGCATATTTTTCGGTTTTCAGCTTTGCCTGAAAGTGTGCGTCTCATACTCGCAACGTCTCGTTTTTGATGTTTAAAATGTTGGTCTCTGATGTTGGGACACGCAGAGTTAGGAATCTCGAACGTGCAATGCCGAGCATGATGGTTCTTTGTTTAGTTTTATGTGGATAGATGAAAACCGCGAAATAACGCACCTTGCTGTAACCGCTGGTAGCACTACACTGTACGATGGTAACCATACAACTGCACGGCGTCCATTTGCAATCCGAGGCCCGGTCGCATTCTTGTGCGTGTGCAGAGGTTTGCCGAATCTTTGGCAAACTTTTATCTTTCAAAAGCTTGGCATGTGCCAAACTTTGCCGAATCTGAAGTTTGGCGGATTCGGTCCATCACAAATAGAAAGTTCTGTAAGCACCTTCAGTGACCTCACTTGTGTAGTAATCGCACCTATCTTGCTTTGAGAACTTTGTTTACAAAAGTTACAGGAATGCTATTTTATGCTGAATTCAGATTTACGTTCATCGGAACCTGGTAGAACTCAATGTACAGCCGTGCGAGACACAAATAATACCAGATGAGCACCGAACGTCTCAACCAAACATGTGCCTTACAGCCACTCCTAATAATATTGCCACGAGAGTAAGTGCACGTACAAAGTGTTTCATGGGCTCTTTTCTTCTACTCAAAGAGCGATGAATGGCAGCGATGACGCCAATTCTTTGTTTTCGGAACTTACGGCCCCTAGGAATGGTACGTGCCTACTGTGTATGCACGTTTGTTGTATTTAAGGCCATTTTACTCTAAGTAATTTTTTACTATACATATATGTATTTGTGCAATGCTGCACAGGCATCATGTTTGGTCTTTCTCAACACCAATGATAATGATGCTCATGTGGAGGTGCACAAGTGTCTTTGCACAGATACGCTTTATGTGAAACGGCCTTCAGATGCGTTTCAGTGCTCCCCTCTGCCGTGACTTGCAAAAGTCACGGCAGAGGGGAGCACCAATTTGAAAAAACAAACGAACCTAAAAAAATTTTGTGGATGGAGAAATCGGACCAATTTCGGTTGGACAACTCTCTCTCTACAGCGTTTATACCTTTGACCACTAAGCGTATGTACAGGCAGGTGTGACTCCACCAGTCACTTCTCTATCATGCCGCAGATTTTCCGAAAAAAACATTAACGCTATGTGGGGAAGCATCCCCATGTGCAGGGAGGCACCCCTCACACACAGAAAAGCAGTCACGTGCATGTGGGCCCCTGTTTGCATCGTCCACAACGCTAGTGGCACGCAGGAGGATTTAAATCTAAAATAAGTTTCTATTATACAAACATTGTTAGATGTTCGCAATTTAAAGCAGGGGGTGGTGGGGGGTGGGGGGTTGGGGGCAGCTCGCGACTCTCTGGCAAGTGGCCCGTAGCTGTGAGCACCTGTTCCTATGCCTCGAGTGCTGCATGCATCATAAATAGTTACCTCTTGTCGTCCATTCATTTCCACAGGAAACAAACATGCTCTGCTCTTATGACATCTTAAAATGTTAAGAACTAATCTGTTGTTTTTTTTCAGGTTGGCGATTGTTTCGTCTTACATACCGTCAAGACGGAAGTATTTTCTCTTGCAATTCTGCTATACAAATTGTCAGGAAAGCAAAAACTAACGTACAAAAATGATTTTCGATACTTCCCGAGTGAATCGAGCGGCATGGTAAAAATTCTGTGCTTTGATTGTAGTTGTATTGAAAAATTCCAGCACGCATTGGCTGGATGGTGGTATTTTAAATTTAATCCCACTGGGTACAAACCCAAGTACTTGTATGAATAAATCAAAGCTAGAGACGGTACTTGCAAAATGGCTCTTTTACAAAAAGCAAATAGCACGAGATCCCCTCTTTAAGAAATCTATGGGTGTCGCTGAAAGGCTCGGCTGCTCTGCAAAATGTAACAACATCTCTGCTATTTTTTTTTTTTTTTTATCCTAATATATATATATTAGCTTTTTCCCCCACCCCTGCCCTATGTTGGCCCTCGACATTTTGTGGGTGGGCTATCTGGCTCCCACACTCAAATGAGTTAGAGATTACTGATCTAGAGCAACTCCCCAAGGGGGGAAGATAAGAATAAATTGTTGAATAAGCTCCACCAGTATTGTGCTCCTAACTATCCACAGCAAGGCCGCACGTACCGCAGTCCGAAAGCACACGGTTGGGTTTGAGGGCATTGGCCCTCCTCAGAGCCACTTCCATCAGGGCATTCTCTCCCTTCCTTGTGGCCAGATGATGAAGGTCCTTTGCAAGAAGAGGAAGAGGGGATCTTTTAGATAACATAAAGAGTGAGGTTTCATGAGAATACACCAAGATATTGTTCACAACTTTTAGACTATCATTCCAGAGCTACAAAATAGTCTGAATACTAGATTATCCAGTAATAAAGTTTGCAGCCAACCTGGAATGACAATCTTCTTTGTTCAAAGGGCAGACTGTTAGAACTTGTTCTCAGTCTGCACTTAACTCTTTGAGGGTCCTCGCCGTGCATGTAAGGCGGCAATTACACATTCGAAAAAACCCGCCTAAATGAAAAACCATGCACACTGCATGACGTGATGCTAGGTATTTGTTACGTCTTTGGCGAACTGTAAACGACATATTTGCATGGTGTTTTGCTCTGCTGGGGCTATTTATAGATTTGAAATCAGACTTTCTGCGAACGTAATATGCACGATATGGTCGCTCCACATTCAGGTGGCTGAAAGGGGAAGTGTGATGGGCAAGAGCAAGAGGCTGCACGGTATTGCGATGACTACGATATATGGTGCTACGCGTAGCAGGCGAGTTATCGCCGGCCAGCCGTGAGTAGGAATCGCTAGCGCTGTAGGATATATTTTCTCCTTCATTATAAATACAAATGGGTACTCCTTTTTTTTTTTCGGAGGGAGGGGTGCAGGAGAGAATGGCATGTACTAAAGTTCCGTTACTAAACAGGAAGGGGAAAAAGAAACTGCTTTCCAATTACACTTAGAACGTACGCCTGCCTGCAGTGCGCGTGTTGAAAGTTCAAATAGCTTCTTTATCTTTTGACTCTGGTTTCCATAATATTGAAAGTCCAACTGCTAGCATGTTCCTTTGATATAAAAACGCGGATGACTCTTATCTTTTGTTTCGGTCAACTACATGAATGGCACACATTTCACCGGTTAAATGGGTCGTGCGCCTGAATTCCGCTATGACGATTTTGCAATGAAAATTCTGGAGACTGCTAGGGGTGTTGCAGCCAGCAGGTGACTCAGCGGTCACCAAAACTTTCATTGCGCCTCGCGCTTCTCTCTATTATTGTGCACATATGGTGCCCGTCCTTCTTCCCCTCCTAGCCACCGTTCTTGACGTGTTGGATGCTTTGCTGGTAGTGGCAACTGGAGTGCCTGCTGTTCTGATTCAGACTTCTAATCCTTCTCAAAATTGAATTCAGAGGACAAGAGCTTACAATCTGGTAGAGAAGCTCAGTAAAGTATGTCCGGTTTGGAATTTGAAACCGTTGGAATATCGCAGAAGCGGACGCAACAAAATAAAGCCGAATGGAGGAAAGACGACAGCTTTTCGCCTTCAATACTTCCGTGTGAGGCTTCTAAACCCAAACACCGTATGTGCTCCTACTCGATAATTAAGAGAAAAAAAAGCGTGCTCACTGACCCTTTCTTTATACTGTTCCCATGAAAACAAAGCCCGACCACTGGTAAACATCTTTTAAGCGAAGACAAACTCGATCGTAAAAGAACATACTTGAAGATGATCTAGCTGCGATCAGTGAACGCTTTAGAGCGACCGTCGAGATTCAAAAGGGCTTTCTGGTTGCTTGTTTCCAGCTGCACTGGTGTTAGCTAAGCAGGCTCAGCCTAAGGGAGGGTATTGCAAGCAGCTGACTGCCTGTAAAAAGGGGTATATTTGTGGTGACCAGCTACAAAGTTGTGGTGTTGCGCGATAGCAATTTTTCCGCTAAATTTAGTGGGAAAACGCTCCCTGCATCACCGATAATGTGCGAGGTAACCTGAATTACTGCATAATTGTACACCAATTTGATTTTCCTGCTACATTTAGCGGGGAGACTTATGCATGGATGGACAATTTCTGGGGATAGGGGGTTCCATTAGAAAGCATTGTGCTTAAAAAAAAAAACCTTCCAGTGCTACTTGAATTTATTTTGTCGAATCCCAGGCTTTAGGCCATGGATTATATCAAAGGTTTCTCAAAGTACCCCCAGAGATTACCCATGCTAAAAATTTTTTTTCGAATATCCCCACTCCCAAGTAAATTAGTTCTTCCTGTTTGAGCATTATTTTAGTAGATCTAAGCCACCCTTGATGCGTAACATTGTTTGTTTGTTTGTATTTTATTCGAAACAGTGACAGATATTGTCTTTGGTGACGTGTCCAAAGGCAGATTTCACGCCATGCCATTGTTTCAGCTACAGCGACATAACATCAACATACAAAAATGAGCAACTTGCAGAAAACTTAACAGACGTAGTGAAACATATGAGCTATTTCAGGTCGCAAAAATAATTAGAGGAATGTGGAGAAAAGATATAAATACGCCATTACAACAATCTGAAAAAAAAAAAGAAAAAAAAAAGTGTCTACAAGACATAAAACATAATGCAACAAACCGGCAAGAATTCAGAACAAAACATAAGCACAGAAGAGCCTAAAAACATGAGAAAGATATATAATTATGCAGAGGGAATGAACGGCCAGACTAGGTAAAATTATATAATTTTTACTGTAATAGAAATGTGAAATGGACTGACAAATTGTTTGTCAGTCTGTCTTGTGACCCTGGCATTAGCCTTCCTGGAGGATAACCGTTTGTATTACGTTCTTAAATTGTACATTTGAAGTGGAACTGTATAGAAGATCAATAAAGATCAAGGGGTATTTACACAAGTCGGGGATTAGAGAAACCAGCCGTTAATTGCCCCTTTGTTTACAAGGTCCGTCTTCTGCCCTGCTTTACCGCATAAACGAGGACGACGACGGGTAGCTATATGCCGGGCGACCGCGGTGCTACGTTTTGGGCCCTGAACTCTAATGCCTGCAAAATGGCAGGTATCTACTTTGACTGGGCCGCCTACTTAAACATGCTGCCTTGACCGAAGTAAGCAACCGCCGCCAAACCGCCGGGGCTTTACCATGTGAAACCTTCGTCAAACAAAGCAAGGTCACCACGACTCGATGTCCAACTCGCCTGAACTGTCCCTGAACTTCCGAAACTCGGGCAACGGTTTTCGCGACCATCGGAAGAATGTATCATCCTCATCTTGTATATTATGTCGCACATAATCACCACCACTAGACACGTCACTGCAGGCCTCTATGACACGAGCTGCAGCCTTTCTGCGGTGCCACGGCTCTCCTGAGCCAGTAAAGAATATTGTTATCATTAATACTATTATTATTATAATTATGATCAATGTCGAGTCTGGGAATGTTCCTCGGCTGCTATTAGGAGCAGGTAAGGATTCCTCGGGATAGCGAAGTTTGAAAAATATTGCATTAGACGGAGGACAAACCCACCAGAAACAGATCTCGGCAGCCCAGATCCACGGCCAGGAGAAATGCCTTTTCCAGTTTCTCAAACCTGCATGAGAAAAAGTTCCAGTATTTCCAGGCACTGAGACCTTCGGACGAGCGACTTCAAACCAAGTCTTGCGAGTTGCAAAGACAATGTGACAAGAGGTCTTGTGGTCAAATCCAGGACCAGGCGGATTTTTTCGGCGGCAACAGTTGCCTAGAGGGAGCGAGCTGCGCTCTGTTTCAGGTCAAAGTCGACCTATTCTTGCAAAAATCTTCCCCACCTTGAGGACTTCCTCCAAAAATATCATTATATATAGGTAATGAAAACAATGTTGTCCACCTGACTGCAACCATGAGAGCGGCTAACATCTTTGCATTGTAATCTGCAAGATTCAAACAAGGCTTGAACACAAAAAAAACTTAGTCTTATGCAACAAATTACATACAGATAAGGCTATGGTAAGCAGCTCCATTTTATAATGAAGCTGGTAAAAAAAAATAAAAAAGTGTTATTTTATGTAATGTAACAACAAGGAGTGACCTTGACTCCCAATATGGATGTGACTTTAAGTGAGTGGTATATAAGCACACCAAACTGACTTCACTAGTGCATAAACCTTACTTGGCATTAACAGTAGGAAATACAATCACACAATTACCTAATACAACTCTTTGGGTCAATTTCTTCGTTAAAAATATTTCTCACAAGAAAGGGACCTCACAGAAGCCTTTTGGAGTACTATAGTTCTGACCTGAGGAGGTGGTGGAAGAAACGCCGGGCAAGATGGCCGACACGCTCCCCGTACTCTGCCACCACCAAGTCAGGAATGGGCTGGGCAGGACCATAGAAGCTCCCTAGCGCTGCCTCCAGTTGAGCTGTGCCAGATCAGAGCAACACCGACTGTCATATAGGTACCTGCTCATTCATCTTTTATTACCCATGGAAGTGCATTCTTAAGAGGGGACACTACTTTAAAATTACAAATATTTTTTTAAGAGTCACATTTTTAGCCAGTGGTCTTATCAGCTTTCAAAGATCCTGATGGATGCCGTCGGAGAGTTTCACTCCTGTAACGAAAGCATTTTTTTCCGGAATAAATTATTTCCGACAAGCCGGCACCATCTAAAGTGCAGCTTTTTAAACTTTCAAACGCGTTTATCTGTTTCACTTTTTGGCATCAGATCTCGGTTCAGGAAAACCATCGTTTGACAATAAATTGACGTGTGGAGCCACTTCTTTAGGCTTCTATACTCAAATTTTGTGAGGAACTCGACTGCGAGCTTACTTTCCGCATTTTCATGGCCTTTAGTTATGAAGAGCTGTTGGTATCTTCAACCTAATGAATGCAAGAAAACAAAAACGTTTTTTTCACATCCTTATTGGTTAATAAAAATGGTATAATTCCTGTCATTTACTTTCCACAGCCACGTGACACGGGTGTCAATACTGTATGCTTCACCAAAAGAACTGACCATTATCATTGCCTTTCCTAAATAGTACTAGTTTTCCTCAGGGGGCGCTGTGCTTATCCAATGTACTTCTATGTAACTCTTTGAACGATAATTTATAAACTGAAAACTTTGCATGTCATCCTGTTTCCTAGCTATGAATGTGCTCTGCAAATTTCATACAAATAAAACCAACGGCTAAAAAGCTTGTTTTCCTGGGTAGTGTCCTTCCTTAGATAAAAAAAAACAGCCCGGTCATGTCTCATCGATAAGAACCCTGGTTAATAATGATGCCCCGATATATACTAGACAGCTTTTTCAAGAACGAACTAGGCAAATACATACATTTTTGTCTCATTATTATGGACTACTCACATCATGGAAACTTTTTTTGGGGGGGAACGGAGGTGCTTATACGTTAACGAGGCATCACTGTGTGTTGTGCGTGGTCACTGAGCGACTGGGGTATTGCGAAGGCGGTTGTCATGTCGTCAGAGAAAACATGATACGGTACGTAGCTTTTTTGCAACTGCTGTACTAATACGCTTTCTGTTAGCCAGATGCTAGCACAAGCCGTACCCACGGAGGTACACTGGTCTGCAGCTTCTTTGCAATGAAACAGTGCCTGTGGGAGAAATGACCCTCCCAAAAGACTGATACCCCTTTCGGACGAGCTAATTTAGTGCACTTCAACCGAGTGCACTTCAGCTTACCGAATGTCACTTCAAGCGTTTTGGTGCCACACGAGAAAAATTACTGCCACTTTCAAATGATGCAATAACGATGGGTAAGGTACTATTACGCACGTAAAATGTTGAAGTAAAGGCATAAACGTCTCAGCAATATTTTGTCTCTTTAATAAAGACACATTACGAGACAACATTACACTAATTGACAATCTTTACGCCAATTGGATGATCCTGATCGATCATAGCGAGCCAAGATAAAGAAGAAGATCCAGCCTTGACGTTCCGCTCCGTCCCCTGGAGGTCTACGAGGAGGCCCCGACACTGCCTTATTAGATCATGATTATCGTGCTGTCTCGTACAGCTACATGCTGAAATAAACGTAGGGTCTCTCTCCTCTGCTAAACAACATAGCATTTGAATGACTGACTTTGCGTCGGCTCTTATCGATTCACCGTGGTGCTAATCTTGGCACAAATCAGACTAAACTGTCTAAACTTTAAAGCTAAGTTCACATCACTATCTTTTTGCAATGACACTCCTTTCTGCCCTCTCTTTCATGAATTTTTAATTCTATTTAGAATAAATTTTAAGTCACAATTTTGGTTCCTGTGTTGTTATGTTTCACCGTTGAAAAACTGCCATCGAGGCCAAGCAGTCGATCGAGTGAAGTGAGTTAGTCAAACTCACTTGAAGCCAGGTATGTTCTTCAGGAAGAAGCTGTGTGGCACACTGCAGAAATGACACTAAAGGCAAAGTGCACTTGGTTGAAGTGCTCTAAATTAGCCCCTCTGACGGGTATAAGAATATGGCAACTTCTAGTTTTGGGATGTACTCTTCTTATATTATTCTTTTACTTAGAAAAGCAATGAAACAATATTGAATCTGACTGCTACACACTTGACACAAGCGTAGTGACACAAGCAGGATGCAACCATAATTGCATGCGACACCACTAAGCCAGAAAATTCTATGTCACGGAGTAACTTTAAGGCTATAGAAGCGGACTATTTCTTTCAGTGAAAGCTAGTCGACATGATGATGGGAATCACAATGTTGATGCAGACGTGAGTATCACCCTGTGGCGACGATTGCTGGGTACGGTGCATGAATTGGACACAAGCACTGCACGAGCACTTGACTTAAACAAGGTTACAATCAATCCCTCGCCAAGCATTCAGATTGGGTCTAGCGTCAAATCACTACTGAAATGGGAATAGCCAGGCTCTAATAAAGTCCACAAGCTCAGCATGTGCCCTGTAAAACGCCAGCCCCAGCGCATGGCTATGGTTACTGGTGGCATACAGGAGACACGAGATAGTGTGGCTGTGCATTCCAACTTCAAGTAGCTTGCATGTTTCCCTCCTACCATTCCTGCGACAGTTAATGCACTAAGAGAAAGACTAATCTCTAGTCTGTAAGAACTATGCACGGCTAAGGAAGTACGAAAGAAATCACAACACGAAGGAGGGAAACCAATTCTAGTAAAATAGTTATTGGCGCCTTGTCGATTGCTGGCTTCTTTCCCACGAAGGCAGTGACTGGTTGTTCGCTTGTTTGGCAGTAAAGTAAATAGCGCATGTCTTCCTTTCATAAAATGCTCACACTACCTGCGAGACTTTACGGTGTACAAATTATCCAGAAAAATAACAGGATGTTGGACCGACCTTCCCTGTTCGAGTCCAGTGGCTTTCGGAGCAGGAAGTTGGCAACCTTGGACAAGCACAGGAAGCACTGCTCGGCAAGTCGACCCCAGTCCAAGCTTAGCAGCAGGCAGATAGCCTGCAAACAATCCGAATGAAGACAAAAGGTGACTTACAAATTACAAAAAAAAAGTGGTTGGCCAGATCACGGCTTGCAAACAAACTGCATTGTCACAAAGTCTTAATCAGAATTTAAGATGTTTACTTAATTTTCCCAAATTTTTTAATTGTCTTCTGGGATACCAATTTTTTATTTTTATTTCTTAAAGGGTGCTGTATTTATTTTGAAAGAAAAACCAAGCAATTCATAAAAGCTGTAGAAGCAACCCCTACAGTAATTTTTGGGTCCCTTCAACACTACTCGGGAATTATTCAAATTCTTTATTATTTGCACACCTCTAAAGAGAACTGAAGTTAGGTCATCACCTCATCGACTTGGGTGTGCTTGAGGTACTGCGACACCAACTCTAAAGGCCCAAGCTGCCCCCTAGTGAGGAGTCCCAGTGGCAACTTGAGCACAGCCAATGGTCCACTGGGAATGTGACAGTCAGAGAGCATGTGAGAACAACTTTGGAGGAGAGCCAAAGAAAAGATCTTGAAGAAACACTGAAGTTATCTTCAAGGAATAATTTTACAGCTGGAGCATGTACCAGAGATATACCGGACCACACTGAGTGCACACAGTCCGAGATATGCATAGCCTTAATACAGCATTCTTCATTTTTTAACTCTATAAATGCGCATGCCAAAGAATGCCGCATAAGCTTGTAATACACTAGACATCGGTGACAATGTGCGGCTGGTGCGAGCGTACAGGAACCTGTATTGAGCAAGGGGTTCTTAAAAGGCTAACCATTCTGCAGAGAAAAAAAAAGTCAAGTCAAATTTGGGAGCTTTGTCAAACCAATGAAGGAAATCTAGCACGCCCCAGCAAAGGATTGGGAACTCATTTCAACCACTCAAAGATCTTTTGGTGTGCGACCGGCATCTTGATTACATGAAACTGCCTTTGCTTGACTGCCTTGTTTGCAATAAGACTGTCAGATTATGGGCACCTCTGCCCAGATCGAACCCACGACCTGGGGATCTCTGGCCAGCGCTTGGCTCCAGAGCCACCAAGGCGGCTGTACTGCAGAGGAAGCTTGTAGAGACGCACATACACAAAGGGTATCTGTGTCTAAAAATATTGACTTAACCAACATTTTAAGATAGCCGAGTTCGAGTTAACGAGAGATCACTGTATGAGCATTTGACTTGAAAGATGGCCCAAAAGACACACTGACCTGTCAAACAGCAATGCCGCACAATTTGTGGCAGACGACGCGGGGAGTCGGAGGCTGTCTCCGCTTGTCTGCCAGCTCAGGTAGGACAGAATGGGCCGATGTCTTTGGTTCATGTGTCGAGGAAAAAAGATCTGACATTTGAGCACATGTAAATCCTGAATTGAGCACGCTAGTTTTTTGCTGGGCGGATGGGAACGTCAAACAGCAACTCACCTCACGTAAGAGCCGATGTTCAGCGATGACGTCGGGTTCGACAACTCCCCGGCCAACTTGAGTTGGATCGTCGAGAGTGCCGTGTCAAAGCACTGCGTGAACAAAAGGTCATTGTATGCCGACACTGCTCTTGGATGACAATAATAACGAAGTTCGTTCAAGGTACACATGCACAAATCTTTGGGCCAGCGAAAGCACTGTTGCGCTTAAAAGATGTCGAGCCCTTTTTAGCACTTTGAGGTAGTGCTCGATGCGCAGGCTGTCCTGTCCCTCAAAAGATCTATGGTTTTTTTTTTTGGTTTTTTTTCATTAAAAAATAAGCCATGAATCGCTGAATGCTCGTTCTCTGCCAGAATGCAACGCTAGAGTTCTGAACCAGATGCTAAAGTTTCAGAACTAATTGTCATCTCTTTAAAAAGTTATGAGGGATTTTCTGAAATTTGTAATGGGAAGATGGCAGCCAACACATGCAGGAGTGTGAGTGAACACAGTCCTGTAGTGGTGAAGTCATTACTGGAGTAAAGCAACTACAGGGACTGGTGAAGCCACCGATCCCTGTAGTGGCAAAAGACAGCACCCGAATTTGAGAATGTAGCTCATACACCACTTTGAATAAAGTATTCTCAGGGAGAGCTAGTGCGTGTGCTCGTAGCTATGACAGTTCTTTTCACCGCGCGAGCTGTCACAATAAATATTCATACACGTCAGTGTTGCGGAATGGGCACCCCCATTCATTCCAATTCCATTCCGGGAAATTAGAGTTTTCGATGATTCAATTCCTTTCAATTCCTAGGAATGGAGACACTGAGCCCATTCCCACTCCTGGAATGGCTAAATCGTTCCATTCCATTCCTTTAATTCCTAAACATAAAAATTGGCACTTCACAGCTACATTTTGTGGCCGGTATAAGCAGCATAAAGCTGACATTATCAAATTCAGAGACAATTTAAAAAAAAAAAGAGAAAAAAAACTAAATTTCTCGAAAAAGCACTGATTTTTACTAAGCGGACCGCTGGTGGCAGAAAGTGTTTATTTACAATGTACTGCAAACATCGAGAAAGCCCCTTGATATGCTTGTTTAAGACATCGGTCTCGCGACCACGTCGCTCGCAACAAACAGCAAAACTTAAATCCACTCATTTTCTTTTCTTTTTTTAACTTGTTTGCATTTGACTTTTAAGACATACGCGGCCAGCGTGTTTGTTTGATAAGACCATAAAAAAATATCCAGTTCGTGCGTGGCGCAGGAATAAGCTATATTACTGTATTCTTCAAATACAGCAACACGGCTAGTACACTGCTGGAAGCGACTCCATGCACAACGGCAGAATACATCCTCTGACAAAATGCAACCTCTGCGGCGCAGCACGAGGGACCGTATAGACCATGTCACGAAACCTGTTTTAAAACGCATAAGTTCACGCTTGCTTTACGAATCTCGATAATTCTTATCATATTCAATTCAATTTTTGGCTGGTTCGCCTGCCCTTTTCCACCCTTCGCATACTCATTCTCGTGTTTCCTCTTCAGACGGTGAATCAAGTTCGATGATATACGCCGACTGTACCGTGCATAGTTTCGTTGCACAACTTTCAGCGTGCAGCTTGTTTATTTTCATCGCGACTAATGTAGAAAAATGTCTTCTACGATGCCATGACTCAATCTGTATTTATCTTGTCTTCTCGTCCGAATTGTGATGTTCCTATTCGCGCTGATCGAGTGGCGGGCTCAAGCAGCAGACGGTACCAACCGATTCATTCTTCTACCTCGGTGTCGGTTGTTCGCGTAGTGGCGACGGGTCGGGAAGTCAGCGTTGACAAAGCTCTTCACATGAAGGTACAATTAACGGGGTAATACCGCACCGTTCGAATTGACATTCCCCGTGTTTCCTCATTAACACCGTCCAACTGACTTCTCACCGCCTCAAATAGGGTCCAGGACAAGGAGCACGAATGCAGACCGGACAGCCGAGACGCGCGGAAGCCAAAACCTCAGTGGCAGCTAGCACCCAGCTCTCCTTCTCAGTTGCCCTCACAGCAACGGTCGCACCTCGTCTGGCGCGGGACGGTCTTTCTGCAGGTCTAGTCAGTTCGGTCACACCAAGAGCAGCGACGATAGTCTACTTCACCTTACGATGGGCCTCAACAGACAGCACGAGAGCCATCGAAACCAATCCAGTGCTTTCTGAGTGCTGCATCACCCTGCAGTCCCGCTCACGGTACTGGGTTGCCTAGGGTGACTCGTAGCGTCCGCAGCGGTCCATGGCAAGGTGAAACAAAGTATGCAGAGACTAAAGTCAAGGGAAATGAGCGGGAATCCGCAAGCTTGCTTGTAACCCCAACCCACTAAAACATAAAACACAGAAAACAAGCATCGGAACAAAGACCAAGTATTAGGCGGACATACAATACAAATGCAGTACAAAAAGACAAGCCTCGGAGCAAAGCGCAAGAGAAGAGGGAAGTGAATTTCGCTTTTAATGCCGAAGCAAACCCACATTTCGCACTTCAAAGGAGTGCGCACGAATGAACGTGGAAGGCAGCAGGGTTGGCTGCCTGCTAAACAACGCCCCTCGAACTATAAGAAAACAATACCTGATCATCTTTGGACGGCGCCCAAGTGAACGAGTAATCAGAGCTCTGCGAGTTATGAGTCGCTTCCGCTCCCAGATCTCAGTCTGTGCGCGCGCGTGCATTGTACAAACCGTCGCAACAACAACAAAAAAAGCATGACAAGAAGTACAATGAGGAGTTGTGCATGGCGGTTTCTTTCTTTGCCGCTCCCTTTTCTTTTGCTTGGTGCTTGGTTTCTTGTTTCGCTCTCGTGTAACGCCATCGAAGCCCGAAGCCTGCGCGTCCGTGAAAGGCGCCACGTTACCCCCCTTTCACCCTTTGCTCTTTGCTTTGACGCTTGTTTTTAGAGCGCAGCTCTTAGGGGCCCGTTTCCGGCTTGAGCGGCGTCGCCGTCGGCGTCGCCGTCGCCGTCGGCGTCGGCGTAACCGCGCGGTGCATCATGGGAAATGTCCCATAATGCACCGCGCGAGCCCCCCACCAAGGTCACGTGACCTCGTGGGGGGGTCACGTGACCCCCCGAAGTCACGTGACTCCCCTGAGGTCACGTGGCCCCCTCCTCGAGGTCACGTGACCCCCGCCGATGTCGCGTGACCCTCCGATGACGTCATCGTCACTGATGACGTCACCGGCATCCACATCGTCATCGTCATCATCACTGATGACGTCAGCGGCATCCACATCGTCATCGTCATCATCACTGATGACGTCACCGGCATCCACATCGTCATCGTCATCACTGATGACGTCACCGGCATCCGCATCGTCATCGTCATCATCACTGATGACGTCACCGGCATCCACATCGTCATCGTCATCATCACTGATGACGTCACCGGCATCCACATCGTCATCGTCATCATCACTGATGACGTCACCGGCATCCGCATCGTCATTGTCATCATCACTGATGACGTCACCGGCATCCACATCGTCATCATCACTGATGACGTCACCGGCATCCACATCGTCATCATCACTGATGACGTCACCGGCATCCACATCGTCATCGTCATCATCACTGATGACGTCACCGACATCCGCATTGTCATCGTCATCATCACTGATGACGTCATCAGTGACGTCACTGATGTCGTCACCGGCATCCGCATCGTCATCATCATTGATAACGTCATCAGCGACGTCACTGATGACGTCACCGACATTCGCATCGTCATCGTCATCATCACTGGTGAAGTCATCAGTGACGTCACTAATGACGTCATCGGTACCCGCATCGTCATCGTCACTGATGACGTCATCAGTGACGTCAGTGATGACATCATCGGCATTGGGGGTCACGTGACCCCCAAGGTAACGTGACCCCCCCTGGTTAGTTTAACCCCCCCCCCCAGTGCCCTTCCCTCCTCCTCCTCAAGAGCTGCGCTCTAATTCGGCGTTACAGGGAGTTGTAAGCGGCTTTCATTTTTTTGTATTGCATTTTGTTGGCGTATAAGTCTGTTAGGGCTTCTCGCGGGCTAGCAGTTTCCCCCTCATTTTATTTCTGAGCAACTGACTCACTGACTGGCTCAATTTAGCTGACCATAAACGCAAAAAAAAAAAAAGAAGAACCGTGCCCATTCCATTTCCATTCCATTCCGGGCAAAAGGCACCTAATTCCATTCCCATTCCATTCCCTTCAACGTTGCCGTCATTCCATTCCCATTCCATTCCGGGGTCGTGAAAATGCGGAATGATTCCGGAATCATTCCAACTCCGGAGTGGCAACTCCGCAACACTGATACACGTGCACATATGTCCTACATTATTTTGAGCATAGGGATCGCACACTTAATAGATTGTAGTCTATACTAATGCATTTTTTATTGACAGCTGTATTTTTGCAGCAGAACAGTAAATCTCATCCTGTCTGAGAGGTTTACTGTCTTACCCTTTATCTCATCACCTTTCTGCCTGCACGGTGCCGCACAGCAATAAAAACACATCTGGAAAGGTGCTATGTGGGCAGTACAGGGTACTGGCCTCTGCGACCGTATACCCTATAACGGCGGCGGCGGCGGCGGCCCCATCGGGGCAGTGCACGTTACCACTCCCGACAAGTGAGGATAGTCTAGAATTGGCGCTGCTAGGTGGTGCGGCATTGCTGAAAGGGTCTATAGTGTCCCTGTGGAATGATGACGAAAGCGTTTGTACCCAACCAGTGTGTGCCCTGAAATCCAGTGAACTCAGAACGCACACTGCCTGGGTACAAACGCTATTCTACAGGGATACATTTCGATTTTGCCCACAAGTCGAAAAATTTGTATAGTAGCATAAATACTGGGAAATATTTCTTTTTTTTTTTTTCCACACTGCTTCTTAATTTTGGAGGGTTGATTCCCCAAAGAAAAAATAAAACTTCTTATGCTTGTGACCACTCAGAAATCGAAAATGTCTAGTTGGCACATTTCCACAATATCTGTAACTTCTGTGGCAGAAGTAGGCCCCTGCAAGTTAAACTGAGCCAATTCAGCCTAAATCTGGTTCCGAGCGACTTGTTCCCGATGCGGAGGTCGCAGAGCCGCTTACCAGAGGACAATGAAGAAATGACGAAGAACTGTAAAGGACACTTTGGCAATGGCACTGTGGGAGGGAGCTCGGTTCAATCCTCCGAGATGAAAGCTGGATTGGACACACTAACTTCAAAAGGTGATTGCATTGAAAAAATAGAATAGCCATTATTTCTCTTTAAAAAAATTGAGCAGTCCTGTGCTAATTGACAGTAGGGTCACGGCGACAGATGTGACATGTCATCACGGCAAAGTCATTGGGCGTCGGCGTCACATTCACGCACTGTGAGGTGTCCGAACAAAAGTGTTCGAAACAAAAAACATATACGAGCATTTTGTTTCAAAAACTTTTGTTTCTCTTTTTTTTTTTCTTTTTTCTGGAGCGTGTGAAAGTGCATCTCCCGACACCAGCTCTCGGCATTGACAGTGCTACAACGACATTGTGTTATCAGCTTTCTTTTTTTTTGTTTGCAGAGTGGGTGCAGCAATCTTCGAATACTAAAAAAAAAAGTGAAAGCTGCTTACAACTCCCTGTAACGCCGAATTAGAGCGCAGCTCTTGAGGAGGAGGAGGGAAGGGCACTGGGGGGGGGTTAAACTATCCAAGGGGTGGTCACGTGACCTTGGGGGTCACGTGACCCCCAATGCCGATGATGTCATCACTGAGGTCACTGATGACGTCACCATTGACGATCACGATGCGGGTACCGATGACGTCATTAGTGACGTCACTGATGACTTCACCAGTGATGATGACGATGACGATGCGAATGTCGGTGACGTCATCAGTGACGTCGCTGATGACGTCATTAGTGATGATGACGATGGCGATGCGGATGTCGGTAACGTCATCAGTGATGATGACGATGCGGATGCCGGTGACGTCATCAGTGATGATGACGATGACGATGCGGATGCCGGTGACGTCATCAGTGACGATGACGATGATGATGTGGATGCCGGTGACGACATCAGTGACGTCACTGATGACGTCATCAGTGATGATGACGATGACGATGCGGATGTCGGTAACGTCATCAGTGATGATGACGATGACGATGCGGATGCCGGTGACGTCATCAGTGATGATGACGATGACGATGTGGATGCCGATGACGTCATCAGTGATGATGACGATGACGATGTGGATGCCGGTGACGTCATCAGTGATGATGACGATGTGGACGCCGGTGACGTCATCGGTGACGATGACGTCATTGGGGGTCACGCGACATCGGCGGGGGTCACGTGACCTCAGGGGAGTCACGTGACTTCGGGGGGTCACGTGCCCCCACGAGGTCACGTGACCCCGGTGGGGGGCTCGCGCGGTGCATTATGGGACATTTCCCATGATGCACCGGGGTCACGTGACCTCGGGGGGGTCACGTGCCCCCCCACGAGGTCACGTGACCCCGGTGGGGGGGCTCGCGCGGTGCATTATGGGACATTTCCCATGATGCACCGCGCGGTTACGCCGACGGCGACGGCGACGCCGACGGCGACGCCAACGCCGCTCAAGCCAGAAACGGGCCCCTAAGAGCTGCGCTCTAAAAAACAAAAAAGTGAAAGCCGTTTACAAATCCCTGTAACGCCGAATTGGAGCGCAGCTCTTGAGGAGGAGGAGTGAAGGGTACTGAGGGGAGGGTAGACCCCTCCTCCTCCCCTCATTCTTTAATATGCTCCGGGGGGGGCGGTCACGTGACCTCAGGGGGGGGGGGGTGTCACGTGACTTCGGGGAGGGGGGTCACGTGACCTCGGGGGGTCACGTGACCCCCCTAGGTCACGTGACCCCCCTCCCCGAAGTCTCCGAAGGTGACCCCAGAGGGGTCACGTGACCTCAGAGGGGTCACCTTGGGGTCACGTGACCTTGAGATGACCTTGGGAGGGGTCACGTGACCTTGGGGGTCACGTGACCTTGGGGAGGAGACCACGTGACCTCGGGGGTCACGTGACCTCAGAGGGGTCACGTGGGGTCTTGGGGTCACGTGACCTTGAGATGACCTTAGGAGTCACGTGGGGTCACGTGACCTTGAGATGACCTTGGGAGGGGTCACGTGACCTTGGGATGACCTTGGTTACGCCGACGGCGACGGCGACGGCGCTCAAGCCGGGAACGGGCCCCTAAGAGCTGCGCTTTAAAAAAAAACGGGTATAAAGCGGGTTGTTAAAGGGGTTATGACACGAAAATTAAACGGATAGATTATTCTTGAAATGGAATGCTCATAGGCTACTTAGTGTATACACCAAGTTACACGATTTTTAGAGCTATAGTAATTGCAATAATCAATTTACGAATTTTTATCATATTCATCTGGCGACCAGGCAACACTGCCCGAGCTAGTCACGCCATGGTGTCCATAAACCACGTGACCATGAACGCTCTTTCATTCTAGGCGCCCCCATGATGGCCCGAGCTCTCCTCGCCGCAGTACGATCAAAACCGCTCAAACCCCTTTTTCGGTAACCTGGAAGCTATTCTTGATCTCGCCCCCAGCCCGTTGACCTTCCACCCTGCATGCAATGCGAGATATTCCCGGACGACGGTGACCACGGCGAGCCCGTCCGCAACTCGCCGTCGCTGTGGCTGGTCGCCAGTGGGTCGCAGTCAAAATGAACAGCTTCGAACATCTGTTGATAACAATCACTCTCATCGCTACTGCGATCATTGTCGAACACTTTGACAAGGCGAGCGGTGCCGTAGACGTAATCGTCACGGACCGCATGCTCGAAACGCGGAAGGTAAACGAGGAAGCTGAAGCTCGAGACGCCAAGAGAGCCGAGTCTGTGAGTGCGTGCAAGGGAACACCGCGCTGGAGGCTGGCTACGTCACCAGCCTTCAGCTCCACCCGGCCGGCCCCTCCGAGGGATCCGCACATAAATCGATTTATCCACAAAACTATCGCGCCATTTTCAATACAAATTTGTCAGGATTATAGGAACATACAGTGGGTTTTAGCAGTATTGTTATCTCACATTTTATTTTTGGCGTGTCATAACCCCTTTAACGCTGCGGTGTAGCTCTGCAGCAATGCCTCCGCTTTGCGTGCACCGGACACAGGTTCGATTCCCGCGGGCATTTGTTTTAGAGCGCAGCTCTTAGGGGCCCGTTCCCGGCTTGAGCGGCGTCGCCGTCGGCGTCGCCGTTGGCGTAACCAAGGTCACGTGACCCCTCCAGGTCACGTGACCCCGCCCAAGGTCATCTCAAGGTCACGTGACCCCACGTGACCCCCAAGGTCACGTGACCTTGGGGGTCACGTGGGGTAATCTTGGGATCACGTGGCCCCCAAGGTCACGTGACCCCTCGAGGTCACGTGACCCCTCCCAAGGTCATCGCAAGGTCACATGACCCCAAGATGACCCCACGTGACCATTTGAAGGTCACGTGACCCCCAAGGTCACGTGACCCCCAAGTCACGTGACCCCTCTGAGGTCACGTGGTCTCCTCCCCAAGGTCACGTGACCCCTCCCAAGGTCATCTCAAGGTCACGTGACCCAAAGGTGACCCCCACGTGACCTCGGGGGGTCACGTGACCTCAGAGGGGTCACGTGACCTGGGGGTCACGTGGGGGTCACCTTTGGGGTCACGTGACCTTGAGATGACCTTGGGAGGGGTCACGTGACCTTGGGGAGGAGACCACATGACCTCGGGGGTCACGTGACCTCAGAGGGGTCACGTGACCTCAGAGGTCACCTTGGGGGTCACGTGACCTTGAGGTGACCCCCATGTGACACCCAAGGTCACGTGACCCCCAGGTCACGACTCCCCGAGGTCACGTGACCCCCCTCCCCGAAGTCACGTGACACCCCCCCCCCCCCGAGGTCACGTGACCCCCCCCCCCCCCCCCCCCCGGAGCATATTAAAGAATGAGGGGAGGAGGAGGAGAAGGAGGAGGGGTCTACCCTCCCCTCGGTACCCTTCACTCCTCCTCCTCAAGAGCTGCGCTCCAATTCGGCGTTACAGGGATTTGTAAACGGCTTTCACTTTTTTTTTTAAGGATTTTGCAACATCGACGACGGACACCCTATGCCCTGCTACGCCAACCACAATGTCAACAACGGACATCATTTCCAGTGGTGAGAAAACCCCGTAATGGCTATTGCTGTAAAAAGCTGCCCTCATACGCTCAGGTAGTTTGCGTCACGTGCCTTGTCGGAAGTGGCCATTGCTTCTTCCCGAACGACGTACCTGAAGTTGGCCTTCTTCGGACGCAAAGAAAACCACGGATCCTCCGGGGTGCCACGTGATGTCCACACCCACCTGCGGCCAACGTCGGACAACGTGAACTGAGCAGTCTTGGCAAGTGACGACGGGGAATGAAAACAGATCGTTAGAACAGAAAGCGGGGTTCACAATCTACAGTAGGCATTACTGAAAAAACAGAAACGAAATACGTTGCTCGTTACTTGCAAATAAAAGAAAATGTGTTACTATTACCAATAAAAAGTCATGCACTTTACTTTTGCATTGCTTTTTATTTATGAATTAAAACACTTTACCGATTTTACGTTACAGGTAAGCATCATATTATAAGTGCGAGTGTTTTTAACGGGGAAAAGAGAGGCACAATTTTGGAGGTGTCTGGGATGAGTACATGATCTCATTGACTTGGTGCCTAGGAACATATAAAAAACTGAAGTGTAATTTTTTTTAAGCTTTGGGAAGAAGATATAACGAGTAACGTAACTATGTAATCAATTACTCGAAATGAGTAATGTATGTTATCCATTAATGTTTTGAAAATATAATCACTAGTGGTATCACTGGGGAAGGGGGAAAGGGGGGGGCAAGAGGGGGGTTTGCAAAGAGAAGACATTGCTGGCAAAATATTGCCCAGATCTGTTCTGTTGACCTGATATTTGTTAAGTCATCACCAAAAACTAATCATTTCTTCCCAAAAAAGAAGCTGATGCATGTTGATTTTTCCCTTAAAAGGTTGACCTTGGGAGGCTAAGGGGGCAGTCCCCCTTAGCCTCCCAAGTTGCTTAGACGCTTAGCATGCGAGGAGGACCTTAAGAAGTGATAAGAAAATGAAAGGGTGAAACAAAGGAAAAGAGCAAAAGTTTCTGCCGGGAAGAACTTATTTTTGCGTGTCGGGCTTTAAGGTGGCATTGAGTTACTTACACTAATGACAGCTCTGTGAACATACAGTCGGTGACAACTTAAGAACTTGGTAGATGCGTTGCCCTGAACGCGACCTTACTGCCTTTGGTAACACTTTGTCGCTTCGTGGGGGACAACTGGCACATGCTGGAGGCAGAGCATCAGAGCGTGTGCTCACATTTTTATGTAAAATACTGCAAGCTTGTTTCAAAACTCAAATGCCTCTTTAACTTATTATGAGGAAAAAGCTTCTGGGTGAAGAAATTGCTGCAAAAGTTAACGAATGCTGAAACCATAATACCGAAGAAACTATAACACAGAAAAGCTCGGAGGAACTGATGAAGTTAAATCATTCCCGCTACAGTTTTACGAAAGGAGGACTCACAAAGGATGTCCTTGTAAAATGTGTGGTCTGCCGAACTGCGTCGTAAAGGACCTATTAAGGAAAAAAAGAGAGGACATGTAACATCCTGGTTATGAAATGGGAGAAAATATGCTTCAACAGCTTCATTTGCACAAATCCAAAAATTTCACTTTTTTTTTTCCGAGACGGACACGGCGGAGTAGTGTTACAAATTTCGAGCTCAGAATGCAATGTCAGCAGTTCAGTTGTATTAAGGAAGAGCCAGGTTGTAAGGTCTGCAAGGACTCCAAACTTTAGGCATTGTAACAACGTTTTTTTTTTCTAGATCCATGTCACAATAAGTTCTAAATAAACCTAATCAACCTAACTTCAAAAGGTAAGGATAAAGGTAGAAATATTAACAACCAAAACACTGTCGCTAATTATTTTTGTATATAGGCCACAAGTGCAAGGACATTGTCACAAATGCAAAAGTTTACTGTCTAAAAAAATAGGAATAAAAATTATTATTTTATTAGATGAGCTTGCGCACCAAAAAAGGCACCATGCAATATTCTTCAACAATGACTTCCAACCAGACATCCTTTTACATACTAGAAAAAGATAGAAAAGAATAAAAAAATAGCAGCCTATCCTAGGAATCGAACCCTCAACCACCAAAGAGGAGGCGGATGCACTGTCTGTGTTGCCGCAATAATGACTACTTATCTAACTCAAGTTTCACAAGTCAAAGGATGCCTCGTGTAAACAAGCCAACAGAGTGGACAACTGGCAGATTTCTGCAAAGTTTGAAGATCACCTTGGAAATCTGGGGTCTGTGCGCTTGTTAGGGTCAAAAACAAAACTGCGGAGGGGGATGGGCTTCACTGCTTTTCACTGCTCGAAGAAGTAGCTGACGCAGAGGAGCACTTTGGTTAGCCAGGAGAATTCAGAAGTCTTGGGTGAGTCCATTCCCGCATTTAGCGGCGTCGGCGTAACCATGCGTTGCATTGTGGGACGTCACAGACCCATGCACTAATTGCAGTTCCCAGCTAAATTTAGCGGAGAAATTGCTCCCAAACCGGGCCTCTTGCCGATAGATGTAGCGGGAGAACTAACGTCACGTGAACTTAGCACCAATTCAGCGTTCCCGCTAAATTTAGCGGGAAAAAGGGTGTCACATGACTTCGTGTCATGTGACCTATGCACAAATTCAGTTTCCCCGCTAGATTTAGGGGCAAATTGACATCATGTAACCTCAACACCAATTTAGTTTCCCCGATAAACTTAGTGGGAAAAATGACGTCACCACTGCGTGTCACATGGCCTTTACACCAATCCAGTTTCCCTGCTAGATTTAGCGGGAAATTTGACGTCATGTAACCTCAAAATCAATTCAGTTTCCCCGCTAAACGTAGCGGGAGAAATGACGTCACATGGCTTCGTGCCACGTGACCTGTACACAAATTCAGTTTCCCTACTAGATTTAGTGGGAAAATTGACGTCACATGGACTCCACACCAATTTTGTTTCCTCACTAAATTTAGCAGGAAAAATGATGTCACATGCCTTCATGTCATAGCACAAATACACAAACTCACTTTCCCACTAAATTTGGCAAAACAATTGTTGTTAAAATTGATACCAAAATACCTCAAGAGCTGCGCTCTAATTTCTCACTACAAAGAAGTGTCAACGTTTTTCAATTTCTTTTTTCTAACTTCTCAAAATTAGCTGAAAAGCTGACAGTTTACACCGCAAGACATTTAGTTTGCATAATCGTGGCAATAACCCCAATAACCCTGATACTCACAAGCAACACTCACTGGCAATACTCACAAGAGATGCGTCGTCACAAAGAAGGATCAACTTGTCTTCTGCGTTGTTCCACTGAGAAGTGACCACACGGCCTGAAATTTGTTCAATGTTCAGAGTGACACCAGACAAAGGGATATCATGGCTTGGTAGCGTCCACTGCTTTAAATTTTAAAAATGAAATGAAAAGCCACAAAAAGAGTTATAGTCAGGGATTTTAGCATGAACATAATTGCAAGTAACATAGCCACTTAAATAAATTAGCTGCTGCATTGTTTATGAATATTGCACACCCTCGCAAAACATTCAAATACCCAATCAATATGTGAATTAGATAATGACACTCCGAGAGGGTTTCTTCCCAGATATGATATTCTGGACATGTGAAATACCATGCTGTGTCATACACTTATAGAAGTATGTGAACTTCTTAGGGAAAGTTATCTCTGCCTCAATAATAATTAACTGACCATGCACCTGAACTGTGAGAATGTAAGCACACTAGCCTTGTTCACATAAAACAATGCAGCATATTTTTGGTAAGTTTGGTAATTCATGTTTGAGATGAACACCATGCATGAAATGGAACTTACAAACAAAACTTTTTAGTAGCTCCAAGAGTTCTTGAAGTCTGACTAGAGCTCATAAAGTATGTTGTGCCAAAACGACAAATACATAAATGAAAGGAAGTACCGAAACGAGAGTAACAAGAGTGAAAAGGCAGGAGTCTAAAAGATTACGAAGAATGCAACTTGGTAAGAATTATTTAAAATAAACTGGTGAAAGTGCAGCTTGGGAGATAACTGTCCAGGGAGGAACTATATGCTTGCCCACATTGGATGGCACATGCAATCAGTCAGCCCAAATTTAAACAAAGGAAATAAAATTGAAGGCTAAAAATCAATTGAGTGCAAGACATAACCTCTGACCTTGAAGGGAAATAGACGTCATGGACACTCGCTCAAACTGAAAAAACAAAACGCAAAATGTAACAAAAAGAAAGATTTTAGCTTTTCATCAGTATAGATGCAAACAAAAGGCATAACCGAAATCTTCCAGACAAAAACAACAGAAAGATACGGACAGATATACATAAAAAAAGTCCCCAAAAAAGTATTTTAGATTACCGTAAAATACCGGACATCAGCCTGTTTCACAATAAGTGCCCACCTTCAATTTCGCAACGTTAAAAGACACACAAAAGACATATTTTTACATACTATTGACCTAAGAAGCACCCATACCCAAGTTTTACATAGATTCCTCGCAAATACTAGATAACAAATGTTCACGACAAAAATAAGAATAAAAGCAAATTCCGCACCTTTCCTTTGGCCAGTTCGTAGACGCAGACATCAACTGCGATGCTGCCACCACGAGAGGAATCCTCTTCTACTGTCAGCAGTTTGTTGGACTGATACTGACTGCGTCCGAGAAGACCGACAATGAATGCGTGATATTTGAAGGTGTGGTTCTATCTGAAATTTGCAGCACTCGCACAGCTGCAATGTGTTGTGCAAGTCACACCACCCTTTTTTTTATTATTATTTTGCTGTAAGCTAGTGGCAAACATATTAATATGCGCATACACATTTTTGATGTGATAAAGAAGCATCGCGTTTTACACAGTCTCAGAAGAGAAGGCCGGGGATTAAATACTATATCAAAAAGATCAGGTTATCTTTTTAATAAAAGAATGATTCGAAGTCCCACATGAGCTAGCTCACCTGAAGTGAGCCAGCACCGGCGTCTTGTCGACCCGACCGTACGTCAGAAGTTCCACGTTGGGACTGCCAAAAGCAGAAACAAAACCAGGGCAAAGGATTAAATTACCAACCTTTACTAAAAAACCTAAATCCCCTCGCAGTTTTCAGCAAGAAAGCTCATTAAGGTTAAGGGTTATTTTTAAGCCAATTTTCTTTTCTTCATACCTATATCTTCAGCAAGGACGACAGCACCCCAAACGACTGCGTCAGTCCATTATCAAAAAAACCCGCAAGGAATTTTTAAATTAGCCCAGCTATAAGACTCAGTTCAACTATGCCCTAAAGCAAATGATAGTAACAATACCTACTAAAAACTGATTTTTTATTACGCATTTTCAAATCGAAAAACACAAATTCTTGCGTAATGAGGGCAGCCATCAAGGGACTACACCAGGGGTGGTCAAGCTGCGGCTCGCGAGTTGCATGCGGCTCTTTGCGTGTTAAGGTGCGGCCCGCGGCTCCCTCCCCCACTTCCCCGCCTCCCTCCCGGTCACACGAGCACTTCCCCAAAGAGGTATGAAAAGCGTTTTAAATAAGACAGGTTGCGGTTTGACAGCATTGTGCTACTACTACCTTACGTACAGTTGAACTGCTTTTGACTTGGATATATTAAAAGTAGTTTGAGTTTCGTTTTTTGCTCTAAACACAAGTTTGCCCCCCCCCCCCCCCCCCCCCCCCCCCCCCCCCCCCGCGGCTCTTGGAAGTTTCGTGAATTTGTTTGCGGCTCTTAGGCCGGGTCAGCCTGGCCACCGCTGGACTACACCGACCCTTCATCCTTCTGAACCATGCCGCATAACGACCGATTCGAGGATCATACACACCCATTGAGAGCGTAGACGACCATGTTGGAGCGCTCCCGATTGGAAGCAGACGGCATCCATGGCCAGACCTCGCCCTCCCCCACAGACCACCATGTCAGAACCTGCGTCACCAGGCAGCAACCGAAAAAACCGACAGAAGCAAGCTTACAAATGGCAGCGCATTGCCGGCAGTCACTGCAAACCTATGCAGAGCACAAGCTTGTCTGCTTCTTGCAATGATGTCAGATGATGATGTCAGAACGCCGAGCTCTTATTGGCTGATTGAAAAAAAAAAGTGGGTAGACCTCAAGGCATCTAGCAATGAGGTCTACCCACTATCCTTTCAATTAAAGCCAATCAGAGCTTGGCATCGTTCTGCCGTCACCGCAACTCCTGCGCAAGAAGCAGACGACCTGCTCTCCACATAGGAGTGTGTGTGTGTTAGCGTGCAAGATGCAACATGAGCCAAGAAAGGAGAAGTGTCATTTGCGTCCCACAGAAACGCAAGATGACAGAATTTGGGAAAGTCTGAGTATAGAGTACTTTACGCTACTGTAGTGATCGTGGACGACCGCTAGAAAGTGAGGAAGTCCGTGACCGTCTCTAAAGCTGCGACAGGGCCGCAAGTAATGGAAGGTGGCTTACATGGTGCCGCACTTGAGACAAAGGAATGCCGGTGCCCCTGGGTCAGTGGGCATACCGACGAAGTAAAGGGACGTCAACACCCCGTCGAAGGTAGGAACAAAAATGTATTTACTAGGAAAGTCGGTGGCTCTGGGCCAGCAGGCATACCGAAGAAGTAAAAGGACATCAACACCCTTTGGAGGTAGGAACAAAAATGTATTTGCAACACTTACAAGACCTCCAGAAATGATGGGTTCTGCTGTAGGGCACGTGGTGCCATCTCGCTGCAGCATCACACATTATGAACTAGTACAAACGCCATCTGGTGTAATGATGGCGTGCTCCAGCTACCCTGCTGTTCTAGGGTCAATACACATTGTTATTCAGTCTCTGACGGCTCGAGAAAGGCGGGGCATGGCATATTACCTTCATGCCTCTAGCTTCGTGATTTGTTCTACAGAGTTCTTTTCGACTGATGTCGCAAGCTCATTGGCTGAGGAGCAACAATAAGATGTTCAAGGCTCGACGCACCTTGCGTTTCTTAACAGTGACCATCGATCAACTTGATTGTGAAACTCCACTCCTCCGAAGTTCCCCTTTGTATTATGTCCCACCAGGGGCCACATGCTCCTCATTAGGCAACATAATTATCATCATCGGCTACCCTTCTTCGTGCTTTTAAGCGACAAACCTTTTTTTAAACTTACGAGGCAATATGTGCACTGTAATGCTTTGTAAAGGTGCTCATTTTGTTAGTAACATGTTTCCTTGTGTTGTTGAGGGTGTGTTCAAACGTATCTAAATTTCTCAACTGCTAAAGTTGCAAATGTAAGCGCCTCTGCACGCACAGTACATTTACAACAGATTCACCGACAAAAAATTTTTGTGCATTTTACTGTGTCTTAGAGCAGAGAGACGACAATATGTAGTTCTTGTCCACAATTTACAGCTAGCAGGCGATGTGCGCCAAGTGCTGGCAGCAAGCACCGCAGCCACAAAATATGGAATAGGTTTCGAATGCTCAACAATTTACAGCATCTATGGGAAGTTTCACAATTGAGATTACTAGTACCTATCGCGCAAGTCAAATGAATCGTTAGCCCTTCGAAGAGACCATATAAACTGCTATTGAACTAAGATTTTGTACAGAGCAGGCCAAAGACGGTCACATTCTGTTTAGAAATTTCAAAGAATTAAGAATCCGGTTTTACTAGTCAATGGCATTTGTTTGCTCCCAAGAGGGTTCGAGCAACAACCGACAGGAGGAGGAAGCTGAGGGCAAATACACTGATCTCCGATAGCAGACAATGTTTTTTAGTCAAATCTAAAGCTGCAGCTATTTCAGTGTTGTGCAAGATCTCGGTAAATTTTACAACTAAAACACGCTGAATAACAGAAAGCCAACGTGAAAAATTTTTTGTCAAGCTATTTCAACAATATGTCAACAGCTGCTGCCCCTATACACCACTCAACTCTCCTACGTCACGCCGCGGTGGTGGCGCGCCGGACGCACTTCCAGTCTGGGGCGGTGGGCAGAAGTCGCCGTGCCAGACATGCATTCCTGTGTTCCCTTGGAAGAAACGAGACAAAAAACCTGCCTTCTCGTCAAAATGCGCGACGGGGGTTGTACCAAGAGAGTATGGAAAGGTTTGAAGATCAGTTTTCATGTGATTTTGCCCCCTCCGTTCGTCCGAGAACGTGGATAGCAGCCGTGAAAAGGGCTAACCAGACGCTGTCGAACTACGATTGCATGTGCGGGCAACACTTTGTGGTCGCCAGATGTATTTGCTTTGTTCCAACATAAACGAGAGAAAACCGCCAAGTTGTCCGAACCACCCACGGGTTCAGTGCGTCTTCAAATTCACACGGCCGCCTGATCGTTCGAACTTCGCCTGCTCTTTCAAACGTCTGCTTTTTGTCGTCTGCTCGTTCAAACAAAAGCGGCCCGTAGATCAAACTTTGACCCGGTGATTGCAATAATAAGTGATTGCAGGCCTCAAAAGACTTAAGTAGGCTCGGTGTAAACAGTAGATACAAGATGCTGATCATTGGTACCAATGGCCATCACCGACTCGTTACGCTTGGTCTGTTCCCGCTTCCGATTTTCAGTATCGACGTCAATCATCGCCACTACCTTCTACAGTTTTGCAACACGAGCGACGTCGCTACCGAAAATAGCTGGAAGAATCTCATTATGGTTTTGGCGTCCCTTCTGCGGCGTTCATGTGAATGAATCGCCGCACGTCAAATTATTTACGGAAAGTTTAGAGGAGTAATGAGCCTTGATAATTTCGCTTAGGCGATTAAAGTGGTAAGACACTACGATGAGGACGTAGAATCGACAATTCCAACGCGAAAAAGAGTATGCAGACTCACACAGACGCCGACAACGTGACATTCGAGTGGTTTGTTGACGCGGGACGCGGTGCTTCGCGTACCCCATTACGCATGCGTTCGAACTGTCGTCTGCTCTTTCAAACTTGGCTGCTTTTTGTCATCAGCTCGTTCAAACGACAGCGGCCCGTAAACCAAACGTTGGCGTGGTGATTGCGATAAGAACTAAGTGCAGGCCTCAAAACACTTTTGAAGGTTGGTTGGGGTAAGTAGGCTAAGTGTAAGCAGATACAAGATGTTGATCATTATTGTTACCAGTGGCCATCACCGACTTGTAATGCCCGATTCTACTTGCGGTTTTCAGTATCGACGTCCACCATCTCAGCTACGGTCCACGCTTTTGCAGTCCGAGCAACGTCACTCTGAAAACAGCGAGCAGAATCTCATCGTGGGAGTCAGGCTTTAGTGCCCATTCTGCGGCGTCCACGTGAAAGGAATCGCCGCACGTCACATTATTCACGCAAAGTTTTGCCTCGTTAGTTTCGCTGAAGTCGCTCAAGTAGTCAGACATTGTAAGGAGGACGTAGAATCAACAATTACAACGCGAAAAAGAGCACGGGGACTCCCACCGACGCCGACAGCAACACAATTCAATGGTTTGTTTATGGGCGACGGCGGGCTTCTTGCCCACCATCCACCGCGCATGCGCGGCGCCGGTGGCGTCCGCTAGGGGCGCTCCGGTTTGTTTGTAAACATGAGTTGGTGTATACTCTGTTCGTTGATAACTTGGCAAACTGTGGAGGCTAGGGCCCTGCGACCCAATAAGAGCGTAGGAGCAAGGCACGTGACCCAACGTCACGGGAGCATTTGTGTGACCACGCCAAATGCGAGGCACGAGGCCCAGAGGAATTGGTTGTCATCTGCTAGCTAAGATTCGTCTGCTCTGAAACCGACCAACTTTGAATGAACCTCTGCAACATTTCCGTCCGCTAGAATAGCGAGCACTTTGGGAACACTTCATGAGACAACCATACACTCAATTCATCTCGGGGCAATAAAAAAAACATGTGGACTCTTTTCTTGTGGACTACATTGTGTGGACCAATGAAAGCCCTACAACATGCGCAGACTCCGAATGATTCTTTTATAACTTGTTTCAAAGAGAGTCTGATAGGGACACATTCGGGTAAGACTCTTCTTTTTCTCTGCCGGCGAAGCCATCGCTTGCAACTCGCCGACAAGTGCCCTTCCTCAACCATTTCACTCGGAAGAAAATTCTTCACAAAAAACGGCGTGCCGCAATCTTTGAACATGTTTTTAATCAGAAAATAAGCTACGCACGATTGTAATTTCGGGTTTGTTGGAATGCTTTGAGCGTCTAGATTGAGTTGTCACCACAAAAGGACGATCTCAAAATCGACTTCAGTGCCCCTTCAAAGGGGGGGACACCACCCAAGAGGGTCAACTTTTTAACCTATAGCTTAATATGAATGAAATATAGAGTATATAAAGGCCGTTGCAAGACAAAAAGCAGTGCAAAGTTTCATCTATGTACATGTATTGTAAAATAAAGTGTAGTTGTTTTTATCAGGAACACAGAGACTTTGTATAGGAAAACTATCGTTAGGAAACTAATTTGACACTAATACCCAACTTTTTTTCTAGTCTAGATCTGCACCAGAATGCCAGGAGAGTGCTACTTTGAAAATAAAATTTTAAAAAAGTAAGTAATTTCTTTTATGCTAACATCGCAGTGAAAAATCAAATAGTACATTTTTTGCCTTTTATGTCGTCGACAAAATCTAAACGTATTTTATAAAAGACATCCACAAGGTCAAAAAACAATTCCACAGTTGCACTGCCCATAAAATTCCAGTTAGGAAAAACAATGAGTGAGTCTTTCCTCTTGTCCCATAAACAAACAATAGTCTTCCTAAAGTGAAATTAATGCCAAAAAGTAGAACGGAGAAAACTGTGTTCAAAGTGCTCCAACCCATATACCTTTTCTTTAGCATCGGAGGACCGAAAATAATTTATAAAAAAATTAACTATGCAGAGTAAGCTAATGAAACTTTCTGGGAATACTCTCTAGATGTTGGTGGATGTAAATATGGAAATTTTCGAAAAAAACTTTTTTTTTCAGAAGTTTATTTTCTGGGTAGTGTTTGCCCTTAAAAGAAAAAGAAGCCTGAAACTACTTTTTGTCGCAGACTGCGCTGTTGCTGTGGCAGAGGCCCCCGTGGCCTCGACCATGGAGTGTTATCACGTGCCTTGCTCCGGCGACCTTATTGGGTCGCGGGGGCCGCAGCCACCACAATTTGCCAAGTTATCGTAAAACAAAGTATAGGCTGTTGCGACAGACAGACGTCCTTCATTCGCAGGTGACCGCCGTGGATAGCGAAATCACGTTTTTAATCTCCTACTCTTCAATCGGGTAAGCTCATTCCTTAAAATTTTGACGCACAAGATGCAGTGCCTTTGGCTACACCAGCGCAAAAGCTTAGCGCCATGCACAAAAGGAGGAGGGGCTCCGGGAAAAATTTTATAATCACTTATTTGCTTCAAAGTTTATTCAACACATTGAAAGACACATTTAATCTAGCAGCCTAAATTGCAAGTTGCAATACTTTTATTCTGCAAAGTTATTGCCGTTTCAAATTTGGTCCAAGAGGCAATAGGCTCCGCTGGCAACACTGAAAACGTGACGTCAGATGTTGTAATACGGGGCAATACGGGGGCATTGCAGCTTGTTCCGGGCGGGTTACGAGAAGTCGGATGGCGCAAAACGAATGCTGGTTAAGCTCACGCCAGCAAAACGAAAAGATGCGTGCAAAACACAGCATTTCTTAGACTGCCAGTTCGACTTGCAAGTTACACATCGCGTGACGTCGCCACGGCGAAGAGCGTGAGAAAATTTTAATGATTAACTTTTGGCATATACCGTTCATTTACCGTTTTCTCAACAGCTATTTCTAATTCAGAGCTAATAAAAAAGTGCAGGGGAAAAAGTAAAGTCTGAGAATTCCAAAAACGTGTTTAGATTTGGTGGCTCAGAAAGAAGGACGGAGCCACTAGAACCTGTTTGTGCGGTCACTTCGACCAACGACCCGTTCAACTTGTGCGGTCATAACGCCACTTCCGCTCGCTCACCCAGTCTTTGAGGGAGTTGAGGCTGAGCTTGCGTTCCAGCCGGCGGCCTGTGAGCCCCAGCACATCGAAGGTCACGACCTTGGGGTCGACCGAGGACAGCTTGCGGACCCCTTCGGACCCCGTCAGCGACTTTGAGAAGCAGACGTAGGTCATCTTGGGCTCGTAGTATGCCACCAGCAGGCAGCGGCTCTCCAGCATTGCTTTTCGAAAAAGAACACGAAAGGAAACAAGGTTACGTTGGCATGACGTGCGCCCTGCCGCTGCTTGCAAGGCAGAGCGGTCGGCATGCGCGATGTCCACGCGAACGAGCTAGGTTCTAATTTCACCGTCTACTTTAGAGCGGTAACTGTTATAGGAACTTTCCAGCTTCGTTCAAGGTGCTGGCATTGTGCTAGGCAGAAAACTTTGTGACGTCATCAGGTCGCACAGTCACGAATGATTACGCCAGGGAATGCAGGGGCGCCCGCACGACCGGTAAAGCCCCTTGATAAAATTCTCGCTTCGCATTACTTACAGATACCAACATCTGTCGTTGTATGGTCACGCAAGGCCGGTGCCTGCCTCGGGATGTTTATAAATGTAGCATGGAAGGAACACGACGTGACAAGAACAGAGTAAGTGCGCTCAATACAATGAATGCTGCTGAGGATATGGTCATGAAAGGGACAGTTTGGGGCTAACGAGATTCTTCATTAAACCGTCACATAGAGGAGGATTCACACCATGTAAGCTCTCCATTAGATTTCAGTGTGGGCTTACAAGGGGGCCGCACATTGTTAGGACACCTTCCGAAAAGAAAGAAGAATGTTAACACCTGTAGCAAAAAGCCACGGATTTTTAGAGCGGTAGCTTTATAGGGCCAATCAACCTCAGCAGTCGCGTAAGCACGTAATGTGTAGGTTGGTCAGTCTGTAATCTCTAAACGATGTTGAAACAACGGCAATCGGTGCCAAGGGTTAAACCCCGGTCACCGGTGTGGAAGCCGGGTGTTCTGCTGACTGAGCTACGAAACCAGCACTCTCGAACGGGAGGAGCAGATGCAGGTCGTGTGAGAAAGCAGTGCATGCGGTGCGGGTGTGATCCCATGTTAGAATTTAAAATATTGATTAAAAGAGAAAACAACAAGACTGAAAGGGAAATAGTAGAAGCATTTTTTATAAAGGCCTCAGGGGACAACTGCGTCAGCACGCCTTCGATCTTACTAAATGGCGAGGAAGTTTTTTTTCTAGATGGTTTTGTGTAGACACGTTGAACTAATATGAATGTTTATTACATTTTCATCCGTTGTTTGTGTTTATGAAATGGTTAAATCACAGGGGGTTGACAAGATAGGAACGAGTGCTCACGCATGTGTGCTGGATGGTTTCCTCGACAAAACCGGTTGAAAGTTAGCGCCAGTCCGTGTTGAATCTGTCTCTTCTTCGTCCGTGTTTTTTGCGCCTTTATCCTCTAGATCACTCTGAAGTAAGAGCACCGGCCACGCCCGGCACTGGGAGACTAAGGGTCATCCTGCCCTATAGGCACTAACCGAACTAAGAGCACCACCCACCCTATAAAGCTACCACATTTAAATGCATTTGGAAGAATAAGCAAACATGCAGACAACTTTTCTTTTCATTTTACATATGGTTGTTTTGTTGGAAAGTTCCAGTGCATTCTCGTCACTGCGAGTTCTAGTCTACAACCTCATGAACGCAAAGCTTGCATAAAAGTCGCCATAGCGTGCTGCACCAAGTCAGACTAACGCTTGCGCTCAGTCCCACTGTTACGCTGACATCCACACCCACAATGCCGCCGATTGTATTTTGTTTTGGAACAAGTTCGCCGCATTAGACGTTTTGTTTTCTCAGTTAATTCCTGCATTAACATTTGTCATTTGTCCCAGTATCCACCCACCTGACCACTTCAAACTGGGGCCGTCAATTGTTTGGGTCTGAAGAATTGGTGTCCGCATTTCGCTGCCAAAATCAAAGTCAAAATATGCAAATTAATAAACCGTACCGATCAAATGGGAATAAAAGTTAGAAATTTGGCAAAGTACAATATGTGGCAGAGGTGGGATTCGAACTTCAGGCCTCTTCATAACCAATGAGGCATGCTGACTGCTGCACCACCCTGCATTGTCTTTTGGCATTTTCTGTCTCTTACGGTTAGTACAGTTCATTCATCGGCAAATTGTCACGAATAAAAGAAAGGCAAACGTGAAACGAAATATAAACATTTCCTAATAAGGCGAACTTGTCCATGAAACTAAAACAAGGAATTGATATAGGACATCCAATGCCCAGGACACACGAAAAACACCGAGTACCTGGGAAGTTCTGGCAGAGCAGTGAAAGGTTAATCAAAAACTAGGCCGGTGGGGTTCAAACCCGGTACCTTCTTCACGTGGTATCCACGTCCTCTGCCAGCTCGGCGCGCACTTGGCAATATTTCAACTCTTTCCCCCTCAGAGGCCCCGAAAATAACTCGACGTAAGTCAGTACCACAAAACAGACGCTTCTACTTGCTTTACATAAAAGTTACGAATAAAATTGATAAAAGTATAATTCAGTTCACACACTTCCGTTTGCTTAAGACTGAGCTCCTGCGATCTCTTACGGCACGCTAGCACCATCCATGAGGTGGCCTTGGAACTGCATCTCACTAGAGTGAAGGTTTTGCAGAATTTGCAAGATCAAACCATCTATGAGAAACGGTTGTCTATAACATTGTCAAAAGGTTTCCAAGCCATAAATAAAAGAATGACGTGAAAAAAAAAAAAAGAAATATACAGAAATTAGCAGTGTTCCGCGGCTGGTCGACAGATGGCGTCAGCGTGTCCTCTTGTCGTAAGAGGTCGCAAAATGTTGTGAAACAGGCATGAGGAGGTGATTAGTACCATCAGAAACGTGCTCGGACGCAAGCTTGCCAACAAGGTATCGGTCAATGGAGACTCTCTGGAGCTTGCAGTTGTCAGGCTCCACTTGGAGGAACGCACAGGCACCACTTTGGAAGAAAAGCTGGCGAAAGAGGAAAAGACATAAAGTAACCTCGAAGAAGACGTCGATACGCTGCAGAATGCTTAGAACGACCGGGTGTTTGGCTCGACAGAAAGAAATTCACAGTTTCTTGCTGCATCTTGCAAAATTAACAACATCACATAACATGGTCCCGTGACACTGTGGCAACAAGTGACATCATGACATCATACCGCATCTGGACGTCACCTGGTCATGTGACGTCTTGAATCTTGAAGTGGCATGATACGACTTGACACTGTGGTTCCCCGCTGAATTTAGCGGTGAAATTTTCACACTAAATTTAGTGGGCCACGACATACACACAAGCACACCCTGACATCCAATGCGAAACCTCGCTAATAATGGCTATTGTTGTAAAAAAGTAAAGCACAATTCTTTGCCAGAGGCTCCGATGGTGAGACTTAATTTTTGCACCTCTGCCGGCCTCGATATGGATGGGTGTCGTTCTGCTGTTAACAGATGCAACTGCTACTGCACGTTGCGTGCAGTTAGCAGTCGTGCTGTGCACCAGCAAAATCACCCCTCCATGGCGGAGATGCAGATGGCAAACATACTTCGAGGCAAACTTAACTTGCTCGTGTGTAAACATTGAAAGAATTAGATGTAAGTGTGATTTTGGTGCATCACACAACAACAATGCATTTGATCTCATTCAATTTCAAACAAAACTGGTTCATAGGTGCAAGAAGTACTTAAGATCTAAGAAAGAATAATCATAATTTTTATTTATTTTAGATACCTGCAGTGCCAGTGGCGTTATAGCAGGGGGAGAAAAAACCAAAAACATTACAGGTTGTGTTTTGGGGGTAGAAACTGAGAGTAGAAACTGCAAGAGAGAGTGTGAATGTGTGTATATCCAGGGACGTCAGAACACTGACCTCTGGTTCAAATGATTAATAGGAAGACGCCTGCCTTTGTCTCTACTTTCTGTTTAAACGTGTTCGAATGAAATAGCGTAAACATAAAAATATAGTGGCATAAACAGTTTGCATCAAATGCTACGTCAACATCATGCCTAGCAAAACAGTGAAGTTAAAATGTGCACAGGCACAGGTTCTCCACGCTGATTCTCGTTCAATGCCGACACAATGTCTTCATCAGAATCAAAGTTGTCGGAGCTGAAGTCAAACAGCTCAGTGGCTTCACAGTCTCACTGCCGGATGAAAGGTTTATGTCCCCACCATCCGAATCGGATGAGATGTCGTGAAATCTTCGTTTTTCCCGCGTTTTTGTTGTGCACTTGTCACGAAGGACACTGCTTCCAGAGGTTGACGCCACCATTTTTAAAGCGCTTGTTGCCAGCTTTTACAAGGTTTTGGCAAACTCTAGAAATTTACCACGTCTTTGGGCGACACTAAACACATGTCGACTAGCCTGGTTAGTCTTTGGTAAGGAACTTGCGTTTTATTCAGCATGGACGAGCCTAGAGCCCCTGTATGTTGCCAGAATATCACATTCGATAGCATCTGCTGTTACTGTCCTGTCTTAGCTGTGAACGGCCATTTTGGCGCCGAAACATATACCGTAATATCCCGAGTCATCGCCCATCCCCGAGCCATCGCCCACCCCATTTTTTGGGCCTATATCGATTTCCGAAAAAACACCGAGTCATCGCCCACCCCTTCAAATACCCCGGCGCGGACTCTGCGATCCGCGAACACTCATCCTACCCGAATGACGCGGCCGCGGACCTTACAGTTCGAGGACGTCCGTGACAAAGTAAAACAAAGGAGGGAAAGACACTTCTTTTTGTTTACCTCCGTGAGCGACCCCAAAGTGGTCGTGTATTCGTGCGAAAAGTAAACGATGGAGATAACAAAATAAGAGTTTGTTAATGTAACCGCGGAGTGTTAGGTCAAAGTCTGTCTCCGCCGAAGTAAGGTCACTGCGAACCCGCTCCTTTTTCCCGCCCGTCGCGACCGCGGTTGTGCAATAGTTTAGGCAAAGCCAACGCGTAAATAAAGCTTTGCTGGAACGCCCTACACAGATGTTTGCAGAGCGTCCCAACCGTGCATTGATAGCCCGCCGTGCACGGACGCACGTATGTACGCACCAAACAAGAAAGTTGCGCAAGAGCTTGCAATTGACAAGGCGCCCGACTTGGCCCGACGCCAAAGTATTTGCTTTCCCGCTTTCGCAGCATTGCTCTTGGTCGCTTCTTTGGTCCGCTCGCTCGCTCGCTCGCTCGTTCGTTGCGCCTGGTCGGTTTTTCTATTTTCTTGTAGACTTTTCTTTCTTTTTTTTTACTAACTAGGAGAACATAGTGGTGACATTCTTTCACGGAACAAATGTTCGCGCTATATGCAGATCGGCGGTGTTTCTAGCGCGTATGCAAGCAACGGACTTCGCTATAGTAAAATATTCTTTCGTGAGCATTTTTTTCTATAAAACAATGAAACTAAATCGAGTTTTGAGTTTGATGTATCTCTTGTGCATCAGCGCTAGATACGCAGAGAAAAATAGGCGGTTTTTTCCGCTTTTTTTCAAGTGTTTGTGCTCACCCACCGAGACATGGCCCACCCCACTTTTTTAATGAATTTCAGGTGGTAGGGGGGTGGGCGATGACTCGGGATATTACGGTAGTTATATGGTGGAAGAAGGTTGGCATCCTTGCCGTACAAGGATGTAAACTTTTGTCTCCCAAGCCTATGTGCCCAGGTCGGGACGAACTACCTGAAATCACCCGCGAGACATAGTTGCATAAAAACAATATTAATTATGGAGCAAGGCCTTGTAAACTAATCTTTTATGAAAACATCACGCTCCTGTGATTCTGTACAAACGTTCAATAAATGTTCCTACAAAAAGATCTTTTTCCATTTGTTTTTATGCAAAAGCATGCTTTCTAAATGCTCATGATGACCACAGTAAAGAAAAAAGATTGAGCAGCCATCTTGGAACCTCGAGCCTGGAAGTTTTGGTACTCAGGGAACATTCAGTGAATCTACTCGTCCATGGTAGGGAAAGGGTTAACAGGGCCAAGTTAAGTATTTATTGAATTTTAGACGGAAATAAATATTGCAATTGTTTCAGAATTTTATCAGAAAATCCTGTTAATTGGAAGAATGATTGTGGAGCATGTCCATACTTTTCATGGAGGTCACAAACTCATTAAAATGGACCACCTTGCATGGCACAAATCACACCTCCTGGTCACTTTTATAAAGTTAAGACAGCCCAATACAGAGAAAGTAATAGAGAAATGTACCTGGAGCAGTCCAGATGTTATCCACTTCAAGGAAATGCACTTCTGGGTGCCCAGGATGTCCTGGAACATGGAGGAGACACTTGACAAAACGTTGACAGAAGATACTTAACATTTAATACACATGCGTTTCGAAGTTTATACATCTCAAAGTTGTGGCGTCTCCAAGTTGTATGTGGGGGCACTTTCATTTCAAATCAGGCAGGAAAAAAGGGTCCCATCTCCAAAGCTTATGAAAAAAAATACATAGGCTGGAAAAATTCTTCACTAGAACGAAACCGAAAGCCGCTTTAGCGTCACATTTTTTAGCTTTTGAGTTTTTTTTTACTTGTGAAGGATCAAATGGGGATTTTGGGATTTGGGCGATCATCCCAAGTCGCATATTTGGGGGCTTTGCCAGGCTCGAACCTTCAGCATAACAAACAAAATTTTTACATGGTTTTCTAAACTACAATAAAAGTGCCAAATGTTGATAGAATTATGCCTTTCTTTTATCTATTTTCTAAAAAAATTCAGAACCAGGCTTCTTTGATGATAACGTACCTAGTTTGGACGATGACAACTTTTTTTACATTGAATTTTACGGCATAAATTATATGTCAAATAATGAATTAAACAAACATCTATTGAACACATAGAATATTATTATAATTGAATAATCTTATCTGAGAAAAAAATGCCTTTGAATACGAGAGGACACTCTAAAAGTACAAATTTCAACAACAGTTTTCTAAAAAACAAAAAAAGGGCATTTTTAATATTGCACTTTTTTTCCTTTTTGTATGTTTGAAGTAGTCTGAAACAACCAATAAAAGTTGCATCAATACAGGTTTTGAAGCTATGTTGTTTCGGACCACAGTTGTTGCAATAAAAGAAACGCGGGACAAAGCTCCTCCCACAAAGCCTTTCCCTCTTTCCACTTTAGCAGAGCGGATGCTGGAGAGTGGAAAGGAGGAAACCGCTAATCAAGGTGAGCAGAGACTGACAGACTATAACCTCTAATCTCCCCATTGCGCATCGTTATGAAGGCACTCATGAGCGTGTAAAATAAGCAAACAAAACAAATTAATGAAGACGATGACACACACCTCAAATTCCTTGATCGAATCCCGTAGCCTCTCGGGCCGTCTGTTGGAGGGCGTCCACATCACGTCGCGAGCTGCAAGACGAGGTTGCGCAGACGTTGCGCGCGAGCGTTAGGGCCAGGTTCAGGACCAGTAATAGATTTGGGTACACTAGGCAGGGCAAGAACGACGGGGCGATAACAACTGGGCACCCCTTCCAGATTCTCTGCCTCCGGCGTGCACTGGTTGCCTTCTGCCGTGCTGGGATGCAAGCGCTCACTCGAGGCTCACAAGATGCCGAGGTGCCATCGGAGGCGGGAAGTTCGTGCTGAAGGCGGGGCAACCAAAACTTCTGCCTGCCGTGCTCGTCCCGTCGGTCCCAAACAGTCCAGAAAATAATTTGCGCTTTTTGTTCTTTCTTATTGCAAAAAGAAACTATGTACCACCGAGGGCTCGTTCTCCGCCCAAATGTAGCGCCCGTGGTCCGAACCCTAAATGGGCCCCATTTTCCATTGATGTTTTCGGAAAATCACTTATGACATTTGAATGAGATATCGGTTAGTTATGAAACTCTGGCCCCTGGTCCGGACAACTAGCGCTATATTTGGAAGAAGAATGAGTGTTCAACCAATTATATCTTTACGAAAAAAAAATATATATATTTATTGACTTTGGTTAAAGAGATTTTGTTAATTGTCGTTTTTAGGAGATTTCAGGAAGAAGTTGACCACATCTACCTTGACCAGGGCACAGTGCTGGCATCTTCTCTTATTATGGCTCAGTAGACGTATAGAGGGCAGCATACAGAAGGCGATTATTGGAATGGTCTACATGGGGCACATGTCCATACTGGTCATGACCATTTTTTTTTTCATTCTTCAGTGCGCGGACATATGCCTTTCTCGTTCGGCAGTCAAGGCCTTGTCTTAATTATCGGGGTTCTAATTTTCCACCTAAGGCGTTCAGGGTGCACCTTCAATTTGTTCTGGGCAGAAGGCGATTATTGGAATGGTCTACATGGGGCACATGTCCATACTGGTCATGACCATTTTTTGGTCATGACCAGACAGTCTTTTGGTGTTTGACCAGATGGTCAAACACCAAAAGTATGATTTATTTTCCCAGCCCCTGCGCACTAGTTTTGTCAGCATACAAGAACATTCTGGCCCTTTGATTTCCGCACAAGCGGGAACAAAATTTCGACCTTCTTGACTTCCGTCAATGGTTCAAATGTGAATATAACCTCGGCGTTCTAGACAACCGAAAAGATTGCACATATCACCATAAAGTTCAAACAAACTACTTAAGCGTGCAATATTTCTATCAAATGTTTGAAAATGACAATGCCCATTAACAGTTCAAATGTGCTTGCAATGTGCAGCTTCAGGAGAATACTGCTTTAGTTAGAAGTACTAAATGTGCCGATAGAAGTCTAATACGAATGGTCCAGATGTGCAAAATCTTCCAAACTGAAAGTTAGACAGCAAGCTTAAATACCTTTAGCATACTCTTCTTTGGCATCCAAGTATGTTTCCTCGAGATCTGCACAAAAAAGAATGTCATTTAGATAAAAGCCCACCCAAGAAAAGAACACCAACCAATCAGATTAGTTAATGCAGTGCTTCCCAAATTCTACAACCTGTAACCTATGAAAAATATAAAATATTGTGTCGTGATATTTCATTGAGACTTCTTGTATTAAACTGACACCTTAGAGTATTACCTGTGTCTCCTTTGTCATGAAGCTTGAAGCAGCCCAGGTCTGAATCTGGCATGGAAACAAAAAAGCAACTTGGTGACACGGACACGGGATCTGATGATTGGTCACTGTACTCTATAGTCTGTTAAAAGGCGCAAACTGAAATAGGACGATAAGAAACCCACAACATACAACACAGATAAGTGCCAACTCCCAACTGATTTAATGCAACACCAAACATCATCAAACTGTCGATCCGCATCACCTATACACACAACAAAGCAACAAGATAAAGGTTCCTATCACTCATCACACGCAGCCATCAAGAAACACAACTTCTTTGTTGCATGTTAAGAGTAGTATGACAAAGACCCTTCCCACAAAACACTCTGCTCGTTATGATTGGCGTTTCCTCCACTAAAATGGAGAGAGGAGGTCATTGCAAGAGGAGCTTGTCCTGCTATGCTAAACCTGCAACAGGCTATGAACAGCAAATTACATTCGCAAAATGTTGGCGTTGAGCTTAATTTATTCTTCGAAGAATATGACAAACAGTGAAGCAAATTACATCTTGATCATTCAACAATTCCTCGAAGAGTCGACCGAGGGTTGTCACTGTTCGAATGATTAATAAATATAAAGTAAAACAAACATAAAACATTTTGGATTTTTCTTTTTCCAGGTGCAAAACGCAAACAAGTAATTATGTTGTGTGTAATTTAGACAGGGAAGTCAGTCAGCCCCGATGGGCAGTCCGGTGGTGCCTCCGCTGTGGATGAGTAATTTTGCCAGCGCAGTACGACCGCTAGCCTGGGGTCTTTAACGTGCAACAGGCACCAGTGATACAGGCCCGTATGCCAGTGCGATGATCATCCAGATCGAAACAGGCAGGGGTGATCGTCCTACCTTTGATGAAGACATCGTCCTTCATGGTCCAAAACTGTAACTCGCACATCAACGACACCATGGCCGGAGGATCTGAAGAAAGAGCAAGCCACCCCGGTAAGAGCGGACGAAAAAGCCACAACGGATCAATGGAAACTGGATGTCTGCAAGAGTGACCGAACCAAACCGAACTTTGTTTACTGTTTGGCGTGTATGGCGCCTTTAGCTTGACGGTGCTCAACCGCTCAACGATGACGTAAATTTACACTTTTAAAACATTGAACTACATAACAGCTCATGGCAAGTGTAAATAAGACCATAAGATTTGGGGGTTCAACGCGTACCTTAGGAGCAACTCTTGGCAACGCATACAGATTCGCGAGCGAAAGCAGCGAAAGCTCGATGAACTTCGAAATGTTTTAAAGGGATGACCGGATTGGATTCGATTGGATTCTAATGAGTACGAAAAGGCAAATAGATATAGTTAAATGAATGGATGGCTGTACCTTGTGTAGCGGGCGGTAGCTTGCGCCACCTAGTCTAAACACCAAAATATGATTTATTTTCCCAGCTCCTGCGCAACTCCAAGTCACACTGCAGAATTATGCAGACGCAAGGATCTGGTTCATCCTAAGGTCACTCTAGTTTACCCCTTTAGCACCGGCTTTCCTGCACGGCCCGGGATTCCGCTCGTCACGTGACCGAATTCGGCGAATAGCTGTACCTTGTGTAGCGGGCGGTAGCTTGCGCCACCTAGTCTAAACACCAAAATATGATTTACTTTCCCAGCTCCTGCGCAACTCCAAGTCACACTGCAGAATTATGCAGACGCAAGGATCTGGTTCATCCTAAGGTCACTCTAGTTCACCCCTTTAGTACCGGCTTTCCTGCACGGCCCGGGATTCTGCTCGTCACGTGACTGAATTCGGCGAATAGTGGTGTCGCGCGTTGGCGGCGTGCCGGCGCGCTCCTTCTCTTTCCCTTCTGGAAAACAGGAAAAAAGGAGGCAAAAGCAAAGGAACATACGCCGGGGCACGTGCAACGTAGGCGAAGCGACCGCAGCGATTGCTTTCCTGCAGGGCACATGGATTTTGCTCCTCACGTGATTGGATCGCGGCGAATAGCGGCGCGGTGGCACGTAGAAAACACGCGCAACCCAGGGTCCCGTAGGGAGGCTAAACAAGAAATGGCAGCCTGTTGTGGTCCCGCTTTCCCAAGCTTATCTATGATAGACACGCTTGTTTTTTGGTTTTTTTTTTGGTTTTCTTAGTACGCTACGTGAATGCGTCAAGAACGTGGCACTTTGATATGCAGTTTAACTAACTTTCTACTGCTGTAATGATGTGTAATCTCTGCCATACTAGAGCAAACATTTTTTTTAAATGGTTAAAAAAGAAAAAGCTATTTGATTTTTTTTTAATAAAAACTTGAATAAAATAAAAAGATTAAAAAAAAAAAACTCGCAGCACTTAAGCGATATACAAAGATGCTCGCTTGATTCAGGCAAATGTTACATAAGCTGACTCAAGCCCCCTTTCAGAGGGATTTTCGAGTCGTGCTAATATGGACCACTTAGGGATCTATTGACGCGCAACCGACATCTTGGTTTCACTGTGCTTTCTCCAGAATAAGCCTCCACCAGATTGCGGGAACCTCGGCCGGGATTCGAACCCGCCACCTAAGGATTTGTAGGCCGGCGCTTTGCTTCGAAACATTTTGGAGGTGCTCATCCAACACTCGCAAGACCCATGTTCGACTCGACGGTCTGCATCTTGAAGAAGTATGTCCGCACACATATATGTGCTGCAGTGAACACTTCGATCAAGGCTGCTAGGAGATTTTACTTTGAAGACTGATTCAGCTAGGAAATTCTTCGGACAACTTACCGAGGGTTCGCTGCAAATACATCCTTCAGCTCATTGTCTGTTTGGGTATCAGCTGATGAGCAAACTCTATCTGGTAAATCTCTCGAGCTAATACGCCCCATTATCCAGGGTTGGAAAACAGACATACCTCTTGTCCCACAGTGCATGTTTAGAGGCGGGTATTTCTGGTGGCGTGCCGGGGTTTGTATAATATTGCTTCGCGGGCCGTAGGTTGCCGAGCCCCGACCTAGAGAACAATGCCTGCGCACGACGTCATTGTTAGCGGTTCCCCGACCTGCCCCGAGCGGCAAACACGCCGCAAAGTGGCAGATGCGTGCGTCTTGCCGTCACCATGCGATAGCGTTGAGCTCAGGGAGAGACGCTGTGAGACATGCTGGTGGTGATGCCGACGCAAACATAAGTGCCACTGCGTAGATCCACTAGTGACGACAGGAAAGGCGCAGGCATCGTCTTGGTATTGGCTGCGCTCATATTTGCGTGAAACGGAGTATGGCCGAAGCTGCAAAACTTCGCTCATGACGTCGCAGCTCGTATTCGGGACCCGCATTCCGGTTTGATTAGAACCGCGGAGGAAGAAGAGAGGTGTCCAAACGAGGCCAGCCAAAGCGGCATGCTGGTGTTTCGTGCATTTCCCGCTGGGAGCACCGTTGGTTTAGGGGCCTTCGCACAGGGGCGGTCGTGCAGCCTTGTAAGCGCGTGCGCGAATAAGGACGGCTCCTTGAGCGGCTATCATCATCTTCTTACTGCCCCAGACGTGTTATGCCATCTCCACAGCGTGTCATAAATACGAGCGAACCTGTGGCAAGGCACCGCCGTTGAGAGACCTCTCTTCTTCTACCGTGGTCGGACCGTGCTTTAAACACGAAGGAGCCAAGAGCCCTTTGTGTCATTAATTTCTCTGAAGCTTGCTGCAAGACGATCCGACTTGGCTAATGAGGTCCGACGTCCCGACCTGGGCAGAAGCATCCCACTTTTACCGATTTGTTTCAAGGCTGTCCCTCAAGACACGTTGCACTACCGTGTTTCGTTCCGCTTTCCCGGAACCTAGCTGTCCCATCCCCAGCGCAACTCCGAGCCACACTCCAGAATTATGCAGATGCAAGGAGCATACACAAATGCCACACCGTCACCTAATATCCAAAGATGAACAACTGTAAAAAAAAAAGAGAGAGAAACACAAAACCGGTTTACTGTGAAGCCAGTTGATACGGATTTATTTTCAATTATTAATCGAGTTATGTACAGTAACGGCCCCGACTCCCAAGTATTACAAAAGGAGACAGAGAAAGAAAATGCCACACAAGACATAACCACAAAACAATGCAAAGAAACACATGCACAATCTGACTGATACAAGCTTTCTTCAAATTGACTGAATTAGAATTCACCTCCTATGGTGCTTACCCCCGTCAAATGGGTCGCATAGGACAACTGCGCAGTTCTTAAAGCTCCACACAAAATATAATAAAACAATACATTAGAAATAAAAAAAAAAAATTTAAGGCATGCTTGAATGCAACATTAGAATCTACACAGACAACTTGCTGTTTTATGGGAGCTGCTAAGTTTAGCAACCGATAAAGCAAACATATGTCAAAAGAAATATTTCATACATTTAGAGATGCAACTTTACCTGTAGCAACTTTGGCGCATCAAACAAGTGCGACAACCACTATTCAGCCAGAGAGAACACATTTAGAGAGATCATATACATGTGGGACATGCATATACGAATATACTCAGAGTCAATTATGTCTCTATTGAAACCAAAAATTTATTCTTAGTCTGCTGAGGAAATCTGAATAAATGCAGGCCTGATGAGTGCAAGTAAAACTCAATGAATACCAAATCTAAAGTAATAATAATTTCAAGATATTCAATGACCAAGGATCGTCTTCATGAAGATGCAAAAAAACACAACATAAACATACAGGTGGAATACAGACATCCACGAGTCTTTCCAGTAGGAAGCATGTTAAACAATGTTACCAAAATTTAGCAACTTAAACCGATAAAAAAAAAAAGGAGGAAATTTAAGAATGGGAAGACGGAATGAATGTTTCATACTTAGTTCTTAGTCTTGTAAAGCAGCCCCAATCTTGTGTGCAACATACCAATTTTCTGTTTGGTTTGCTCATTAATTTTCAATAACAATGATTTTATCTCGGTATTTTATGGTTCTGTTGTCCCATCATTTTTTCTTCCTATCTTCATTCTTTTATTTTTTGATTTTTACATTATTGAAGGTTGTAGCCATTGAAAGGACTGTGTGTCTTATGTCTCTTAATAATTTTATTGCTTCAAGTTTGTTTTCCGTGGTTCAGAAAATGGATGCCAAGATGTGAGCAACAAAAATAACACTACAGACAATCTAGAGACTCCATGTGCAGCACATGATTACCATTGGATTTAAATAAAAAAAATATATAAAAAGTAAAAACGTTATTATGCCTTTAGTCCTTTTGTTTTTTGTAGGAGGTGCGACCAAAAAGGTCCGGGACTAGCCTTGTGGCGGGAAAGGGGAGGGGAGCACAGTGATTCACGCGCAGCTATCGAAGGCGGGGGCCTCCATATGTGATTATGCCAAAAGGCGTCATTCTGTGGACGTTCGAAGCTGCGCTACACAAATTTCTTGACCATATGCACGAGCACGTCGATGATTTCAGCACGGACTGCAAACCAGAACGAAAAGTGAGCATCAATTCCGTGTCAAACATGGCTAACCTAGAGACCTTTAAAATGATTTGGCAGGCTCACCGCAAAAAAGCAGGTCACGCGAGGTGTTTTGAATGGCATACGCACTTCACGAGTGACAAAACAACGCTCGAAGACAAAGAGGGGTAGCGGCGACTTTCCCCAATCTCCCTTCGTCATCCAGCAATGTTCTGTCATCCTTCGAGTGCGAGTGCCACTCACACCTCACATGATTCACCACTTTTTTGCCATAAGCTGGCAGAATGATTTCAAAGTTCCCTGTTTCAGATTTTCCGAGTTTGATGCAGGATTGATGCCTGCTCTTTGTTCTGGTCTGCGATCCACGCTGAAATCGCTAATGTGCTCGCACCCGCGGTCACAACCACTCGAGTACGCAGGTTCAAATCTTCACAAGGCGATGCCCTTTCACATAATGACACATGAAGGTCCCCGTCTTTGACATTTGTGCGTGCATCACCATGTTGCCTCTCACTCCCCCTAGTGGCATAGCCAGAGGGGGGGGGGGGGGGGGGGAAGGCTTATTTATAGGGTCTCAAGGCCCCCCCCCCCCCCCCAAACAAAAATCCCGGCTTGGCCAATGTCCCCTCCTCCCCCCAACCCTCCCCCTTCTTTACGCTATAGAACTAGTCGAGGACCTCTTTCACATGTCATATACAAAGATTACACTGGCCATTTCTTCTAGGCTATACTCACAGTTTAATTTGTGAATATATACAAAGAGACAAACACACAAAAGTATTAATACCATGCAAACCCTACACTGCTCGTAAATCTAACCCCTACAAGTCAATCGGATAGCAAAGTAAATACATGCTGGAGCTTGAAGCGAGTGTCGTTGAAATCTTTCCTACAGCTGTGACGTACGTAACGAAGGTCGTTCACATCTGATGTCTCCTCTGATGCGCGATCAAATTACTCTTATCCGAAAATGCTCTCGGGCAGGAGTCACACTTGAACGGCTTCTCGCCAGTGTGGACCCTCTCGTGACGCACCAGGTCTCTCCTCGATATAAACGCTCTCCCGCACGTCTGGCACTTGAAAGGCCGTTCACCCGTGTGAAGCCTTTCGTGATACGCCAAGCTCGATTTCTGAGTAAATGTGCTGTCACACATGCTGCACCTGAACGGCTTTTCTTTCCTGTGGGTCCACTCGTGAGCGGCAACGTCGCAAGCGTCACCGCTAGAGAAAGAACAGTATCGACACCGGTGCTCGTACGGACTTTGGTACATTTTCCGCTGGTGCGTGCTTGGCCAGTTGCTGCGACGAGTGAGGTCGCCTTTGCTGTTCCCGCCGGAAAGCCTCTCCACTCTGTCCCCCTGTTTTGGCTCGGCACAATCTGTTAGGGCGACATGACAAAACAAGTCTGATCAGGACAGTTTTTATTGTTCTGAACATGGATGGAGTTTGATCGTTTAGTTGAAGGGGAACTGAATTGGTTCACGATTTTGAAAATGCTGCCACAGTATGGACGTCGGCACCTTAAAAATAATGTAAAGGTTGTTATGAGGAGTACAGCTGTAATCACTGGTCAAAACTCTGGCATAGCTCTTCCCCTTGTTGCCCACCAAGCACAGAAGGAAGCAAAACTAGCTAAAATGATGCCATCCGACTCAAGATGCCGTTGACGACGTCATAATGCCTTTCAGAGATAATGGGCAGCAAAAGTTTTGCCACACTACCTACAAGCAATAGCTGCACGTCTTTACGAAATAAAAGCGGTCTGCTTTCAATCCTGCCCACTTTCAATGAAAAATCGCATGCAGAAAAGAAAAACACCCAAACACTGCTTCAAGTGATAGGGGTTAGGGAAGAATGCCTGCGGCGACTGAGTCTAGTTGAACTCGGGATGGAATGACTGAGAATCCAGGTGGAAACTTTCTTTCGAGAGGGCATCCGAAAGCCTGTGCCATGTCATAACTGCTTTAAAAGGGGACACTACCCAAAAGTGTAAGCTTTGGAACCTTTAGCTTAATATGAATGAAATTTACAGTATATACTGGCAGTTGCGAGGCATACTGTGGTGCATAATATCATATGCGTACATGATTTGTACAATACCTTATGGTCGATTTTATCAGGACACCACTGACTTTGGTTAGGAAGACTGGCATTAGAAAACTAATGTAATACCTAGGGTTCCGCGTTTTTGGTTATTATTTTTTTCAAAATTCGGCATACTTTTTTGTGTTTACTTTAAAATTCAATTTTCGTTTTTTTTTTTTGGTATATATTTGTTTCCAAAAAATGTTTACCGGTTTCTTTCGGTGAATATGAAATAAACACCATCGGACACCGGATCAGATGATCCTTGTAGCTGTGATATTTGTGATCACTCAAAGAATAACGGCACATATACATAAGTGGTGTTCGCTGCAACTTCCGTCAGGACACACCTCAAAATCACGGGCATAATCTATAGCGCGCTTCTTTTTCCTGCCCATTCTGACGACGTGAACGTCCAAGGTGATCCAAGAACCAGCAGAATGGAAAAAAAAAAATCTTATGTATTTATGTTTTTAGCCACAGGGAAGTTTGAGAGAGGGTGTGTGTCCTTTTTCTTTTTAGGACCAGGAACTTGACACACTAATCCCAATCACAGAAAGGACACAGATGTCCCACAAAGGCCAATCCAAGACCTCTTTTGTTGCATGTTGAACCCTGGAAGAAGGCAATCACGGCGACGTCACACAATGTCGAACCTTGCAAAGCCGCCTTCTCTCTCTCTCCCTTCCATCCTTTGCCCCACCCACCTCGACGCGGCCCTAAAAAACTGACCTTTTTCAGTTAATACCAAATTTTAGGAAATGGGTTCGACATACTTTTATCGGTTTAAACCGAAAACGCCAAACCTACGAACTGACCTTTTTTCGGTTAAAACCGAATTTCTGAAAATGGATTCGTTATACTTTTATCGGTTTAAACCGAAAACTTTCAACCCTAGTAATACCCAACATTTCTCTTCACTAGATACGAAGCAGAATGCCTGTAGGGTGAAACTGTGAAAACGAAATTTCCCGAAAGTTATTTATTTTATAGTAACATTGCGGTGAAAAATCAAATAAATGTTTTGCATTTTATGTTGTCGACAAAATTTTAGTCTTTTCTGAAAGACATTTACAAAGTAAAAAGCAATGCCACAGTTACACCGCCCATTAAAGTCCAGTTAGGAAAAACAATGAGTGAGTCTTTCCTTTCGTCCCATTACCAAACAAATTTTTGTCAAAAAGTGGAAAAAAGAAAAACTCGTTCAAAGTGCTCCAACTTCTACCTCTTATTTAGCATCGGTGGACCGAAAATACTTTTATAAAAAAATAACTATGCAATGTAAACTAATACAAATTTCTGGTAATACTCTCTAGATGTTGGTGGATGAAAATTGACAGTTTTCAAAATCAACCTTTTCTGCCGAAACTTTTTTTTACTTTTCTGGGTAGTGTCCCCCCTTAATCTGTGTGGTGGTTATGTAGAAAAGTGGCTACACTATGTATCTATCTATTTGTATATATTAAAATGCTTTTGATGATTCTTTTTCTTAGTTTATAATTAGTTGAAAAACAAACAGCCCCATTCATCTTTTTTTAACTCTTTAATGATGATATATACAAAAATTGCATAAAACATTTTTTTAAGATAATAATGTTTAACAAGATCAAATTAAAGATCAAAGCTGAAATAAAAAAAATAAGGTGAACGAAAATCCAGAGGTGGATCATTTGCGTAACCTCTATGGATGACTATAAAATGTCAATAACATCTGTGCATATGATAGCTTCAAGTAAAACAGTCACCTATCATAAAATATTAGTGGCAAGAGAAAAACACTTAACCGCTTAAGAAACCGATTGAGCTTACTACTGAAACAAACTGGTCGTTCCTAGGGAGAGTTTCTGTGTTGTTTTAAACTCTGTATTCTCAAGGCCCGCTCACACTTTTGCAACCAAGTACGACCGAGAGAGACGTGACTTGTTGAAACCTCTTAAAATTTCTTAGGACGAGGGAACACATGTGCACTCTGGCGCCATCTATACGGTAACCCTGGAACTGCATTTCCCAAGAGCGAAGGTTTTGCGGGATTTCCGAGGTCAAATGTGCATAAAAACTATAAGGAAGGCTCGTTTGTGACGTTGGCAAAAGCTTTTCGAGCCAAGAAAGAAAGGATAATGTGCGAGAGAAATAAAAACTATGCTGGACCACCAAGTTTACACTGCTACTCAACAGATGGCGCCAGTGTGTCCTCTCGTTGTAAGAGATGTTAAGAGGTTCCAAGGCACTAGGTTCTAAGAGGTCGCAAGAGTGTGAACGGGCCTTGACTGTCCTTTGTTAACATTATGCCGGCTGTGCTTCCCGATATTCCGGCTCATAATTTTTTCCCGACGGATCCAATAGTTATTGACTGGGCAGGTACGGTAATCCCTTGTTATAACGAAATCGCTTTTTACGAATTATCGCATTTTTCAAAGTTTGACGCGGTCAAGATTGCAACGCATGCATTTTTAGCCGAATTATTCTAAATGTATCGACGGCCAGACATGCTTATTAACCCCTTAAGCGACGAAAAATGGGCGACGAGCGGAGCTCGTCGCCCATTTTGTGGTTAAAAATGCCATGGACGAGCCCAGCTCATCCAGTGGTTTTTTCGGTGGCTCTCAACTTTACGGACGAGCAAGGCTCGTCTGTGTAGTTTTGCGGCGCTGATCATAGATGGCAACATTCGTATTAGTTGGCAAATATTATTTTCGCCTCCGCTGATTTTTTTGTAATAAACTTTTCAAATTATATGTGTACAACTAGAGGAATAAAATTTCAAAATAAAAAATATGGCACTTTTAGGTTACTTTTGGAAAACAAAATGTGGCACTTAAGGGGTTAAGAAGGATGATCCAGCGAAAGTACAAAACATAAGCCAGCGCAACCCTTCAAAAAAGTGTGCATGGGGGGGGGGGGGGGGGAGTGTTGAGATACGTGAAAAGGGGGTAAATGTCCATGCATACTATTATTCGGAGTACCGACGCACCTGCCCGTTGCCCGGCGCCCATCCCTTACTCGATTCCAACTTGTCAAGTCAAGGGAGTAAAGAAGGCAGGAGATCGCCCCTTCGGGGGCTCTGCGCGAGCAGAGGAGTGTGGCAACTCTTTTGTGACAGCCCCTGCCGGCACCCACCTCTTTGGAAGCACTGTCCCGAATTATCTATTACAAAAAAAAAAAAACTATTTTACTAAAATTGTTTAGTACAGCCAAAGCTACAGGGGAGACAGTGTATGCCTACATGTTCAAGAGGAAAGAAAGAAGAAATGAGAGGGAAGGGCTGGGCTTCTCCCGTTCCACCTTTCCCTCCTCTTGAACAGGTTGGCATACACCCTCTCCCCTGTAGCTTTGGCTGTACTGTGGTTGACTTGGTCGACTTGGTTGCGATGCACGTGTTTGCCAGCTTGAGTTGACGCTGCATTTACGGATTGCGTGCGCGCCAAGGCAGTGCCCGTGATATTGTGTTCTGCGTTGCGAAGGCAGCACAGCCCGTCTGCCGCATGTACAACAGCTGCGTGTAGCCTGCTTCACTGCTAATGGCGCCGCCAAAGCCCGCACGGAAGTGTTTGACCCTGGAACAGAAAGTCAAGCTAATCCGAGAAGTGGGGAAAGGCGGTCAACCAAAGTTGGAAATTGCAAAAGAATTCAACATACCAGCATCGATGCTGTCGACCATCCTCAAAAACAGGCAGGATGTGCTTGGAAGGTTTCAGGAGAAAGCGCGTCCAAGATTCGAAGTACCCCGAAGTCGAAACTGCACTTCTCGAACGGTTAAATGCCAGGGCCGCCAACTTGCCCGTCCATGGTCACACATTGACTGCCAAAGCCGAGGCACTGGCCTTGCGAATCAACAAACCGGAGTTCAAGTGCAGCAACGGGTGGCTGGAGCGATTTAAGAGCGGCATGGTGTGATTTCCAGAAGATAGTGGGCGAAAGTGGAGCGGTCTGTAACGACACCGTGGACACGTGGCGAAGGCATTGCCTCGACGAAATTCTGGAGCGGTACACGGAGAAGGACATGTACAACCTCACCGAAGCCGCATTTTTCTATAAGATCTTGCCCAAGCGCACTTATACGACTGCGGGTGGCACCTCGTTCAGAGGCAAGCAAAGCAAAGAGGGCGTAAGTGTGCTGTTTGGAGCGAACGCTACGGGTGACCACAAGCTTCTGCCGATATTGCGGAAAATTGAGAAGCCTCGGTGTTTCCGGAACACGGCGCTTCCAGACGACTGCATATACCAAAACAACAAGCGCGGGTAGATGACGGGGTCTTTCTTCGAGGACTATGTGGGGCCACTTGGATCGGAAGTTTGCAAAGGAGCAGTGCAAGGTGCTGTTCTTTGTCGACAACTGTCCCAGCCATGGAAAAATTTAAAACCTGCAGGCCATCACTTTGGAGTTTCTGCCACGCAACACAACTTCAATATTGCAGCCCATGGACCAAGGCATTAATGAAACGACTCGGAAACTGTACCGCAAGAATCTCCTGCAGTGCATGCTCCTCGATTACAACTGCAGCAAAGGCTACATTATCAACTCGCTCGGTGCCATTCATCTGCTAAACGTTTTGTGAAAAGAATTGGAGGCTAGAAAAATAGCCAATTGCTTCGCACACGCCAACTTTTTCTGCGCGCGCATGCTTGATGTGCCAGCGGATGACACCGAGAACTGCGACGACCTTTACAGAACTGTGCACGAGATCATCGGTGCAACTCCCGAAGACGACTTCGACTCGTTTGCGCTAGTGGATGCGGACATCTCCGTTGTTGCTCGTAACGGATGCCGAGATCGTGGACCTTGTGTGTTGCCAGGGCGAAGACGAGGAGCCGCCGGATGAAGAACCCCAAGAGGTACCCGCGACTGGAGGAACGCGAAACATGCTTCGCCTTCTCCGTGATAAGGTGGAGTGCGGCAACGGTGATGACAGCCTTATGCGGTACTTGAGGCAGTTGGAGAAGGCTTTATTAATGTCTGGCAAAAACGCCCGGCAAACTGATCTCCCGTCTTTTTTTCATGTCTCAGTAAGCCTGGCTCATCAGCAAGGTTTGTTTCATTGAATATACAGGGTGTTTCACGAAAGGTGGTCAAATTCGATATTGCGAAAACTTAGTGTCGCAACGAAAAAAGGCTTGTGTCATTTTGGTCCTGGGCCTGGGGCCTATTTAGGAAAAGTATTAAAGTCTGGGATAATTAGATTGTTAAATATTTTTGCGTAACTAACTTTTTTAATATTGTGTTTAAGGGCATGGTTTCAATTAGAAAATTGCTTGGCATCATCAAAAACACTAAATCAACAAATTGCAGAACGATAGAAGCATTTTACAGCTGAAAAACCGCACAAATTCGACGGGCTTTTAAGTTTCGGTTTGCTATCGGAGCGCATCTCGGCCCCAGCGGCACCGCGCCCCGTGGAAAGATAATGCAACCAATCTCTGCTGCGCTGTCATCGCGCGACGCAGCAGAGGCTGGTTATGGCGCAACTTTTCTTTAGCTTCAACTAACCTGAAACTTCTGCTGTGTAAATCTTTAGTCCGAACAAAGCTAGAATACACATCATCAATCGGGGACCCTAATATTAGCTCTCTTATTTTACGAATAGAAGCCATCCAGAACCGCTCCGCACATTTCATCTTTTTGAATTACTTCCGTTCCGCCAGTGCCTCTTCAATGAATCTAATCCTAACTTACCCGACCTTTCATTACGTCGTAAAATGTCTCGTCTTTGTCTCTTTCTTAAGATTTATCATTTTAACTCTCCCCTCTGTGATTCTCTCTTTCTACCACCATCATACATTTCCTCCCGCAGTGACCACCAGTACAAGGTTGGCGTGCCAAGCAGCCACACTAATTCACATTTCTACTCTTTCATTCCCAAAACTTGCACCGACTGGAACCACCTTCCTGCCTCCATCGCCTCGATCACCGACACCGTTAGCTTCAAATCTGCCATTTGCAACCATTTTTCGTAACCCTGCTATTCTGTTTATGTTGACGTTCATTTATTTTGTGTGTTTGCATTATCTACTCCTCTTTGTAATGCCTCAGCCTTGAGAGCAAGTAAATAAATAAATAAATAAATGACGATTTCGGACCCTAAACAAGCACCGCCTGCAATCAGTCAGACCTCTGTATTTACTAGTAACATAAAACACAGGATAGACACTTCATTAGGCATTTGATGTCACATTCTGGGATACCTAGCATACGGAAATGTTTGCTACCCATCTGGGACCTTTCATAAATTCATAAAAAAGTGTTGTAAAAAAAAAAAGCTGAAAAAATAAGCAAAGCTAGATGTTCTTTGTGCAATGTGTGTCTTTTCATACCTGGTGTTATTGTTTCTGTGGTTGCAAGTAGATTGATGGCAGAAGAGACGCCGATGTTCGTCCTTCCCACGTGGCGTGTCTTCCATGGTTGCCAGTCCAACCCGGCTCTGTGAAAGGGGAAGACCCTCCCTCTGTCTTTGTTGCTGACGCTCTCCGATTCGCCCGTGAAAGCTGCCTGGGCAATCTCTGTTAAAATTGCAGATAAAACTTCCGTTAGTTCTTTTCTCTTCACCTTTACTGCACCAAGAAACCGAAACAAAAATAAACAAAAAAACAACAACATAAGAACAAACAAACAGCAACACTTGCACACATAAAGTACAAAAATTCAAAGGTTTGCATTTGTCCACTGACGAAATTCAAAAGAAGCAGGGAGGGAGAAGTGCACGCAGATAAACGGACCATCACTGAACATTCAGACAAAAATCCAGCCGTAAAAAGGGTCCTGAAACAAATGCAAAGGTCTTTTAGGCATGTACTCATATTACTGAAGCAAGAAAAAGTCAATTGAGTCGCACACACATGCCAAGAAAGAATTCACTGCATACAAGGAAGGAGCCTCGTTCAGTTACAGCACTTCCCATGCTCCTTGGTGTCCACGAAAGATATAATGCTGAAGCAACCACCATATAATACATCATTGACAGAGGTTTCAAGAACGAGATGGCGACAGATCGGACAAGGTGGGTCAGTGAACTAAGGGAGGGTAGGGAATGGAAAGGTTTCACACAGTTGGCTGAGCTGTGGCCATTCATTTGGGAAACAAATGTAGCACAATAGCCTGACACTGCCGAAAAGATGGCTGGTGACTGGCCCTCGTTTCAAGGCAGCGAAGTGTCGTTCATATTTGTATCAAGACAGACCCCGTAGAGTTTGACCTGCAAGGTGTAGAGAGACGATGGTTAACAGTCGGCAGAGCAGGGTGGCCACACTTGCTAGCACATATCACTACATGTTATAAAGAATACTGAAACTGGGTGCCAAACTTAACAACAGCCATGGCAAGTGGGGCATAAAAGGGTACAAAGCAGCTTTCCTTCTGATAAGGCAGTTATGCGCTGGTAATCCCAAACTGTCTGCACCCTGAACCAACCTGAAGACTGGAATATCATATTCACCTTTTACTCTGGCCCCTGCAATATCATTTTGCGATTGAAATTTTTTCGGGAATTCGGCTGGACTTACAGAAAGCATGGCGAGTAGCCCTCCCCAAATCAAATAAATTGAGTCAGAACGAGCTTCTTTACCTTTTTTTCACCGGGTAAGTGAACTGCAATTTACTTATCGAATTTCAACCCTAGCTTATGCCAGTTCCTACAGCTGTAGTTTTAAAAACATCATATGACCCTTCTTCATTACTGTTTGCTTTTTTGTCCCTACTGAATAATTGCACCATGGAAGCTTTAGAAACAAAACTAGCGTTTGCCTTAAAGTGCAGATCTTTGGTCCAACTGCTGCAGCCTATACCATATACAACAAGTATCATGTGCTCCTGAACCTTCCGAGCTTGCTGAGGAGTAAAAGCTTATGCTGCACTCACATCGGCATCAGAATTGCGTCGCAAAAGCAGCCACGTTTGCGACTGTCTCATGAATGCAGTTAAAATAATAATATTACTTATTCCCATTTTTAGTAAATGGAGGTGACAGAGAAAAAAAGCCGCACTAGATGGCTTTTTTATATATAATATATATTATATATAGAGAGAAATATATATAATCACTTGAAATTTCCCCCCCCCCCCCCAAAAAAAAACAAGAATTTGCATTATAAACAGTTTGAACAATACAGTTCAATAATCAAATAATTATATACCTCCTAAATGAAAAGTTGAACCAACAGTGTGAATGAGGTATTACGGCCCGCTCACGCAGTCCCATTTTCTTCTATTACATTATGTCTTGGGAGCTTATGTCTGCTTACGACCAGATCGACTGCAAGCTACTACGGCAACCTAGTGACACAAGGCTCGTCGAAATGTAACTTAAGGAGTTGGGTTTAGTTCAACTTTTCCTTGTGGGCTCTTACGAAAGCTTACAATGGACCAATGGGACACGAGAAAGCACAGTGCCTGCGCATGCATGAAAGGCTCTGCGACCAGCTGTGCTCTGTAAAATGGCGAAACCGAGCAAGGTGGCAAGGCCCTGTCTACGCCAACGCTAGAAACCCATTTTTGATGTCTAAAGCGAGGTGCTGAAACCCGCCAAACATATCTCGTGAGTGGAGAAAAATTGGACGCCTCTTGGCAGTTATGCCCTTGCCGAAAAATCGGAAACTTTGTATCGGAAGCTTGAGCTTCAAGAGCTCAATCCATGTTGCTACCCGATTAGGCGATGTAGCCCTCAACGCAATGAATGAAGAGTTCTTGATAATAATGCAATTTATTCAAAGGTACAGGCGAGCTGGACAAGGATGGCGATAATAATCCCTGGAGGAGGGGAACAAAGGGGGACAAAGGACAAACACAAATGTGTTTGTGCACCAGTCACCTAGCTGGGTTTGGGGATTTGTGTTTCTCCTTTGTCCCCCTTGTTCCCCTTCTCCAGGGATTACTATCGTCATAGTTCTTGTCGCTGCGGCTCTACCCTGCCGTGGAATCCTCCCATGATGACAGCACGTACGGTGCTTTCAACATGCCGAGCACGTAGATTAAACAGAAAAACTGCACACAACAATTGGGCTAAAAAAGAAAGTTGATACACAAGCAAAAGCAAACTACTTCTTATTAATTCGGTGGTGATTCAGTCACAAAAATCGCCATCGGCCCAACATTCCTTGCGGCAACAGTTCCAGCAGGAAATCCACGCTATCAACCGCTCGTCATCCTCTTCACATCCTACAGGACAGACTAGACACACACTTACATGGCTCATTTCTCAACTACAGTGTAAACCGCATATAACGTATGTCGCGGGAGTCACGAAAATCCGCACTATAAGCGGTACCGCGCTATAACCAAAACATCAATTTTTCAGGCCAAAATACATGCCATGAGACAACTCACTTTTGCAAAAGAATTTATTTTTTGTTAGATGAAAAATAAAGCTTAGTTTGAGGAAAGTCTTTATTCCACCAGACTAGTACACTTCAAGGTGTCACACATTTTGAAAGAAATGAGCGACTTTTGCCTGGCGCAGCCTTTTAACGGCGTCGCGGGTTGCGGACGGACGTTGCGAGCGTTCAGGATTGCTAAGCCTAATCACTTTTCTCCGGCGATGAAAATGCGTGAAACTTCGCATTCTTTATACGGTACGCGCCAGTATACCTTCAACTTGAGCACAGGCATGAAACGCTCCAAATAAGAAATCCGGGCAATGTTCAAAAACACAAATGCATAGAAAGCACCACTGTAGTCGAAGTAAACAAACACGACGAAACGGGCGTTTCTGCCGTCTTGAGAGTGCCGCCACAACATCGCCGCACGAGTAGGTGGATCTTCTTTTCTAGTATGTGCTGGGTTATCATAGCGACACACAACGAAAATTCAGTCAAGGATAGCGCTCTTACGCGGAACGATGAGCATCCACCACGCCGTTAAAGTGAACTAGAACGCCGTCTAAGTCGACGATCACAACCGACGCCATGTTTGCGGATAGAAGCAGCCGGCCCGCGACCGGGCGCGAACACTTCTCCTCGACCTGCGATTGGTCTGTCGTTGCGGTTGTCTCGAACGACACGCGCGTACGTCCCTCCATCGCTATGGCGATTGAAGCCTCTCTCTTTGCTTCTCCTCACTTCTTCGAGCAACCTCCTTGCCCCGCGAGTGCCGCTTGCGGCTCGCGCCGTTATCTAGTGTTGCACAGGGAAGCGTGCTCGCTGCGCCGGTTGTTCCGGAAACCGCACTATAACCGGTATTTCCCTTCGCGCGCCTGCATTTTAAGCGGTATGTAATTACATGGAGTTCTATGGGAGGCAAACCGGTGGTTTAAAAAAGCCGCGCTATACCTCGTCCTGCACTAGAAGCGGTTACGTTGTAAGTGGTCTACACTGTATATCAATACCCACTTTCTTAAACTATCCACTGCTACTGTGGAGGACACTTGGAAGAAGCCGGGTTCAGAAGGTAAACATTGTGGCAGGCATGCATGACGAACATGACAGTTTATTTACACATTAACGAGGCTTTGGAGTTCACTCACATCCCAAACTAAGAGAGTTTGCACAATGCATGTCCAAACGTTTCGTTTCGACGTTCGAGCGAGGCTTCATGTCTTTCTGGCACGCCAACACAGAGAGCCGTGACCCTTTCGACCAAATCTGGAATAAAATGCAGAATCGAATGCCTTGCACTTGCACTTCGCTTGTGACGAGTGCACACTTCTTTGCCGTGTTGGTCTGCTGGTGGCGGCCGTGTCTCAAAGCGAAGACTCTGCCTCTGCTTGGCCCACGAATGACGAACCAGTCGTTGAATCCTGCCCCAGGCATGACTTGCCAGTCAGCAATCGCAACAGCTCCTCCGCCGCCGGGGAAGTCGATCTGAAGGTATGCAGCAGCCTCCTTGTCACCCGAGAAGACGACGTGCCTTCTTGCCGGTCTTCGAGAGCCCGCTTGTTTCTCGTTCCCATGAGAAGATATCGGCAGCGAGAAGAGCCAACTCTCACACCAAACATTTTAAAACAGCCATGCTTTCTGAATACCATAACGGAGTGGAAAGAGTTACCTGATAACATTGCGTCAACCTTGTTCGCTCCTTTCGTCTACGAGAGACTTGTGCACGACAGTCGGGCCATCTGTCACGAATAAAAAAAAAGTAATTTGTGTGCAAATGTTTTATTTTTCTAAGACATGTCACTTGAGAGCGATGTTCTCAACAACATAGGTTTGTACTGATCTGTCCTTGTGCTACCCACTACTCACTGTATAACTTTTTCCTAGTGTAAATGCTTCAACCAACAGACTTTTTTTCTTTTTTACTGTGCAACAAGTTAATGTGGATTGTGCAATGTTTACTGTTCTTTGCTGGTTCATTTTATGCATGTCAAGATTAAGTTATTATATTTTACGCTACTGTACCCACCCTCTCCCCCTGCAATATTGCCTTTGGTGGTGTGGAGTGATATGGAATAAATAAACAATAAACACACCAAAACACAAAATAAATTTAAAAAAAAATGTTTAAGATTTAAGACTTCAACTACACTTAAAAATTATACCCTAACGCACAAATTCAGAATCAACAGAAATCA